GATTTCAGTATTGTTTCACATGAGTTAAGAACATATTCTTTTAAGACATAAGCTTATATATGTGATGCGATCAAGCTACATGAGTCGTTTGTCGGGAATTTTCATTTGGAGAAACAGGCCAAAATAGGACCACTTCATCACATCACCTTAACACATTTCTTGGTGTTCCGTCTTCCATATTTTTAAACTAAAGATGGTATCAGGATGCGGTTTTCACAGCAGTAATGCTGAGATTGTGCTCTTTTCAAATCTGTAATGAACCAAATTTTGACCGGGGTCGACAAACGACTCATTTAGCTTGATCGCATCACATATACTTGATTAGTGTATTTTTAACTTTTTCTTCCGGAGTAGACGGAAGTTGGAAGTTCGGAAAATTCCAATACAGACCTGACTTAATTCTTACAATCAGTATACGAAAATCAAACCATGCTTAATTCTTACAGGCAAGTAATTTTTATACATGCAAATGTTTCAAAGTGTTTTTAAAGGTGTAGCAGAAACCCTAGATCACAAAATGTGCACTTATTTGACATCAAATCGTCACCGACACCACGAAGTAACACTCATGTACATACCGGTAAAAACTAGCAATCGGAGTAAACAGCAACTAAAGTTGAATGCCTTCTAAAACAACCCTTTGCGTCAAAACGACAGAGTATTTTCAGTTGGGTTTCTCGTTGTGGACACTTGATGAATTGAATTTATTAAATCTGCTGTTTTTCACCCGTTTGTGTATTAAATAAACAAGAAATAAGAGAAAAAAGATGAGTGTAAGTTCGTAAAACCGAAAAAGCTGCGAAACTGTAAATTTTCGTTTTCACGAAGTAACACTCTTCAATGTATACAGCACGAGGAAAGTGCAACTTCAGGTCAGCGCGCGCGCGCGCTCATACAACTTATTACAAGAAGAGTGTTACTTCGTGAAAACGTTTTTGCTCAAATATGAGCAGAGTGTGCGCCATGCATAGCAATGGTAAATGGAACTTGAGTGTTACTTCGTGAAAACGAAAATTGTCACTTTTGCGCAAAAGTTGCAATGGATACTTAGCGTAATAATTAAAGTAAAGCTCTAGAAGCTTTGAAACTTCGTGCATTGGATGAATAATGTTTAAAAATAAAAAAAAACTGAATATTGGAAAAAAAATGGTTTAACACGGTAGAGTGTTATTTCGTGGTGTCGGTGACGAAATTAGTAAAAAAAGGAGTCAGTTGGTAAAAAATGTGACAAACTATCTTCAACTATAACTCACGAACCAATGATAGCGTGATCATACTGTGTGATCTGATAAACGTTTATATATCTCTGACTTTCAATACCACTATGATAATCTTCAACTATAACTCACGGACCAATGTGATAGCGTGATCATACTGTGTGATCTGATAAACGTTTATATATCTCTGACTTTCAATACCACTATCTTCAACTATAACTCACGGACCAATGTGATAGCGTGATCATACTTGTAAACGTTTACATATCTCTGAGTCGAGTGCAAAGCTAAATTCCATGAGTTCAAAACTGGGGTTACTGGAATTGTAACGACAAATGAGTATGAATTGAAAAAAAATATACAATTTTCGAAACTAGATTCCAAAATGCTTTAGCCCTATGCATCAAACCAACAAGTTACCGTTTTTTCCCCTTTTTTTATTTTGGTTATGCATTGCTTAATATAAAATCAAAGAAGCAATCGAACCGGAAATAATTGTTTAATTAATTCAATGCATGAATTAAGTCCGGGCTAACAACCTGTAGAATAAGGTAAAATGATTGAATTGTTACACTGACCAACTAGGCACTGTATTCAGTCTTAATTGGAAAGATTACCAGCGGCAATCTGGAGGTCGCAGGTTCAAACCCCGCTCCAGTCAATTTCTTTGTTCAACCTTTAAAAATATTACAATGCACCTAGTCAGTTTCTCTTTGTAGTTTATGTGCATTAAGTTTTAATTTTGTTTTCTTTAAACACAATATCATAATCAAACTAAACAACAAAGGAATGTCAGGATCCAAACATCAAATGTTATAACTCAGCAAACCGTTAGGCAGTTTGCTATGGTCTCGCGATACCGACTTTCAGTCATACATTTTGGCGTACCATGCATATCTGATTATCAGTTGAAGTGTGTCCGGTTAACAAGTATGAAGATCACAAATTATTTGAGAAACCACGAAAACGATACTTGAGCAGGCAACTTATATAGGCATGGCGTCACATAATTTGTAACCCTTCTTTCGAAGAGTGGTCAACACAACCAGACACAGCATTATTATTTCTGGAAAGGATGCCTTATTTTCACTCAGTGTATCGCTTGACGACACTCACTAGCACTTCAATTCCTTGCTTATTAAATACAAATATGGTATGTTCACTATGAACAGGTTTATTGGTACCACACAGTAAACAGTCTCGCACCATGTCGGAGTGCCTCCCGCGCACTATTGGCAGGACCAACCGCTGAAGATTTGGGAGCCTCAGAATTACCTTCAATAAAGCTTGGAGACCCCCTTTTTCATGCTGTTTTTGGACAGATCTAATTCTTGAAGATGTTGGCAGCCCTTGAGAACCTCCACAAGGTCTGTCCAATTAATCGGATTTCTCAAAGCTCATACATCTCATGTCTAATCTCTTTACGAGTGGCATTTGCTTCAAAAGTCCAATGAAAGCTGCCGTGCACCAGCCGGGCAAGGGGAGGGGGGCACTTGCCCCCCCCCCCGGAAAAGCAACAAAAAAAAGAGGCGCGAAGACAAAGTGGTGTAAATTTAATGAGTTGGGGGGGGGCGCAAAATGTCCCTGCCCCCTATAAAACTGATAAATCGAGAATGTGTTGAGAAATACAAGCATTTTTTGGCAAAAACAAAATTTGCCCCCCTGGCGACGCCCATGTTGGTATTGTGCAAAACATGAGAAGAAATCAGTCATGTATTCAGGAGCCATAGAGTTTAAACATTTAAAGACAAAAAGCTCCTTTCTTATAGGTTACTCTCTTTGAATATGGAAGCCATTTTAGCGAAGTAAACATATCAGCAGACGAAGTTATAAATGGGCAGCCTAGAATTATTCTGGCTGCTCTTTTAAGCAATCTATTTAGCGTATTATTGTGACATTCATATCGGCCTCCTACGAGAGCCCATTAGCGCCACTGCAAGTATATATGTTGCGGATTATTAATTCCTTATTACGGATTACTAATTCGTTATAACGGATTATTTAATTCGTTATTACGGAATATTTAATTCGTTATTACGGATTATTAATTCGTTATTATGGATTATTAATTCGTTATAACTGATAATTTAATTCGTTATTACGGATTACTAATTCGTTATAACGGAATATTTAATTCGTTATTACGGATTATTAATTCGTTATTACGGATTATTAATTCGTTATTACGGATTATTAATTCGTTATTACGGATTATTTAATTCGTTATTACGGATTACTTATTCGTTATAACGGATTATTTAAATCGGTATTACGGATTATTAATTGTAAAAATTAATGTGCCTGACGTTGCGAACTTAGCAATTTCTTCTTCAGAGGCTAAAACCCTCTTTAGCCTCTGAAGAAGAACTTGCTAAGTTCGCAACGTCAGGCCACATTAATTTTGAGATTTATATATTTCAGGTCCATCCAGTCAGTAAGCAGTTTGCAGCAGTCTTACTTTTTGTCGGATTATTAATTCGTTATTACGGATTATTTAATTCGTTATTACGGATTATTTAATTCGTTATTACGGATTATTAATTCGTTATTTTAATCAGCAATAATCAAGAGTAGGCATGACTAGGCACTGAACAAGAGTGCAAAGACTAGTTCTTGGAATACAGTGACGAATTCTGTACAACATGCCTAGTTTGGAAGAGATGGACTTTTGAACATGCTCAATATGAGCAGACCAAGTAAGTGAGTTATCAATAATAACGCCCAAACATTTAAAAGTGCTGACCTTCTCAACTAAGGAGTCACCAATATATATTTCAAGTCATTTGACGTAATGTTATGCTTTGAGCATATCCATTGAGCATGGCCTTGGTTTAAGAAGCATTGATTGTTAACTTATTTTTCGTTGCCCAATCGTTTAATCTAGCCATTGGGTCGTTGAGGCTGCTCTCGATTACTTTCATCCCCATCAGAAGCAACATTTGACTGAATATTTTCTGCCATGCGCTCACCAATTGTTGAGAAGTGGTCATTGAATACACTAGCCATACCGATGGGATCGTTTAATTGCTTGCCGCTTTGAGAAGTGATAGAGTTCACTCCGGGCTTTTGTTTGCTGGGGAAAACTCCTTTCACTTTACTCCAAAAAGCGGATGAGTTGCTTTTGAAAGACTCTATAGCAGAAACATAGTAGCTGCTCTTGTGGGAGCGTATTTTGGCTGTTACATTATTGCGTAACTTTTTGAATGTATCCCAGTCGGCTGGTGATCCAGACCGTTTTGCTGTTTTGTGGGCATGGTCTCGTTGGCGCATCAAACTAATGATCTCACTGTTGAGCCAAGGCAGCGATTTGCTACGAATACGCTTAGATTTCTCAGGGGCATGTAAATTTACAATGTTCATGAACAAGGAGTGCCATAAAGTCCAAGCTTCATTAACATCCGTACAATCAATAACCTGCTTCCAAGGAGCGTTGGAAAGATCATCCGCAAAGGCATCATAATCTATACTCTTAAACGATCTAAAAGTGATAGAGTCAAATGTTTGCTTTGGAATTCTCCATTCGTGTAAACCATAAACAAGATAATGATCACTAATTAAAATAGGTAAAACGCCAGAGTCAGTGATAAAATCAGGTTTAGAGGTAAAAATAAGGTCAATTGCACTATTTGATGAATGAGTAATACGTGTGGGCTCCTGTATAAGTTGTGTCAGTTGAAAAAGATTAAAACAAGAAATTACTTATACACAAGCTATCGTTAAAAACATCACAGTTAAAATCACCTAAAATAATCATATCTTTATAATCACACGATGCCTTCTCGCCTAACTAAGAAGGGTCCCAGATGTCTTCAAATTTTCGTAGAGCCCGTAAGAATCCTCTGAATCGTCAAATTCCTCTGACGCGTTAGAATGCTCCGACTCGCCGCCTTTGAAAAACTTCTGAATGTATTCCTTGACTCCTTCGTCTGAGAAACCCCTGGTCTCGATGTGAATAAAAGAATGATTGGGCTCGCACAACTTGTCCACCATGTGATGACGTTTGTGACAATGACGGTACATCCACGAAGGATCTAATTGTTGATGATTTTATAAATAAATCCTTCAGATGGCAACTGAGAAACCTCCTTATCATACTCATCAGCGCCATCCAACACGACCAGGACTTGTTTTCTGCATGTGAACTCAGGTAATTTGTCAAAGATTGGCGACTTAGCTTCGTGTCATCTGCAAGGATCTGGTCATATATTGCCTTGGTCAGATCAGAGACGCCCTTAAGTTCTCGCCTACTTACGGCCACCAAAAAAGTGAATTTGGAGGGTGACGATTCCGGCTTCTGTTGACTTGACTTCATGTGCGAAATATTGGTTGGTGAATTAATACTGAGGACCTTTTCTTTGCCCAATGAAGTTTTTTTGTGAGAAATTTGCCGGCTAAAGAGTGAGTAAATTTTGCCTGGTAGTTTTGCACGTTTCAGAGCACTCCAGGTCCCAGTCTGGGTCAGTCTCAGAAAGAAGCAATTCTTCACCCATGGTGATGAGCTGCCATAATCACCAACCCAAGGGCTCGCACCTCGCAGTTCCTTACACAGGCCTATAAACAATTTCGTTAAATAATTTATTTACACATGGCGCCTCATAGAATAATGCATGACGGAGAGAGAGCGTTCCTTTTTGTCCTTTCATGTCCGGGATTAAGTATTTGGCCTCCCGGCAGAGCCAACCTGTAAAGATCTGGGAGCATCGGAATTATTTCCAATAAAGCTTCAAGACCCTTGTCATTCACGCTGTTTCCGGACAGATTTAAAAATTGAAGCTGTTGGCAGCCCTTGAGAACCTCTACAAGGTCAGTCCAGTCGGATTCCTCAAAGCTCATATCCTCCATGTCTAATCTCTTTAAGAACGGCATTTGCTTCAAAAGTTCAATGACAGCTGCCGTGCACTGGCCGAAGGAGTTTCCACTGACGTTTAACCCTTGAATGGAGCTCTGGGTTGGCTGATGTTCAGCATTCACTGCGTCAATGCTATCAGGTATATATTCTGTGTATGGCTGTGGAAACAGCCCTGATTTGAGCCGGTACAAATTGAGTTCATTCATGGATGGTGAAGCACAAGCCCACTGCATAACTGCCAGGATGGCTTCTGGGTTAACTGATGACTCCGTTGGAATGAACACTTCCAGGACACGTAGATTACGCTGCAATGATGGTAAGACATCTTTAACAAGAGCGATTATTATGTCTTCTGCATACGAACCTTCACTGGTGCCGAGTTTCAACTCCTGCAGCTCCTTAAGGCTCTTGAGCTGTTCGGCAAGGCTCGAAAAGGAATTCCCGCAAAGACAGACCCCTTTTAAGTCAACAACCCGCAGTTTGGATGCTGTCGAAAGCACGTTACATAAAGGTTTAATGTGGTCTTTGAACATCAAATCAATTCGTCCTAGAGTCAGGGATTTAAGATTTGGATAAGACCTAACGAGACGTACTATATCCACACGGCATGTTTCAGAATCACCACTTATCTTCAGCGTTTCCATGTTTGTGGTTTGAATTTGAATGTCCATTAGCTCTTGTGGAGATTTATAATCTGGCAAGTAATCAGTACTATGAAGATCAAGTTCGCGAAGCGGGCTATGCATTGTGAACAAATTCGCCACGTCCCTGCGATTAATTTTACACCATCTTAATTTCAAAGTTTTGAGACTTGTTGGTAAGTGCTCGAGTATGACAGAAACATTCGCCACACAATCACTGCCACGAATCTCGAGGTTTTCAAGTGACTGCAATCTTGAAAGTGCTTCACCAATGCAAGCATCGTTTAAGACTGCATCGTTGTCACCGGCAGTAGATATATAGACGCCTGTTACTTCTGGGCTGTACATTAATATGTCCGTTGCTAGTGACGTTTCTTCTTTCGATCCAACGTCTTTAATCAGGACTTGTTTCAGTTTGGTTAGGAATGACTGACCTGAAGAATGCGCACACTCGACTAGAAACTTTAGAGCAGACGTGAAATCATTTTCACAGTTCATTGTAACCAGAAAAACCGGGTTGAAGATAGTCCCGGCAATGCTGTGTAACTCTTCCGAGTGTGCTTCGAAATGCATCAAAATCCAAAGCCTCCTGAGTGGCTCATTTGGCTCTGGAAAAAAGAGCACATAGTCCTGTAAGTAAGTTTTCAACCCGAAAGTTTCGACGTAGCCAAGAAGGGATTCTGCCGCTTTGACATTTCCACCACAGCAAAAACGCATCAGGTATTCCATATCAACGGCATTATTCCTGTCCACCTTACTCAGGTAAGATTCAAACAACCCGTCATCAGACTCGACTAGACTCGCCCAATAAAACCCAGCAATTGCCTCTTGGAAGGTTTTATGAAAGAAAGTCACTCGCTCAACCGCTCTTAATTTACTTCGAATTTTCTCTTTGGAAAGAATTCCAGTTTTGCAAGCCTTGTCAACCATTTCAGAATTCCCAAAGTCCCCAGCTTCAAAGACTAACTTCTGACCAGGAAGCATCAGACCATCCAGCGCTTTTGCTCCTAACGCTTTCACTAGATTTATCACCTCATTCTCAAGTAAACCCTTGTCTTCAGGATTTGACAAACCGAATTTTTGAAAGTGACGTTTCAAAATGAAGAGAAGCACTTCCTTAAACAACTCTGTCAGTGTCTCGGGAAGCTTCTGTTCGTCTGACCATACAAGACACATGAGCAGCAGCATTATGGGTGTTCTCGCAAAACTTAGAAAGGTCCCAGATGCCTTCAAATATCCAAACTGTCCAACAGACACCGTTGGATCTTTGCGTTTGAAAAACTTCTGAATGTATTCCTGGACTCCTTCGTCTGAGAAACCCCTGGTCTCAATATGAATGAAAGAAGGATTGAGCTCACACAACTTGTCCACCATGTGGGGACGTGTTGTGACGAGGACGGTACATCCACGAAGAATCTTGTTTCTGATGATGTCAGTGATGAAACCTTCAGATGGCAACTGGGAACCCTCTTTATCATACTCATCAGCGCCATCCAACACGACCAGGATTTTTTCGGCATGTGAACTCAAGTAATTTGTCAAAGATTGGCGATCAAGCTTCGTGTCATCTGCAAGGATCTGGTCATATATTGCCTCGGTCAGATCAGAGACGCCCTGAAGTTCTCGCATACTCAAGGCCATCAAAAAGGTAAATTCGGAGAGCGGAGATCCGGGCTTCTGTTCTGCCCAGTCGGTGGCAATCTTTGACACGATGGTAGTCTTGCCACTGCCGGCAATGCCAGACAGCAAGATAAATCTGACCGGCTTGCCGTCTTCATACTCCAGTTTGAACATGTCCTCGTGGGAGTCAATTTCCTGTTTTTTCACCTTCCTACCCTCGTCCTGTCTCTCTTGCAGCTTCAGTTTCACATATATGTCATTAATCCTACGGACCTCAGATGGGAGCCACGGGAGCAAAGGAACCACACTCATCTCGTCTTGGTAGTATCTGATGAACTCATCGCGGTAAGCGTCAAGGTTGAAATGTCCTGAACCATCCACAGAACCTTAAAATTAAAGACAACGATGTACGTTTTGAATTCCCAACACATTGAAAGATAATATTCTTTTCCTTTTTATAGGTTTTCCCATCCCATTTTGCCACTTGCTCATTCGATCAAACAAGACTTTCAAGCGTTTTCACACTCGGTTCAAATTGGCAAAAATGAAGATATTTCAGGGTATTTGCAGTCATGTGTGAAACAAGGCGGGAGGGAAGTTACGTAACTTTTGCATTTAATTACGCGAACTTTTGATTTCAGTCCCGATCGGGAATTCAATTTGGTGCATACGTTTACGAACGTAAGTTACTAAGTGAAATTAAGCCGTTGCATTAGAAATATATTGTGTGATAGTGTTAAAACAGAAATTAAAATAGCACAAATAGCTTTATAGGAATGTACAGCTTTTTCGATGTGCATGCATGAAATGAAATATAAAAAAATACCCTTCAAAATGCAAAGTATCAAAGTGATAGAAGGAAATGATGCTTGCTTCTTAGCGATAAAATATTGCGTAAAAACACAAGTATTCCTGTGCAGACCAAAGTGATCGGTTTGATAATTGGTGTGATAATTTTGTGGAAATGAATTTCTTCAAATGAAAATACGATTAACGTTTGGCGAAATGTAAACTTCAAATAAAAATGACTCCTAATTTGAATGCACTTTTGTTCAAAACGAAATTTGTTTTTCTATCAAATTGGCCCGCTCTTTGCGAAATTGAAAACCAATACGACGAATTGGAATATTATGCTTAGTCGAACAATTTGGACCGTACACTTAGTTTGAAAACATTAAAACTACGAATTAAAAACTAATATTTGTACCGACTTCCCAAAATCTCATGAAGTGGATTGTAAACTTTGTCCAATTTAATGAACAAATTGCGAAATTGGTCGGGAACATCGGTTTTGCCGTCCAATTTCACACCGTTGCTCATTTAGTCATACAAAAACATTAATTGAAATTCGCATAAATACAGGCTAGCGTCACACCCGCTTTCAAGCTTCAAGTTAAAAAGTGATAAAAAGGAAATAAACATGATGGAAATTTGCCGATAAAATACTTTGTGAAAATGTCACATTATAAAAAAAGATAATGAAAATCATATAAAATTATTGAAACTGTGTTTTTTTTGGGTCACCAATACGATTGGTGTTCAAAGGAAATGCATGTGCCAAATAAAGTTGAATTCCAATTCCGTGGCACTTAAATTGAAAACAAATACTTCTATAATTCAGCCTTCTCGGCGGGAGGGGACACCAAAAATCAACAAAAGAATTGGGGTTTCTGGCAAGAAAGATTTTAACCATGTACACGATTATTGCAAATGTTAAAACGAAATCGAATGCTCAAAATTCCCGTATTTGTGCCCCATTCTCTGAAACCTCTCAAAATGAAACGAACATTCTGTCTGACTGAATGAGTTGCAATATTGGACGAAAAGCCTATATGTTATGAAATATGATACACCTTGTTGGTGTTTGTATATAATGGAACAAAAAGAGAAACAGATTCAGAGCTGTTTTGATGTTCAAGTTAAAGTCCTTTTTTCCCCAATCATGCGCTTTCGTTTTAAGGAAAAGGCGTATCTTAAAGTCTTGGTTTCATGATTACACTTACCCCTGAGAAGCAGAACTAGATCAGTCCTTCCAGTCTTTTTAAAGGCATCGCAAAGGGCATCCACTGCGCCGTTCTCCCCGTCATCATTTGGATGATCCCACCGCTGCCACCATGTCTTCAACATCATAAACGCCCGGAGTTCTTGCGAACGAGGAAAGTCAGCTTCAAAGTTTTCAATTTCTGCAGTCGAGATCCCTAAATGGGTTGCCAAATCTATCCATTTATTTCCGAGTCTTGCTGCCAAGTCTTTTAATATGCACTCTATTAAGACTCGGGGTTTTCTGAGCCGAGTTTGTTGAGATTGGTGTGGGCTGGATGGAGAAGTGACTGGTTGATCAACGGGTAGGCTAGGCTGAGTTTGTTGAGGTTGGTGTGGACTGGATGGAGAAGTGACTGGTTGATCAACGGGTACGCTTGGCTGAGTTTGTTGAGATTGGTGTGGACTGGATGGAGGGGTTACTGGTTGATTGGGTATGTTCGGCAGAATTATGTCATATTGACATGGACTGGATGGAGAAGTGCCTGGTTGGTCATCAACGGGTACGCTTGGCTGTGTTTGTTGAGGTTGGTGTAGATCGAATAGAGAAGTGACTAGTTGATCAACGGGTGCGCTTGGCCGAGTTTGTTGAGATCGGTCCGGACCCAGCCGAAAAAATTTAAGAAATCTTGAAAATAACCGTCGAAACATTTTGAAAAATGTGGGAAAGCAGTTGCTTGGAAAGTTTCAACATTCACAGGTGTAACTAAGGTAAGACATTATTTAAGTGACACGGGGGTTTATGTTCCAGACCAAGCTGCCGTCAGCGCCTCGGCGTCCGTTTGTTCTCCTCATTATTGGTTGAACCCCCCCCCCCCCCCGCCTCAACGTTTGGAAACTGTTTTGATCGTAAAAGATAATATATAGGACTTTTTGTTTTCGGTGTACTACTCGGTGTCTGGAGGGTTATGTCATCAGGGTATGCCTGCTGCACTTGTCTGGTCAGGAAACACCTGTATCAATAAGATAATTATATTCAATTAATGGGATAATAAGGTTTAATTGACAAACAGATATAAGAACAAATGGTTTGAGGAAAGTCGCAATCAGCTCTACAAAAAGAAAACTCTTCAGAGTCTAAATGGAACAGTGCCGGTGTTGAGCCAAACTTGGCACATTCCATCCCGGGAGGAATTGGAATGTGCACAAACTGAATAGCTGAAACTCAGATCGATCTAACAATTTATAGGGAAATTCGTAGAACAGAAATCGAAAAAAAAGAATTTCTGGAATATCCAAAGCTGATCAGAAAGGGCAAAAGTGTTATTTAAAGTGCAATGTTATAATTTTTAAGAGGATCATTCTGCTCAGGAAAGTTTAAAGACAAAACCCCTAAATTACAACTTTGAAAGGGCCAAACAGACATGATCTTAAATAAACGCGGTTCTTTCCACGGCTTTTCCTTGATAATTTCATGGTTTTGGTTATGGTCATGGTTATGGTTTATTTTCATATCATAGCACAAAAACATAATAATCAGGAAACTGCATAAAGAATGACAAAAAAAATGATACGCGGGATCCAGATAAAAAGCATTTGTATGCTTGTACAAGACCTGGAACCCGTAATTACAAATTAAGCTAATACATTAATATGTACAGACGATAGGCTGAATTATATAATTACATTTTATTCTAATTAATTTGAAAAGAAAATAACAGCAAAAATATCACATTGGTATGAATATACATAGGCCTATATAGTACTTTCTTACATCCATACATTACAAGGAAAGAAATCAATTAATTACAATACAGGTAAGGGAGGAAGAGGGAAAGAGCAAAAAGTGGCCAAGGAATAATAAAACAATGATATTTTTTCAACAATCCGTGAAATGACATTGAATTTAATATTTATTGGGATACTTAATTATCAGTCTAATTTGTCAGCAGCGACGTTTTCATGTAGTTTTTGAAGTGCTTCATTGATCTAAAGATAAACATTGGTTTAAGATGGTTCCACAATAGAGGTCCTTGGTCTCTGACAGTCGATAAGTAAAGAGATGTCCTAGCTTTATGGAGATGAAGGGTTGAGACTGACCTTGTATTATGAGAATGAATATCCGGGTTTTTGTTAAATAGCGAATGTATAGTTTTTGGGTAAATTGTTTGTTTCAAATTTATACATTAATACCCCAAGATGGTATTTATACAAGTCAAAAACAGATAAGGTTTTGTATTTACTAAACAGTGGTGCTGAATGTTCTGTATATCTGGAGTTATTAATTTTTCTAAGTGTTTTCTTTTGCATAATATACAATTTAATGACAAAGGTTGGGTAGGTGTTACCCCATGCTAAAATACCACATTGAAGGCAAGGCAGGGATAAGGTTTTATAAATTGCAAATAAGATATCTGAAGGTAATTCGTGTTTAGTTTTCTTAAGATACCCTGGTTACGAGAAAGTGACATTATGACTTTTTGGCAGTATTGCTTCCAAGAAAGTTTACTATCAATAACTACACCTAGAAATGAACATGTTTCAACTTGTTCTATTTGTGTTTCATTGTGTGTTTTTTAATTAACGGATAGTTTATTACATTTAAATCAATCGGAGATTTTGCACAGTCGTCGATTACCAGTGTCAACTGCCTCAAGTAAGTTATTACTGCTATAAAAAAAATAGTGTCGTCCGCAAATAAAATGAAGGAGAGTATTTTGGAAGAGTTACAAATGTCATTAATGTAAATCAAAAAAAGGTATAGGGCAAAGTATTGAACCTTGAGGAACTCCACAACTGATTGGTGAATAAGTAGATTTGGTATTCTGCCATACCTCATACTGTTTTCTGTCACTCAAATAGTTTTTTAACCAATCCAAAGTAAATTGTCTAATTCCATAAAATTTTATTTAGTTTACTAATCAAAATGTTATAGTCTATTGTGTCAAAGGCTTTACAGTGGTCCAAAAATAAACCGACTGTATGAAGAAAGTTGTCAAGTGAGGAACTTATTTTATCAATAAGGTCAATCAGTGCCAAATGAGTTGAATAGTTGGCCCTAAAACCGTACCGAGTCGGTGTCAAAATGTGATATTTATCCATAAAGTTATACATTCGATTTGCTACAAGTCTATCTAATACTTTTGAAAAGTATGGTAAAATAGAAATAGGACGGTAGTTACTTATAAGGGATGAATCGCCATTTTTGTATAATTATATGGGAATAACTTTAGCTATTTTCAAATCAGTGGGTACCTTTCCTGATTCGAAGGAGCGGTTAGAAATTGTTGTCAAAGGATTTAGGATGTACGGTGTTATATCTTTAATAACGTGATGATCGATCTAATCATGTCCGCTGCTTTTTTGCTAGGAAGTTTATTTATACAATTACAAAGTTCTTCAGTCGTTCTTTATTATCAAGTCTTACCTTCAAAACCTCTACATAGCTCCGTGCTGGCTGATTCGACTACGTGGCACTGTGGTAATTATCTCATCAATCTGGGGGGGGGGGGGTCGTGAAATATTTATTTTATTATTTGCATGTTTTTCTATCATTTTTTCGGACTTGCATCTTGTTCTGACGCGGCGTCTAGCAAGGGCGTTGGCAAAAAGATGGTACCAAAATCAAGTTAAATAAGCACAATCCGCTTATTGGCCGGCTGTTGTGAGAACTATGCGTGCGTATATAGGGTGATGCTAAAAAGTTAACACTTTTTCGGAAGCACATTATAACTATGGTGAAAACAGCGCTGAAAATAAAGTCTCAATTTAAAAAAAATGTCGCTGATTCATAAGAAAGATGGTCAAAACCATGTGAGATGATGGTCAACCCAAAGAACTGCTATAATAAGAACAGCTGTGCAGGATCATTTTCCGGTAAATAGCCGTTATTTCTGAAGTTGAGCTTTATTTTCAACGCTTTCTTCACCATACCAACAAGAGCTTGTTGTTTAGGAATATCCTAAAACAGTTTCAAAATGTCTATACCAATTTTGAGAAATCTGCCTCTAAACAAATTGTACACGTATGTTTGGACCACCCTGTTGTAGATTCCATGGTATTTGTTTACATGACCCTCACACCTCTCCATGTACGACCCTGTACCCGGCACTCTTTTACTGATTAACCAAACAAAGCTCGGTTTGCGAGACGTTTCCAGAAAGTACAAGGTTCGACTATACGTCACGTCCGCACCCGAAGTGCAATATTTGCCCGGATAGTGCACAAGTATAATGTTTTAGATTGTAAAATTACATTATTTCAAAGATGTTCATTATTAAAAGCAATCCACCTTTGTGACTTATACTGATATAGACTAAAAACTCGCGTAACAGTTTGTCCGCACATCTTTGGTACAAGTGAAAACATGTAAGAATAACTAACTCTTTTGGCATAGAATATGAACCTTTGTCTCTGCCTTAAAAATAACACTTGCCTTTTGCTCGCGAAAACAAGATGCCAAAATGACTCCTTAAAATCCTGAATTTTAGCCACCCAAAAGTGTTTTTGACAAAAAGTGCACACTGAACATATCTCACTGGCACAAGTACACCATTGAAAACGACAGGCGTTGTTGTCTCCTTTAATTCGATACCACATTTGAGGTTGTGATGCCTGCAGTTTTGAAGATTTCGTAAAACTTTTCAGCCATGTCCACTTTTGTGTGGAAATTGCCTCATTATTCATTTGAGCGCTTGAGTCATTTGTATTCAGTTTGTACATAGACGTAACTTAATTAAGCATGAATAAGCCTTTTGTACACTCGTTGTAACTGAATTTCTGTAACAAAGAACAGCCTCTGTGGTACCTGATTTGATTCACACCGAAATGTTAAAACAGGCGATTTGCAGAGTCCAGTTAGTCGGATTAAATGTTACCACATGCAGCATAGAGGACAGAACATTAAGTTCCTTCTTAAAGACCTTCTTAATGTTGTTCTTTGATAGACATACCTTATTTCTGTTGTTTTATTCATATACATATAGAGCAACATTACGAAGGTGTTTCATAATTATGCTAAGCAAAGAGCATATTGTGAAAGTTCAATTTCTGATTTTAATGTTTATTGTCAAAGAAAACTCAAATTTTTCTATACTTTCATTTATAAGGAAATATTTGTTAAAAAATATAATGTAGTTGATGCGCAAACAAGTCCAAAGATTGGGCACATTTTTAATCGTAACGTTTTAAGTCACCAGAAACGAAATGTAAAGACAAGAACATTAAAACGAATGACAAAAAAAACGAATTTGCTTTTTCAATTCAACGCCGATTGTTTCACGAGACGAATTTCAAAGATTTTGGACGAATCGGAATGATAACAATTTGAATTATACTGAACCTTAAATGCATGGGCGGATCCAGAGGGGGGCCAAAGGGGGCCATGCCCCCCCCCCCCCCCAATAAAAAAAAACCGAAACCAATTTTTTTTTTTTAAGTGACATCACAATAAAGGCTGGCAATGAGTACACCAACACCTTTTCCTCAAAAAAACATTGGTTAAAGTGGTCAGAAATTGCCTCAGATCGCACTACAGAGCATCTAGAATCAAAAACAAATTGGGGGCCCTTAAAGGGAAAATACAACATTTGCAAACATCAAAAAATAAAACTACCCAATCATTTTGAAATACCTTGCTGGACTGTTAGTGAATGACAGTGTAAAGCATCCTGTAAAATCATGGCACCTGGTATACTGTCATTTTCAAGAAAAGTGCTATTTTTGTATCAATTTCCAACGCTGATCGGCCGATCAGCGTTGGAAAAAACTGGCTTTTTTTTCAAATACTGGCCCCAGTTGACCATTGCACTTGTTTGCAATCGATTACACACCTATGAACGGGTACAAGCCAGCTAGACTGGTTCCCTGACCTTACAATTCCCCAATATATGTAAACTGCACTGTTTCTTCTTAAATAGTCAGGGAACCAGACTACAGGAAAATGATTGTTTTACTTGGTTTTTATAGCATTTTCGAACCCAAAACCTCAAAAAAGTCAGTGTAACTATATTTGCTATATATTTCCAAACCCCCAATTCCATCCATTTCTGAAAATTACAGCAAAAGCAAATGATGTATATTCCCTTTAAGCGGGACCCGAACCCCACGCCGTAATTTTTTGGACCCACTTTTTTGGGGGACCAACAATTTTATGGCCCCCCAAAAAAATTGCGTTCTGGATCCGCCCTTGCTTAAATGAAATCTAGTGGTGGCTTTCTGAAATTCAAATTGAGAATTGAGCTTGGCGATGTTCGGGGACGAAATTTAAGTATCGATATAGGGAATTCGTGTGATACAAGTGTTAAAATAGCCGGGAAAACCTATATTTTATTTTGGGTTGTTTTTATTTGTGGTGCTTTTGTCAATCTGCCCTCCAGAAGATTGTTTCCATTTCACAACACATTTTGCAAAAGGGGGTAGGAACCATGTATTCCCTAAATATGTTCTTTTTGCTTATTGTTAAAAGTATACACATATTAATATAATATTTCATCACGATTTGAAAGTATTGAAATAAATGCGTATGTGAATTCATTGGACATTGTTTCCATGCCGCAACACGAATTTTGAAGTAATTATTGCATATAACTTAAGTACGCCGATTTTTTTTCGGTCCATGTCTTATTCACAAGTAAAATAATAACCGTATAGTAACTTGATAGACATATCTTAGCTGGGCCTATGTCAAAGTGGTAAAATTTCTATTCAGTGGGGGGGGGGGGGGTGTCAGTGCACCCAACGGCCGTTGAAAAAAAAATAGCAAAGCGGGAAGGTGGGGGGGGGGGGGGGCCTGGATATTACTTGAATCAATCGGAATAGTTTTGTGCGCCCTGGCTTACTAGTAAACGGGTCTAGAACCAACTGGCTTGCGTTACCTTGACACAAACATAGACAGAAACTGATCACGAATGAGAGAAAAAGACATTAATGCTAATCACGAAAGGTAAATTTGTTCCGAAATTTACTACCGAAAAACCATCCAAATTGGAGAAGGCTAATTGACCTACCTATGCACACGTGTGCAGTACACCATCGCTGCTTGAATATGAGGTGCGGCGTCACCACCTTTCTCAGCACGATCCAATCACGAAACAGTCATCCACTGGAAAAATATTGAGCAAGAGAGATGCCTTTTCATATTGGATTCATTAGATTTATTATTCAAAGTCTTATATCTAAAGAACTGTTAGCCCGATTGGATGGAAACGAAACCGCGTCATTTGGACCAAGAAACTGAAACGTGTCATTGTGACTCAGACGAGTGTACGAGTCGGGTCAAATTTGACCAGGCCCCCAGGTTGAATTTGACCCGGAATTTAAGGTTTATCGTTCTATCTGGCGTGTACCTGTACACGGTAATCAGTAATGAGGCCTCTTGTCCTTGGTTTCTCAGCACGATCCAATCTTCGAACACCTATCCATCTGCCGTGAGCAAAAGTGAGGAAGGAAGCCTTTTTTCAATAATAAATCCTTTCCAACATGGCGGCAGCGTCCGAGGGGCGTAAACTTAAGTTTGCACGTAAGCCCCAATATCTCAGGTATTTATAGCAGGTTAAACTTTGGCGATAAAAGGTTCAAATTTCAAAAAGTCATAGGATAGATAATGATATCTCGTTAATTTTCTAGTTGCGGTTCTACGCGGTTCATAGTCGGTGAAAAGTCATATGATAGATAATGATACCTCGTTAATTTTCTAGTTGCGGTTCTAGGCGGTTCATAGTCGGTGAAGGGTGATTTCATGATAGTGTCACCTACTTTTCGAATTTATCCACTTCGTTTGGTGGCTTTAAAGGGACATCGCACATAAATATTGACGCCAATATGGACGCCAATATTCACGACATAGACCCATGGGCGTCGCCAGGATTTTTTCTAGAGGGGGGCAAAAAAAAATTTTGCCAAAAAATGCTGGTATTTCTCAACATATTCTCGATTTATCAGTTTTAGAGGGGGGCAGGGACATTTTGCCCCCCCCCCCACTCTTTAAATTTATACCACTTTGTCTTCGCGCCTCTTTTTCATTTTTTTTTTCTTTTCTTTTTTTCTTCCCCTTTTTTTTTTTTTTTTGTGCTTTTCCAGGGGGGGGGGGGAAGTGCCCCCCTTGCCCCCCCCCCCTCGCGACGCCCATGCATAGACCCAAGTCGCAAATATTGACGCCAAAATTGACGCCAATATTCACGACATGGGCCCATGGGTCCCAAGTCGCGAATATTGACACCAATATTGACGCAAATATATACGACATGGGCTCCAAGTCGCAAATATTGACGCCAATATTGACGCCAATATTTACGACATGGCCTCCATGTCGCAACTATTGGCGTCAATATTGGCGTCAATATTTGCGTCAATATTGGCGTCAATATTGGCGTCAATATTTTGTGCGATTTCCCTTTAAAGCCACTATAACTTCGAGAATGTTCGTCGAACAAACATAATACCTATGATCATTGATGCTCTATTAATGGAGAGGGGGGGGGGGTTCAATCCAAAGCTGATTAACCCCACAAAAACAATGAAGAGAAATTAATGAAAGAGGACAGATCATGCTTTAATTAGAGAGAATGGTAACTTGAACAGTTTCCCGATTTTTGTGACGGTGGGGTCATATTTTTTTATGAATGAAGTCACAATATCAGGGTAACCGTAAGGTCATGACCAAATTCTGCTAAATGCACTTCAAAAATCTGTCAGAATTATCAAAAATCTGTCAAATTCCCCAGAATTACTCAAAATGCGCTATAAACACTTAAAACCACATGCAGATATTGTAGTATTGCCTTAATTAAGGTTCAAATTACATTACAAGCAATCTATTGTCACAAAAAGATGTTATGCAATTGAATTTCAGGCAAAGCGGTTGCGCATCACATTGAAATCTGGTTCCCAGTGAACCTTAGCCTTTCGCCCAGGCCTTCGTGGCTTAGAGCGGCGGAGTTGCGAAGACCCGAAGCGACAGGAGCAAAGATTAAGTCAGCACGCACGAGTGGCAAAGCCACGAGGCCTTTTGCAACTTGATTTTGTTGAATTATTCATATTTTTATGCAAATAAGAAGCTTGCTGAAGGTTAACCAATCACAACACGGATTTTGCCTAGTCGCTTCCATTTTTAAAAGAAGGGTGAGTAAGGAAACCGTAAGATCAAATAACTGTAAGTTCAGATGAAAAATAAGTTCATACCCTCAAATAATTTGTTGAAATACCTTTATAAGTAAAGTTAAAATAAGATAATGTAATAACAATTACGCAGTCACGATCTCGTGGAAAACTAGACTCACATTTTTTGTTTTTAAATTTTGTGCAAGCATCCGACGTGACGCGTCGACGCGTCCGCGTGGTAGCCACGCACGCACGAAAAGGCTGATGATTGGTTGGAATTTTGCTACCCTGTTGGGGTAGCAAAAATCGAGATTATAAAGAAAAACATAAGAATTTCTCGACAAGTTGCAAAAGGCCCTCGTGGATTCGCCACTCGCATGTGTGGTCTCCATCTCCAGTCGCTTCGCGTTCGCCGCTTTGAATGCGGGCAAGCCACGATGGCGTTGGTGAAAGGCTAAGTGAACCTCAGCACCTAGACCAGCCAATCTGTCCCATCATGCAAGGGTTTGTTTAAAAAGATTGAAGCTTTTTTAAACAAATGTATCATTTTCTTCAAATTTGCTATGTTTCTCTGTAAACTATCCATTTTTGCAGAATTCTGCCAGACTGAATCTGCCAAAAAATCCATTCTGTCAAATATTCTGTCAAACTCGTTTTTTAACAAAAAATCTGTCAAAGTTAGCCGAAAATCGGCTAAAACGGTCACCCTGCACTAAATATGAAGCGATTTATGACGCATAAGCACCCTTTGGTGGCGCCCTTCTGATATCGCTAGCTAGCTTTCGAGCTGTCGAGAGTAGGAAAGGAAGAGAGAAACGTTTGAGTTTTGATTGAACTCCTCAACCCCCCAGTCTGCCAGTGTTATCTCAAACTACACCATGCCGAAAGTGAAGCGATCCAGGAAGCCACCGCCTGAAGGATGGGAGTTAATAGAACCAACACTCGAAGAAATTGAGCAGAAAATGAGAGAAGGTAAATTGGGGTTGTTACGTTTTCCCAATCAAGCGTCTGGTTCCCTGACCCAACAATTAATTATGTCACAACTTAACGTTACATCAGGATCTTTGGCTCTTGGAACCAGACTATCAACAAAATGGTTCTCGGACTTTACTTTAGTTAAAGGGAATATACATCATTTGCTTTTGCTGTAATTTTCAGAAATGGATGGAATTGGGGGGTTGGAAATATATAGCAAGGTACAACTATAGAATGCAGGGCCACTTTACTCTACATCCGCGCCTCCGTACGGCTGCGTGGAGGCGTGGAACCGCAGTCGACCTACCTCCGAAAATCGATCGTGGAGTCGTGGAGCCGCAGAGAATTGCGCCCTCTATCGGTGCGTGTCTCTGCGACTCCGCGACTCTGCGCCTCCGCCACCAGTGTATAGTGCCCCGCGTCACGCAGAGAATTGCGCCCTCTATCGGTGCGCGTCTCTGCGCCTCCGCCACCAGTGTATAGTGCCCCGCGTCACGCAGAGAATTGCGCCCTCTATCGGTGCGCGTCTCTGCGACTCCGCGACTCCGCGCCTCCGCCACTAGCACTCCAGTGTATAGTGCCCCGCGATTCTGCGACTCCAAGACTCCGCGCCTCCGCCGCTCCAGACAGTGCCCCGTCGCCCTCCTCCCTTCCTAATTGGCCCGCCCATTTAAAGCGATTCTGCGACTCCAAGACTCCGCGCCTCCGCCGCTCCAGACAGTGCCCCGTCGCCCTCCTCCCTTCCTAATTGGCCCGCCCATTTAAAGCGATTCTGCGACTCCAAGACTCCGCGCCTCCGCCGCTCCAGACAGTGCCCCCAAAACATTTACAAGCACGCCCTCCCTTCCGATCCTTCATGAGAAGCTTAGAAGACAAGTGCAGTGCATTCCTTCGCTGTACTTAGCACTTTTTTGCAGGTTTGCATATCTATTACTCCTATTCCATCCACGCCTCCAGGCAAAATAAAAAACCTTGCTTCGGCGTGGCCCTGCATTCTATAGTTGCTCCTATAGCAAATATAGTTACACTGACTTTTTTGAGGTTTTGGGTTCGAAAATGCTATAAAAACCAAGAAAAACGATCATTTTCCTGTAGTCTGGTTCCCTGACTCCATATAAGAAGAAACAGAGCAGTTTACATACATTGGGGAATTGTAAGGTAAGGGAACCAGTGTAGCTGGCTCGTACCCGTTCATAGGTTTGTAATCGATTGCAAACAAGTGCGATGGTCAATTGGAGCCAGTATTTATAAAAAAAAGCCAGTTGTTTCCAACGCTGATCGGCCGATCAGCGTTGGAAATTGATACAAAAATACCACTTTTCTTAAAAATGACAGTATACCAGGTGCCATGATTTTACAGGATGCTTTACACTGTCATTCACTAACAGTCCAGCAAGGTATTTCAAAATGATTTGGTAGTTTTATTTTTTGATGTTTGCAAATGTTGTATTTTCCCTTTAACTTAAAAACTCTTTCAAAGCCACTGATCATTGAGAAGAAACATGAATCATGTGAATTGAGCATTATTAAGATAGTTGATATTATAATGCCGGAGGTAATGCCGGCAAGCCAACGTTTACTAAAGGTTTGCCGGCGGCAATCCATATCAACAGAGGGCGCACTAAGATAGGGCTGAATTAAATAAGAATAACCACCAATATTTTGCTGACTGAACCTAGACCCACCAACTGGGGCGCTAGTAGAACTCCTTTTTTGACATTTGGGACATGTGGGATGTAGTCTGTCCTACTAGCCCCCCACAACGCATAAATCCTCATTTCGGAGACTGTCAAACATGTCAAATAAATGTCATTTTTCCAGACCATTCCCCTCAAAAGTTACTTACTTGTTACTTGGTAGTTATCCTCCTGAATACTCCACGCGGAAGTCTAACAAGGAGGCCTTGGGAAAGTGGAACTAAATTAAATCCTTAAAGGTGTTGTGGTTTGGGGCGTCTGTGGTGTCTTGAGGGAGCTTGTTCCTTTTCCGGATAGTTCTGGGTAGGAATGACTGCATATATATGTCTGTCCTTGCTGCAATTTCTGTGAACAAGTTGCCAAAAATCACGAAAAATACTTGACAAAAATACTTTCAAAATTCAAAGCACCTACATGTATTGGCTTCTCTACATGTCAAAGATGAAGTAATGGGGCTTCAGTGAAACTCACGATTATTTTAGGGGTTAAAAATCCGTGAAATTCGACCAGTTTAGCACAGACATCAGACAGCAAAACGCCACCAGCTAGAGTCTAACAGCGCATTGTCTATGGACATTACAAACGTGTAGGCTGGCATGGCGTGTTAGAAACAATTGCGTTCAGCTGATCGCGAAAAAAGTAGTCACGTGACCGCACATGTACATGTAATGAACGCTGCAGCGGCACATTTGGTATTGCACATAATACCAAATTGGTGTCCATGTGGTATCTGAATCAGTGTTGTTGTCATTTTTTGAAGTGATCATTGAGTTTAAGAAAGCAAAGAGCCATATTTTGGGACTATGAGGCTCAGTCAGAGCAATTGATGTGAACAGCGGGCCCAGTTCAGATAAGGAATTAAATAATGTTTCTTTTGTTTCATTCTATTTAAAAAAAAAAATTCTTGTGTCTTTTTCCAGCTGAGACTGAGACTCATGAAGGGAAGCGTAAAGTTGAATCCTTGTGGCCCATCTTCAAGACACATCATCAGAAATCCCGCTATGTGTACGACCTGTTCCACAAGAGGAAAGCCATAAGCCGCGGTGAGTTGTATTCATATACGTACATGTTTAATTTTTGTATTGTTATACCATGGTGTGATTGGTGTCACATGTACATAGATTGTGAAATGTCATTGGTTGAGAACTGTTCACATGACAAACTGCTACAGATCATGTAGGTACATGTACATCTCCTCATGCATGTCTTGTTACCCTGTAACACCATCTTATGAAAATCTACATGTATAACGTCACCTTTTTTTTGCCCTTCACTGTTTTTGTTCTTCACTGTTTTTTTCCTTCACTGTTTTTGCCCTTCACTGTTTTTGCCCTTCACTGTTTTTGCCCTCTACTTATAAACACTGTATACTCAGTGTTGTGCCTAGTGATTGTGAGAAGAAATTCACAAACTACTCGGGTGGGACTCGAACCCATGACCTCCTGCTTACTAGTGCAGACGTCTCATGCCACTCGACCACCGAGCTTGCATGGTTGGCTGGCCTGTTTGAAGCCCACATAACAGCAAGTACCGCAACCAAGCTATTCGTAAGATGGAATTTGTGCAGGGGTGTGAAATCTCAGCTTTAAGGCTGATTCCAGCTTTGTTTGTTTTGGATTTCAGCTTTTTCCCTCACTTGTTGTGTACAAAAGTATAGGAGATTTCCAAAGTTCAGCTTTTGTTTTTACACCTTTTCCAGCTGTTTTCAGCTATTTTTATCAGTGGTCACTCACACCCTTGTTGTCTCAGGGGGATGTTATATTCAATATTGGTAGCTGTGCCCTTCACCAACGTGTTCAAGTAGTCAAGCTGGACAACAATGAGTATACAGTGTTAAGAAAAAGACGTCAGTGCAGAGCAAAACCATTCTTTACCTATTTTTCCTGTTTGCAGAGCTTTACGACTACTGCATCAAGGAGGGTTTTGCCGATAAGAATCTGATCGCTAAGTGGAAGAAGCAAGGCTATGAGAACCTGTGTTGCCTGCGCTGCATTCAGGCCAGAGATACAAACTTTGGCACCAACTGCATATGCAGAGTCCCCAAGAGCAAACTGGAGGAGGTAAGATACTTCGAATTAAGGCTTTAGATTTCTCACCCCTCAAATAATGGATTTCTTGTGTATTTTGAGCCATGCAGCAATGCATGCTAAATTTCCTGAAAGGTTGTGTTTCCTGAATTCAAAATCTAGATTTTTTTTCACTTGATAAATGCTATGTGAACTACTTACTTGTACGTAGTAAATAACCATGAAAACTTAAAAAAAATCAAAGGAGCATGATCAGTAACCGTGAGAAAAATCCATTAATCATTTCCGACAAAAGCTCTCTGAAATTCCCCTGCAAAAGATATCTAGAGGTACAGAATTCAATTTGTCCTGATTGCCTATCTGGTAAGCAGCTTCCACAGCAAATATCAAGTGAGAAAAAAAAATTCCAGATTTCGAATTCAGGAATACAAATTATCAAGTGAAAAAAGTCAAAATTTCGAATTCAGGAAATACAAATTATCAAGCGAAAAAAATGTCAAAATTTCAAATTCAGGAAATACAAATTTGCAAGATAAGATATTGAGCATACACTTCTGTGTAACTGTAATTATGGATCTAAGAATCTGGTATTGAAGCCACATTTATGGGGCTATGTATCTCTGCAGATGCTCACGAGGCTTACGCATACATCTTACAGTTGCCATTTCATGAAAGTGGCATGAGTTTAGGAGACAGAGTTTGTCCAACGTTTTCGAAGGAACTTTCCTGAATCCTCTGAAATCCTTTGCTGTGTAGGACTCATTGGCAGATAAACAACTTTTTTTTCTTGTCTGTCATCAGGGTCGCATTGTAGAGTGTGTTCACTGTGGATGTAGAGGATGCTCTGGCTAGCAAGAGGAAAAATGACGTCGAGGAAATGTACATCTAGGAACCTAAACTATCTGAGACTCCATAACTTCTCCAAGACCAACGTTTAACTATTCTGGACAGCAAGAGCTACTTGCTGTTGTGATTGTGTATGCTAAATGTGTAACTGATGAGAGCCTTGACTGGAATATTTAGCACATTTAATAATATTCCTGGACTGGAAATAACAGCCGATGATCATTAACACTATCCATAACATCACGGTTCTTGGTGCAATAATTACATGTTGTCAAGGCAGCACTTCAGTGCATGGTTGGCCAACAATGGGGGCATGCCAAGAGCTGGATCTAAAGCCATGCTTTTTCGAACGTGAATATTTGGTTAATTTCTTTAGGGGTTGGATACTGAAAAATATTGGCATGCATCTGGGTCATTTTATAAATTTGGGGTCCCTTTTTTTTCTGTCCCTGTTACATCTGACATCTATGATTGAATAATTCTGATGCACTCCTTAATGCAGTCATTCCTCCAAGAGTGATTATGAATATCAAACTACCTACCCAACAAATAACAAATAATTTGAAGTCATTCTTAATGATACTTGAATGGCAAATGACAAAGCACCAAGGTAACAGAGACAGGAAAAATGACACACTTTGGATCCTAAATTTATAGAATGACAGGTCTGCATTGTGTACACGTATGCACATTGACACCCCAGCGTTAATATGTAAAAAGAGAATCTGATTTTGTTAATAGGCTTGTACAGTTCTGTGGTGGGTTTAAGAATAATCAAGTTTTGATAATGTAGAAACTGTTCTTGGTTTTATAATTTCTTTCATACATGCAAGATGCACACATTGGTTAGGCCAAAAAAAGAATCTCCTGTTTCTGGTATGGAGCTTGCCCCAAAAGTGGTGCGGCGACGCGGCTTTTTTTTTTTTTTTTTTTTGGCTTCAAATGTCGGCTGATGACTGCAAATGGTGCCCGACTAAACTTAGTGCAAATATATGGGAGTCCAGAGAGGCCACATAAAGCTTATTCTCGATCATAACCCCATCTAAAAACACGTTAAAATTGTGCAGCAGCAGAATTCCAGTCAAACCAGTGAGTTTGGCGGTTTTGAGACATCATCTTGTATTGAAAAAAAAACTTTTTCATTTTGCCGACGCGCATGGCTACGGCGACGCACGCGCATACCAGAAACCGGAGACTTTTTTTTTTTGGCCTTACATGCAAGTTCAATTGCGAAACCTCTGGAACGCATTTTCTGCTCTTAGGTAATTAAGTGTGCAACACATCACCAAAAAGATATTACCACAATGTAGACAAACCTGGCATGATTATTGTACACTCACAAGGCCCCCTTCAATGGAGAAACCATTGTGCTAGCTATTGTACAAACAACCTACCACATGGCGGATTATCTGAACAATAGATAGCACAATATTCTGGCCATTGAAGGGGGCCTTCATGATAGATATGATAGTGTTACCGGATTGGATCAATAAGTTGGATCAACATTTCTAGGGGTTTCAGGAAATTTGCAGCCTGCAAGCATCCCAATACTTGTATCGTTTAAATTCATTTATGTCTTCTTTTTTCATATTGTACACATTTTATGGCATCGTTTAAGAGCTTTTGTGCAAAGGACTAAATTTCCCAGATACAAGCGGAAAACAAAAAGAAATTTGAGAAATTTAGTTGTACGTGTATGTAGTTAGCATCAGTTTGTAATAACTTGATTATTTCATGTTTGTTTCTATATCTGTAAATTAATAATAAATAGTTGGTTTTGGTTTTGAAAATGCCTTGTGTTTTCTCGCTCATGATTATTCAATTTCTCTTACATTTTCTTAGACTGAAGATATGGACAAATAAACAAAACCTACAATTACAACAAAGTTGACAATTACCACATGCAATTCACATTTATTCATATACAATGTGCCTCTGTCTATGAAGAACAAATCTTTTTTTCCTGGCAATCTGATTGATTTACAATTTTCTTTATACAGGAAGAGTTTGAATTCAATTGTATCAAAAGTTGGTCTTTGAAAAGAGGCAGTTTGTCCAGGTCTCATTACCATGGTTACAGTTAACATTGAAGCTTTCAGAATACAGCGCATTAATTTTGCTGTATAAAGAAAATCATGCCAAGTTTACAGCCTTAGAACTGACGTTTCATTTTATGGTTCAAACACACGGTGATTGAAAGAAAAATTCCAGTTAAGTTTAAAACAATCCGGGACAATGGACAATTTAGTGCAAACCGAATGAAAGCCCATACTGTATCGTGTTTGTTTCTTTTTTCCAAAAATCCCAAAATTAGTTGGAGCACGAAACAAAAGGTATTAACCAATCTTCATCTTTATAATCGAAAAATAAAATTTGTAATCACTGAAAAATGAAGTACATTGCCTTTTTAGTCTGTCTCTTTTATGTCACTTTTTTGAAACCCACATATCAATACTCAAAGAATTCAACTGAATTAAATTGTGCTTAAATTTGAATAAATAAACCATGGAATGGGCAGTTTAATATCACACATGTCGTGTATAACTACTGTTTTACATATAACTACATGTCTTTGCTATGGTAACTGGACAAACATTTTGATTCTTAAGTACATGATGTACTAATTCAATTGTGCTACTTTTTGTTACCTAAATCAACACAAATCTAAATAAAGCTCTGTGTAAACACATTACTGAAACTAAATCATTGCTGAGCTTGTCTAAAGAAACGTTTCTAGTTTCATTAAACATACAAATACCACATAAAATACAACCTGCAATAATCTTCAAACAAATAATTAACTCATAAATCTGTCTTTGGCACAAATAAGCATTACTGTCAAAACAAATAAATTAAATTGGTTGTGAGAGTCATTTAGGCAAAACTGTAATTAAGTCTACATCTTCCTATTGTGCAGATTAGTCGAACGTGAATCCTGGCCAGCGCCAGTTGACCATGAATGTTTAGAACTTGTATAGTTAAAAAAAATTGGGTCATTTGCGGTAAAAACCCATCAATGTGTTATGCATTGCAACACTTTTGATGTACATGTATTTCCCGGTGTGCACGTTTTTTTTTAAAGGCGTATTATCAACGGAATCAAGTTACAAGACCACTTTTTTTTCTTAATGTTTTTCTGTTTTTTCAAAGTATCCACTGAGCTGAAAAGTCTCACCCCATGAACATGAAACAGAAATCATCGCGTATATCTTTAATCTAAAATCTAAACACTTTCTGGATACATGTCTGTTTTGTCAAGAAGCCTCATCATGTTTTTGTGCATAGTTATTGACATTTACATGTTTGTAGGGTAAGGTTCAAAGTTAAAGTGGAGAAGTTGGGTATTTTTTCTCAAAGAGTCTGCAGGAAAATCACATCAACCCGACTTCCTACTTAGTTTTACTAAGTAGGAGACCGTGTCCATCAAATTCCATCATTCACTCTGCTTCACATAAATGCTTCAGGACCAAATCCATTAAAATCCGCCACTAGTGCTGGTGGATTTTGATGGACTTTGATGGCTTATCTGCCAAAATCCCCCCAAAAGGGGGATGGAATTTGATGGAGTTGGTAAGGTAAGGGCAAAAGATAAGTACTCTACTAGAGTTTTCAATAATTTGGGGGTAGGGTCGAAAAGGTGTCTGATAGGATACAGAGTGGTGAGACCACGAATAAGGATGGCAATTTAAGGAAATGGTCAACAGTCATAAAAGGAACTTTTTTTTGGTTGGAAAAGAAATCAAAATATATCAATTCAAATACAATTACTTTAGTTAATAGCACAGTCATCTATACACATTGCATATAAACACATTTTTGTAAGTCTACTTCACATAATCACAACGGTCACACACCCAACAAACTATGTACAATCGCCACAGTGTTTGTTGATATCTAAAACACAGTTTCATCTTAAGTACAATACATGTACAGTTAATTATTTTGTCTATGTACAACAATGGATAAATGTACACTAAATTTGCAAATTACAACTGAATTTTGGCCATTTCTACAAGTACCTACAAGTAAGTGAATTCAGGTTAGGGTGTGTTGGCAGCAATCTGGGTTTCTCTGTCCTGTTTTGTTCCTGTGGGATCTAAAAACTACAATAAGTAAGTGTTTTTGAACAACTTCTCTTATTTTCATTTCTGCTCCGATTTTCTGGTCGGGGAAAAAAATGGAGCTCTGTTATTTTGCAGAATTGTTGTCCACAACATTGCTCAGCCTATTGTGAGTAGGAAAAAATTAGCAGCCAAAACAAAGTTTTGTTGCGTATTTTTGATACATATATGTGTTTCCCCTTTCTTTATACCCAGTAGCATTTAAAAAAAAAGGTCTACAAGTTCATTTTCTGGTTGGAGCCCCCACAACATATTTTAACAGTCGCGGTGTTTCAATAACTAATGTATGCTCACGGAAATACACGGATGTTGAAATATACATGTACTGGTAACCCCATATTTTTTCAAAATGGCGGTGGGGGTACCTTGTAGCCATAGTTACGCTACTGCTAATACCTGAGGTACCTGTCAATCATCAAAAACGAACAAAAAATCTTACAGTCCACCCAAAGATATCTTAGCACACATTACATGAAGTATGGTTTACATGTACATGTAGTAGAGCTAACGTCTAGACTATGGCAGGCTATGGTGTCATGTGATAGGTCCAACACAATAAAGAAATGAGGCAAATCACGAGACTAGACTAGCGCTTCCTTGAACAGGGCGCGTTGCTCATTTCCTCCGATAAGGTGAACTATATCTTACTCTATTTCTACATGTTCTATATACAGATTTATCAAAGTCATCTACTGTACAGTATATTACACCATTTTTTGTTCTTTAATCTAACAAAAACTGTTTCTATGCTTTTTACACAAGAAGTTAAGCTACTCTGCCAACCCGTTGCCACTAACGACATTTCTTAAGTACACTGATATTTACACACATATAAATCACTTTTAATTTTTTATTATTTTTTTTATTTTCATATTTCATAGGGTGTTAACTATGCCTTGTTTGTATAAATCCCATGTTTTTTTTATTATAAAATATCCAACATCACTGTGCTTGAGAGTTTCATGAAAAGAAAAAAAATGTCAAGAACTCTTGCATGTGCAGTTTGCAAAGTTGATGCTTGGTTAAGTACTTGGCTGTAGGCAAGTTAAGGTTTACTTTCGTTTGCAACTTTTTCAAGAACAAATTTTAAGTAGACTCAACTCAACGATTTTAAGTGAAATGCGGCATTTTCTGTTGAAGTTCATTTGTGGGCAAGCATCAGAGTATTTGAAGACGAATTTTAATGACAAACTTCTAAACTTGTCAGAGCAAAACCATGTATATCTCCAAGGCCTCTTCTCAAAAAAGAAACCATTTTCCCCTAATGTTTAACAATTCTTTAATGGACAACTAATATATTTCAGATTGATTCGAAAAATATTCAAAATAAATATCAATTTAAAAAAAAATGAAAAATTAAGTAGAATCGCCAGGACATTTCAAACTCATCCCAGATGTACGTGTATCATGCGTGTTCAAGGATGCTCCAGTGCAGTGCAGTGAAAGCAGTCACTACAAACTTATAATGATCACTTCATGTTTTACACAATTTGACCAAATTCAACCAGTTTCATCTTTTCCTAGATGTTTAAAGATTTCAAATATTATTCTCAAATTCACTTTGCAAAAAATATCTGCACAGACGTTCTCTGCAATACTGAAACAGGATCACACTGCCAACTCCAACATGTGCAACTGGCCTCCCTTATAAAACGTGTCCCTATAAATCCTCTGGACCTCTCTTTTCCACATTTTGCATGTGCAATTATTACCTTAGAACAAATTAACAAAACTTTGTAACTGCAACACAAGGAACAAAACTCAGTTGGCACTAGAGCACACTTGGCACTAGAGCACACTAATTAAATTACATGTATCCTACATCTCATCACCGTACACCAATCCGATATTGCAATTACAGAGGTGGTTTAGTTTGCCATTTCTGGGACGTTTCCATGCCTGATGCCATTCACAAGTGCGCTATCTAAAGCTCTAAACACTTCAGTAATGGTGCTTCCATTGTACAGGGTGAGTAAAAAAAACCCTGAAATCCAAATGTCGGGACTATTTTTTTTAGTGAATTTCTGCATGTAGAACTTTCAAATTCTAGGATATGAAAACCCAATTCATAAGCATTCTTTTAGTATTAGAATCATTCAAATCACTCGTGTACTTTCCAAGTTACACAACCACTGGATTAAAGTTCTGTCCACGGATCACAAAAAAGAAAACGAAAACAATTCACACACATCTCTATATGTGATTTGTTTTCAGAGAACTGCACCTTCTTGTGATCTGTGGACAGAACTTGAAAACGGTGGTTGTGTTTAAAATTCCTTAACTTGAAAAGTAATTGAGTGATTTAAATGATTTTTGTACTAAAAGAAAGCTTATGAATTTGGCTTTCATATCATAGAATTTGAAAGTGCTACATGCACTTCACTAAAACAATAGTCCCGACATTTGGGTTTTGCTTTTTTTATTCAACCTGTGTGAAATACCAGTGTGAGCTTTGGAGCGTCCCGGTAATGGTGGAAAACCAGCCAAGGAATCACAACAAAAAGTAGGCAACTCAGATTGGAAGCAAAACTCGTCAGAATCCAAAACTCATCATCAGAATCAAAACTCGTCGTCCGAACTCAGCAACCCGGACTTCTCGTTCTGACTGGACTTGCTGCTGAGCTTGGGTAGGCGGATCCCGCCTCCGACGCCCCCTCCTCCTCCCCCTCCCTTTCCCCCGCCCTCTTTGGAGTTGATGCTACCTTTGAAGCCCTTGTTGCCCGCGCCGTTGTGGCGGCCCGTGGTCTCACTGTCGTCCGTGGTGCCTTGCTGCATGTAGGTCTGGTAGGCCGGGGAGAAGTTGTGGATGGTGTCCTGGAACATGTCCCTGGGGTTGACGGTGTCCTTCAGGTTGCTGGAAATACTCTGGATAAACAAGAAATCAATTCAAGATTCGTTTATGGTAAAACTTACTTATATAAGATTTTAGGCTTTGCATCAGTGTTATTAACTAATCACCATGTGTTAATAACTACTGTCGCTCAGTAGATATATTCAGTTCGAATAAGAACTTGTCCTGCTTATTATTGAGTAGGTTTTTTTTAGTTCTGATAAGAACTTGTCCTGCTTATTATCACCTTTCATTAAGTAGTTTTTAGTTCTGATAAGAACAGTCCTTCTTGGTTCTAAAAGAACTTGTCTTTGATCTCATAACTTACTTAATCATACTAAGGACCAGTACAATCACCATATGGCCTGGTGCGTTAACAAATCTTGTAGTTGATTCTGACGATAATAATAACTTAATAAGGATGTGTACTTATAGGTACACATATCCACCAGGTTAGGTACTCAAGGCGCTACATCATTATTACCCTGCTCAATGGGCCAAAGAAGCATCAAAAGACCATCTCAGCTCCCTGGGGAGTATACAGCCCGATGCTGCCATTTCGGCACAAATTATCCACAATAAACATCTCTGCTCTCACAGGTACCCATTTACTCCAGTGTGGGGAGAAGCAATGAGTGACACAGTGCCTTGCCCAAGGGCACACGCACCATAACCCCAGGCTGGACTCAAACTCACAACCTGCAGCTTTACCCACAGACCACGAATTCAATGCTCCAGACCATGAGGCCATGGCACTCCACCACTGAAGAGTGGTGGAATCAAGTTCTGCCTATGGGTTTTGGTGTATGTGTCCATAGGTAAGACACTTTCTCATGAATTGTCCCACACCAATCAGGGTAGCCGTTACAGCAGGGATGGCCTGTGTTTGAATCAGTGTTTGAATTAAATGTAGCTTCCTTCCATGTGATCTGATTGGCTTAGCTTTCAAGTACATTGTATGTGCACACAAGGAAAGCAGTGGCTATTTATGTCAAGGAGCTCTTAACCCATTGAATCTGAAGTTGCTGTGCTTTTCCATGTAATGAATAATTCAAACCAACAATTTAATTTGCATAAGACGGCCACGCCCACGCCCCCGCAGGCTTCAAAAGACATTAGCTTGTGCAAGTAACTAAAATTGAGAAAAGAATTTAGAATTTAGATGCCACTTCAGTGGTTGTATACAAAGCCTATGGAGAGCCAAGAACATTTTTAAAGTATTTCCTAACAAAATTGGAAACGTTTCGCAGTCCAATTAAGATTCATGTCTTTTAACATTTTGCAATGACTGACCTTCATTGAGATAATGCGTGATGAACAAAGTGGCATAAGGATGCAACAATCTTTCAAAAGTAGGTTATAGCCAGTTATGTGAGGGCGCACTACCATGACTACTATGCAAATCGGTCACTCTTGACAAAGACTAGAGCCATACCTGCATGGTAGATGGCCTAGCTGGCTGGCCGTCTGACAGCAATGTGCACTGCTCGTAGGTGGAGTACGGGAACGCCAGATGGAGACCAATGGCTGCAAAGAACATCTCCACGCAGACCAGGAAGTTCTGGTACCCGGCCGAAACGGTACCCGCCTGGACTGTCTCCCCTCCTCCCTCCACCTCCAGGGGCGTGATGGCTCCACCCAACTCCAGAATGGCTAGCAGGACACCTGTGAGATGGTAAACAAAAAACAAATGGAATACACTACAAATCAACAATTTTGCTACAGTCAAAGTTAATGACAAGTTACTATAGTGTAATCCCTCGAAATAAGAAACGTTACATCTCCAGGATCAAAACATTATAGGCCCTCTATCTTTTTTGGATTCCCCGCGAAACAAGTTTGGTCACTCAGTTTCCAGCAGCGTTCAAGTAATTCCAAGGCTGGTAATGGACCTTATTCAAGAGGAAGCCATCTTGGTTGTGTTCCCTGAATGTATTTTATAAATTGTGAACTGTTGAATGGGATGGTGCCAGACTATTAGCATTCTAGCCTCACTCTCCATTTTTTAAATGTGGCTTAAAACACCAGGGTATGTTTAATCACAAATGTTAAATTATTCATCAGACCAGACTGGTATTAATTTGTAATCAACTTGATGTCATTGCTTTCATTTCTCTTTGCAAGTTTCAAAAACGAATATATTACCTTGCTTTTAATATAATATGGCCAACTCGTGAATAAAGCCTATACCTACTGGACGGCTAGCCCAGTGGTTTAAGTGTTAGTCTTGTGCTTTCTATCAATCGGGTCTACAGGTTTGTCACACTACTGGTCACTGTTTAGCATCAAATACTCCTTTAATTTGAAGTCCCTTTTACTAAAGCAAAACGTTCATCTTGAGAATTCATACTCAGCTTTATTGCAATTTTGGTTTCCCAGATACCATTCATGACAATGAAGGAGTCTCAAAAATGTAAATGTACAGAGGCATACATGTATGTACACAACTTGCCAATAAAACTCATGAGTGTTTTTTGTCGGTTTAAGTACTATGGAAAAGGCACAATCACCATGGCCCATAGCAACTACTAAAATCTTTCTACACTAGTTAATGAGAACAGGCCACCAGCAGAGCAGTAGCTGCGGTTACCATGGCATTTAACACTTGTCAATGAGTACCAGTAGCTAACCAGCTCAAGGCTGTAAATATGAGGACCGGACTTTGAAACTAATGATCACCGGACGGTACATGTTTACGAGCATGATTTTTACCCTCAGGAAAAATGGGAAGTTTAGAATGCTGAAAATGGAGGCAATAATAGGAAATGAAATAAGAAAAAAAAAATCTCACTAAAAAAAGAGGAAAACTATTATGCTTGTAAATCTGCGAGAGATGCTTGAGATACAATGTACGTGTACTCCCGTAATTAAAACTATGCTATCAAAACAATAACAAATAATTCATTACTGGTAATCAGAACAATAGAAATATTCCTAACAACGTGCAAAAGCTTGCACGTTACTTTGGCTCACAACCCCGAGGAAATACTCGCAGAGGAGACTATGAAGAAATCTTAGGTTTTAGAGGTGACATGAAATGCCAGATACATGGAAATCATGGCTCTGCTAACCACAGAATTCCATGCTTACGATCACCCTTTTTGCTAACCGCGATTGAAGAAAATTTCTGAGCTAACCCTGTAAGCACAGAATCCTTAGTTACGGGATGTACTGTTACGCATGCGTAGAAGCAAAAATTCCTCGCTTACCCCTGAAATACGCTTACCGTAAGCACAGAATTTTCTGCTACAGTAAGCAGGTATTTTTCGCTAATGGTTAGTAGAGCCATGGAATTGGGCCCAGGTAGGGACTGAGAACCCAATCTACATGTCATCCTCAGCTGGATTCGAACCCAGGGTCAACAGAGGGGGAAAGCGAGGAAAGACAGTACAAGTACTTGTCATTCCCAAGTCACGTAAACTGGCTGGTGACAGGGCCTTCTCTGTTGCCGCCCCCCGGCTATGGAACAACCTGCCCATCTCCACTCAGAAACTCAGGCAGTGTCTTTTTCTTCAAGAAGGCTCTCATCAAGACCTCCTTTTCCCCAAAACGTAGCTGGATGTCCTTCTGTTGTTGTTTTGTGTCTTCTATTCCTCTTTCTTCTTTCCTAGAGCCTTGTATCCTTTGGTAATATGGGGCTATACAAATCCAGTCATTAAGTACCACTGTGCCAACCTGACCCCAAGATAACCTACTGCTCATCCATCCCCCCAACCCCACCAAAAAAAGTATTTAAAAAAATGGTTCTTTTCCTGAGTGAACCCCTTCAAGAAAAAAAATCCAGCAGGAGAACATTTCCATGAGTACAAGTGCAAGTACTTTGCCATGAGTACCTGTACATACTTTTTTCTTGCAAGTACAAAAACGAGTGCGAGTACATTCTACATGTTCTAAGGAGTACAACCGTACACGTAAAAACATGTATACCAACCTTGCCAGAAAGAGACAAAGATGATGGATTTGACCATGAAGAATTTTGGCACAGGTCTGAAGGAGCTGAGGAGGTCTCGTGTGGCAAAGTAGAAGAGGAACATGGCATAGAGAGCCAGACTGACCGAGATGTTGTAGATGATGGTGATGTACAGGTACCCATCCACAACACTGCAGGACAAAGGGAGAAAAATGAAGCAGAAAATCATAACTGTCATTCATAAAATTTAAAAAAACCATGGCTTTCATTGATTCTACACAGTAAAAAAGGGCAATGCAAAAAAAAAGAAGGGGGGGGGAAGCAACATTAACATGTTCGTGTCTGAATTCAATTAAATGCCAAACCAAATTCAGTTCTAGCTTTTTATGTAACTTGTTATAGCTATGCTTTGACTGTGGGTGATTGATAAGCCAGCTGTGCCTACCACTTTGGCCTGTTTTTTTGTCTGTTGACTGAATGTGACTAGTCACAGTGCTTTCTTAAAATATGATCTGACTGTTGGTGATTCGCCTGTGTAAAGGGCATGGCAGGGAACAGGATTAATTTTTTGTTTACTGTCTGTGACTGTTCAGATAGCAGGAGGGTTTTAACACTAAAAAAAAAAAACATTTACATGTATATGCACATACTGTACATGTCCAAATTACCTATGCTCCAACCACAGTGCCTAAACTGTAATACAAGCATCCGTGTACTTTTCATGGTCCAACAACAAGATGTTTTCAAGAACTCATGATCAATGACCTTTACATAAGCCGACTCTGGATTAAATACGAGGGCAGAAGGTTTGTTCAGGCCACCTGGGCTGATTTCTTGTTTGGGGCAGCTGCATTGGGCAATGCTGATATTTTTGTGTTTATCAAATACCAAGAGAGTGAAAATATCGCAAAGTTGAACAAGCCATAGTTTATGACTGACAAATTAAGAACATCATGGATATTATTCAAATGAGCCAAGGCCTGCATGGATTACATGTCATACATGCTTGATGTCTTGAATGGAATTCCCAAGGTCCATTTGAGAAAAATTACATGCGCATAAATAAGTGGTTACATAAGCTCAGCAAAACAAAAAAGACTGATTGATTTCATTAACTGTTTTATTGCTGGTCTTTTTTGAGTTCTAAGAAAAAATATTTTTTTGAATATTTTTCGGGGGGTAAGTTATCCACCCATCCAAATTGTTAAGTATATTAATCTAACTGCATGCATTTTTCATCAACTGCGAGTTCCATTTACCATATCAGGATTGGGGTATTATGATGAGCAATATTTGTTCAATCGGTTGGCACGACGGCAACCATGAACATCCCACAGAATTGGTATTGGTACCAAATTGACACTGATGAGAGTTAATTAAGAGAAGTCATTAAATGTCATGCTGATTAGCCAAAGCATTCCTGAGTTATTACAAAAGTTTAGGAGGGACTGCATTGTCTCCCCCCCCCCCCTCACCCCCCCCCCCCCCCCCAGGTCCAGATAGAAATATCTAGATGGAATTCGGGTAAGAATGATGGTATTTGTCTTGCCTGAAGTTTACAATATTTTGTTTAAGTCATACTCATAAGCAGCCGATTCTTCACCCCCAGGAAAGTGCATCTAGACTTACGAGAAGTTTCCGTCCGAGTACTTGCCAAACGGCAGCAGTACCAGCGTGATGACCACCATGACTGGCTTGACGAAGCAGAACTGAAGGGTGGCCTGCTTGCAGAAACGTAGGAAGCCTATGGAGTAGGTGCGTCCACGCAGACAGCAGGTACAACAGAACCAGCTGGTCGGCCTGGGGTGGGGAGGGGGCAGGGCAATAGTGGGGTTGGGAGGGTTACAAATATAGTTATGAATATAGATGTACACTTTACTTTGGTTTGAGGATGGATAGTCAATACTAGCTCCCCTAGGTATTGGAAGTTGGCAGGCTAGTATCTCGAGGCGAAGCTGAAGGAACACGTTTGTGAACGTCTCATATCCATAAGGAGAGCGAGTATCGACTATCAAGCTGACGTTAATATTTGAAGCCCATGTGATAGTCTTGCTGCACATGTGGTTTTGCCCTGTGTAAGTGCGCTTGGGTGAGCTGACACCACATTATAGGGATGTTTTCTATTGTTAGGGAAATTGGGAACGAGTTATGGTGACTTTCTGCTGTCTCCATAGTGTTTTTGGTCCCCATAAATAACTATGGCTCAACTGGTGTGTAGTCCCCACAGTTACCGAACAAGATTTTGTGTACACTGTACAGTCGACTCTCGTTAATTAATACAAACTTGGCCGGACCTAGCCAAAACATTTGTTACATTGTATATTAAGAGGACTTCGGTCCCATTTGTTGGGCACATAAATGCGGAGTTCTATAACCAGAATTTGTATTAAATTAACGAGAGTCAACTGTGCATGGCAAAACTTTTATTATTATTATTCTGGTTTATTAAAAATCCAATGTCTTGCAGCCTTGCGGCTGAATTGCAGATGGGAATACAAAGATAAAATATCAACATGTACCTGTAAGTGTAAATAACGGTTTTGGCTGGCATGATGGTGAATTGACTGGTCAGAATTTTGCTCTCGCTTGTGAATATGTATGAGGTTTGGCAATATGCTACAGCTTCGGATTATTGGAACAAGTTTGATCGAGACAACTTTGGAACGAGTTTGATCAAGACAAACCAGTTATGACTTCTTCTAGTTGAAAATACCGGAAGTTGGACTATGGAAGTTGACTATTCGGGACCAAATATCATATGTTACGCAAAGAGAAATATTATGTCTATCTACACACAAAATGTGCAATTAATACTTGTACAATTGTCTCTGTGAAAGCAGTGATGATACGTTGACAGAAATGTCACAGAGACATTGGGTTTCCCCCCCCCCCCCCCAGTATTGGAACACTACAGGTTTTCTGTTGTGTGGCAATTTTTTTCAGGTCTCCGACCACACAGTAATTCCTGCTACTCACGTGATGCATTTTCCTCGTATCTCGGACATGATGGAGCTCTCGCCACCCAGATACTCATAGCAAAGGCTCAAAAAGTTGTAGATAACAAAAGCTGCAACGAGAAGGGGAAAAAGTAGGTAACATTTCACAAATTAAAGCATCCACTTGTGGGGACTTCCTGCAAATGTTGCACAAGTGCAAATAAAAACATTATGGATCCTGTTTGGAAGTTGTAATATGGATGAATTGAAACTGTACTTTTACCCCATTTACTCGAAGATGATCCAATTGATACAGACTAATCAAATATCAATGTAGTTACAAAACTTTGAGGATGACACCTTGGAAAAATTAAAAAGTACCGGTAATCTGAAGTCCGTGTGCATGTATGTAAGTCTGTATCAAAGTTAATTGTTTAGAAATTATGCCAAAGAATCAGGATAATTGTCACGATGTCGGCAAACAAATTTGGGAAATGACAACTGAGGATCACCCGGCTTTTTATTAAAAATTAATAACAGTTTTCCTTATGGATGTCACCCGTACAAGTTGTGCAATCAACATATGTACGTGCGTAAGAGCAAACGTTGGAAATCACGAACTGTGTTATTAATCACGCAGACATGTCAAATCTCCGCAGGATGCAGTTATGCGTCTACTGGGTATAAGCATAAATTTACAATTGTATGCGTCCTCACGCACACGCATCTAATCACTTTGCTCAGGAAACCAATTTGAAACACGATACACCGTCACAACAACGTGCCGTGTCGCAGTTAAGTAAACAGGATCCTGCACGCAAAACTTCATCATTTATTCCAGTTACGTGATTACCTGTAACATCCAGCACAATGAAATCGTGTGAAGTGGCTTTAGATAAAAGTGTGGCATTTGAGAAACAATAAAACCATGCAACTTATACAATTAAAAAGAACATTGCATTGAGTACCTTTTTCATCTTCTTAATATCACTTACCTTATTCAAATATTTGAATCGACCAAAAAAAAAAAAAAAAAAAAAAAATTAAAAAAAAAAACCCTGGTATTCAGATATTCGGTGGGTGATCGCATATATTCGAATATTCAAATATTTGGCACAGCCCTACAGTTAACCCATTTATAAGCTCAAACTGTTGTTCTTTGCAAATTTCTGTGCTTAGACATGGACAGGCTCCATGCCATCAGCCCCAGGTGTCCTCATACTCGCTTATGGATGAAAGTACTTGTACATGGCTTAGTATGCATGAGTGAATGTGTAAACACATACATATTAGTAGGACCCGCGTCTGCTAGCAATTTGAATATCCAGATCAATGCAGTCATTGATTTCAGCACCCAGTGGTTGGCTGTGATCAATATGAATAATTCTGGGCTGCTAACATGGCTTCAGATTTAGAATTTTGGATTTTGAAGTACCTGACAAAATTATTGTTGAAAACCTTACTTGGTTTTAAGATAGTAATGGCACTAAACTCCCTGTCAGACTGTGAAATAATTCTTTCTGGCATGCTGTCATTTTAAAGAAGGTCATTTCCAACGATGCGTCTCAAGACACATTTGCTATTATCTCAAGCACGGTTGCTATTATTCGTCGGTTCAGTGCGTGACATTGCATAGCTGCAATCAGCTGAATGCGAATGTGTCCCGGATGCTGAATTCAAAACAAAACTCAGCAATGTTTGAATAGAAAATAAAGATCAAAGAATATTGTTTTCTCGGAATATACAGCATTCACTGAGCTAAAACTTCATCGGGTCAGTTGCACCATTCTTTACATTTTGAGCACTTTTGTTGCTATGAAAAAAAAAATGCATAAATGACAAATGATGTACATGTACTCTACCTTAAAATTTAAAATATGAAATTAAATTCTGTATACTGTCAATACAACTTTTCTCTGAGCACAGTGATTTTTTAACTTTGTCAAACTAAAGATCACATGGATTTTCTAGCTCATACAACATGTTGAAGTCTAGCCTTTGGGATATTGGTAAATGTGTCCTTAGGAAAGAAATAAATTCACAAATTTCTTCTCCCCATCTTGGAATAAAATGGGTACCAGTGAGGGTTGAATTGGTTGTAAAAACATACATGTACAGTACATGTGTTAAAGACAGTACATGTATAATATGCACATGTGTCAGGCTCCATGGAACTGACAGATTCCAGGATGATCACAGAAATAATGACATGTACATAACTTTAGTCCTATATAATGAGGGTGATACCGTAATTATCAGTACACTGATGAGCTCATGGCTATGGAGAGTGTGCAAAGTTGTCCTTTCAGTCAAAATCTTTCAAGTGACTTTTTTTTAACATACTGTACAAGTGAGAGCTCCGCCTGCAGCCTACATGTACACAAAGCAGGATTGACTGGCTGTGACAGTTTATGTACTTGATAAAGGTATGCTTAAACTGTAGGTGATTAATAAGCCAGCTGTGCCTACAACTTTGTCTGTTGAATGTGTTTGACTAGTACAGTGCTTGCTTGAAATATGTTTGATCTGACTGTTGGTGACTAACCTGTGTAAAACTGCACGGCAGCCAAGAGTTTGTTTATTTTTTTCTGTCTGTGACTATGCAGACAGCAGGAGGGTTAATATTGTTGTTACTAACAACTGCATGTCATATGTGAAAGTGAACTTCTGTGAATGGAAAGTTACAGTAATTGCTCATCAGTGCCTGTAAGTCAACTTGACTTCCTGACGCTATAGCCGCTGTCCACATACATTCTGAACCCATGAGAGGAGTCATTCTAAACTTTCGAAGTGACACATACTTGTAATATGCATGCATGTGTACAATGTGTACATCATCCGAGACTAGCACTCAAGTTAGCGGCGGATGACTCATAAAGATCCGCCGCAACCTTGCACCTCCCCGGTCAGTACAAGCCCTGAATCCTGCCAAGATATTCTGATTCAGTTGGACACCCTGGGGAGGTCTTTTCACAGTCAGCCAAGGCTCAGGGGCTTCAGTAATTTTCTAATGGCTGAGGATTCCCTCCAGATGTATAACTGGGATCTGTGAACAGGATTATGGGAGTAGTGTCCCTGAGCAGGCTACTTTACAACGATTTTTCCTCTCAATCTCAAATGAGGGGTCTAGCGAGTTTAGCCTCCAAGGGAAGGTTTAGAAAGCATTACCCTGACAATTGTGGATGATAAGATGTAAAGCCTTATGTAAATCTTTCTGCTAAATTGTTAAATAGGTGTAAATGTAAATTGTTAAATAGGTGTAAATTTGTTAAGTTAGCGGAGATATTTAGTAGCTACATACATGTACATATTTTTTTTTCCAGCTTCCTAAATTGTCAAGGCCTAATGAGTGCATGTGCCTCGTAATAACAACAAATGTCTTTTTATCAACAAAAGAGAGACAACATGAATGCAAGGAGCTTATAATTATTAAGTCACTGGTGGAGCCAGTTACATTGTAAAAAGGACTATTTTGTTCATGTATTTTTTGTGCAAATTTCATTGAAAAAACCAAACAACTACACTAGTCAACAACAGTTGGACTAGACTAGTCAACCATTTCCGACCAGCCTATCCAGGTTGATGACAGGGAGCCTCGAGCAACCGTGAGGCTTCCAAGTGACGTCTGACCGTAATTTTACAAGAGATCAGTCACACGTTAATATTAGTACAAGGGCGTGAGCTGCATGTACGTCATACATCAACCGCTAACTAATCAACGATCCTTGATAAAATTGTTCTTCAAAGTCTACCGATCAGCAATACAAACGCTGTGACATATGTTAGGATAATAGGATTTTCGTTTATAAATGCACAAAGTTTATATCTACAAAAAAAATTCAACCCTGCTTCATTTTCAGCAAAAAAAAGCGTGAGTAATATAGTCAATCATGAACCAGCGACCAATGAAGTTAACAGCTGCTTGAACCAAATGACTTTTCTCCGGTTATCTGACCATGCTCAAACAAATAATATGGGTAATTACAGGTGTGGTGTGTCCTGTTGTACACGTATTCCACTTGAGAGAGCAGACACGGGCAAGCACACTCCTAAATGCAAAATTGCAAATGAGCTTGACATTTTATACATGTACCATACCGTAGGAACAACTCTAGCCAAGTATGCCAGTGGACATCCCATATATCAATTGACAAACATGTACAAAAAATGTAGTTCTTCTTTATGGTTTACTTTTAAAACTTGTGTAACATATGCATGTACATTTTTGTAATTCACTCTGATTAAATTTCTGGAAAATGACATACATTTTTGTAACTACCGTATGACCACATAATTATGAAGCCAAAAAAGAGGGAAATCTTAGCCTATTGAAATAATTTATCTTGCTTAGGGACACAAACTATTTTCAGACTTGAAAAGCTGGAGGGTATGCATATATATCCGAGCTTAATAAAGCACTCTGTTCACTGCCTACTCAAGGGACCCCAAGTAAGAATTTGTTTTAATTTCTTGACTGCATCCCCCAAGTCAAAGTCAGGCGTCCACTTGCAGTACAGACGACCAATTTCAAATTGATCTGCCTCTGCTAATGTCTGCTGGAATGGGATTAGGATTGTAACTTGATTGATTTACAATGTCCCACAAACCATCCCCAGTTACAAGAGGACATTACGACTATGTACGGTACCTAACAAGTGAATTGTCCAGCCAAGATTTCTGAGCTGGCAACACTGGTTACTGTTTAATGAATAGCACAAAACTTATTCAAACAGCAAACAGAGCTTTAAATATTTTTTTACTTTGGCACTTTGTAGCGTAAAGCTTGACAAAATCTTGTTTGAAGTTATTTTTGACAATTTAGGGTTTTCATATACCCGGTACACATACTTGAAATTTGAGCCCCAACAACCAATATGGTGCATGTATGACATTCAGATAACTCCACCATCAGCCGCTCCCAAAAAAATCCATAAAAAAATCTCGGACTCGAGTCGGACGATTGACTCCGCAAAAACAAATCGATAGGCGCCAATAAATCACCAGGCTGTTTTTTTTTCTACGCAAGCAGACAAACAAATTTATACAGACTCCATGAGCACTCTACGGTATGTCTCCTATTGACTATTTTATTCAAAAAAATTTGAAAAATTCTAAGACAAGTAGGTTTTGAAGATGAATGAGATGGTTTGTGAAGAGGAAGCCAACAATTGAATCTGATTAAAAAGAAAAGCTGTTCTAATAAATTTTAAGCTTGGCCATCCACTGTCGTAATATCCAAGTGTGCTATACGCTACTCATGAAATGAGTAATGGGCAGACGATTAGGCCCTATATTGTCATTTCAATACGAAATGTTTACATTTATTTGAGGGGAAAAAAATTCAGTTTGCATATTACAAAATTGCATTGGATTGATGTCATTGTAAAGCAAAGTCTGCAAGTTGGTAGTATTGAATACTTGAACGTCGCAGTATTTTAACTAAAAATGTATCCAATCTGTGCTTAAAACCTTTTTGACTTTTTCTGCAGCGAAGCAAAGTGTCCGTCTAGACAGGCAAATGCGAAATGTCTTCTTCACTTTAATCAGAATTTCACGGCTGAGTTGCCAATGCAAGAGGACTTTGATCAATTCAATTACACTAATTGGAAACACATGACTGGATGACATCAACAGATGCCTTCAAATATGGGTATTAATTGATTGGACTTTTGCAACATTAATCATGACAGCAATAATACACTTTTCAATATTCTGGAATCATGTTGACTTTAGTCACCTGATGTACATGCTTTGCAGTTAATAAATTTATTATTGATGAATTAATGTTGTTAAGAATACTGCCTTAAACTTCCTACTATCAGAACAGTCACAGACAGTAAAAACACAATCCTCTTCCCCTGCCAATCCTTTTTACACAGGCTAGTCATCAACAGTCAGATCATACATGTATCAAGCAAGCACAGTGACTAGTCAAATTCAGTCAACAGACAAAAGCAGACAAGTGGTAAGCAGCGGGTTTATCAATCACCTACAGTCAAAGCATAGCTGCATCAAGTTACATAAACAGTCACAGCCAGTCCATCCTGCTTTATGTAGGCTGAGAGCTCTTAACTGTTGAAAACAGTCAGTTGTTTGATTTTGACTGAAAGGATAACTTGGCACAGAATATATTCGTTTGCACAGAAGTTAACTTCATACAAGATATGCAAAGCAAGTTTTAAATTTGACATCAAAAGCTTTCACAGCGAAAGCAGCTGGAGTTGAAGTGAGTTCATTTTTTCGGCAAAGTCAATGCACAAATAAATTTTTGTTCTCATTCACTTGTAAAATAAAGTTGTTAATTTCTGCCTTAGACCTCAATGTTCTGTATACACACAATGTGTACATGTAGGGAACCTCTAAACTTGAACTTTTGTAGAATATGATCGCAATCATGCATGATGTAACTTTACCAAATTCATTTGCAATCTCCAGCATAACTACAGTACAGGTACGAGTGATCCTTTTGCTTGTACCGGTACATACAAATGTACATTGGAGCATATATAAATCCACATTGTTATTCCCTCTATACAAACATTGACGCAGGCGGCATTGAGGGGTAGGGCTGGGGTGGGGGCAGATGTGTTCACCTTACAATTGTTTATATTTGTTAAAAAGGTTTATCATATCCAGTAGGCCTATACCTGAGACATGATATCACGCCTTAACACGCCCACTTTCTTATGGGAGTTTAGTGGCTCTCATCCCCAACTAGCTTCCCAAAGCATAGATATAAAACAAAGCATCGTGTTGTTGAGTCACAGGGCTACGTGTCGGGTCAACATTTTTCAGCTTGTAACAAATTTGGACACCCAACCCTAGTTCCAAATATTCACTCAAATTGATTTACAAGGCCATTTTCATTCTGTCAGTTTGAAAAATATGAGGCCAAATAATGCAGGACAAAATGTCTGAATACTTGTCGAGGAATTTTTGCACCAGATCTCATGAGCACCTGCAGTGAATGCCCGCTCTTCAAACACTCAAGATAAAAGTGCCCATCGAACCAACAAAGCTGAACATCTAGCAATTTCTTCCCGTAATTCCCACAGCAGCTTTTTTTTTCAAGAAGTACTGCAAAACACTTGACGCGGTATGAAATAAAATTCTCTCAGCCCTAAAAAAAAAAAAAAATTGCTGAGCTCACCTTCATAAATATCTCGGACGCTGTCAAAATAGACATAGTAATGGTCCTGGCTGAAGAAGAGAAGGCCCAACCAGGAATCAAACGCGTAGATGGGAACAATGAAGAGGATACGCACAATCCAACGCTGCTCCCCGGGGCAGGTGTAGTGCCGCAAATGCATGTAAATCTGTTGAGAGTGGGCAAAGCGAGAGAGACGGTTAATAAAAAGAAATACATTATTTATCGTTTTTTTTCTGAGCAAATGGCATATGTGCTGAGCTGTTAAAAGGGCTTTAATTCATACCGGTTAAAGGTGACCAGGAATGAAGACTGCGTTTACTGTTGGGGCTTTTAGTTTTGCAAGAAGAATCACAGATAATAAGCAGGACAAGTTCTTCTCAGAACTAATATCTTCAAAGCAGTACATGTAGTTATTACCACATGGTGTTACTGCAAACCGAAACGATACCGATACCCCACCATGCAAAGCCTCAAATCTTATAAGAATCACAGAATTATTGCGTGTCTGCAACTATTTCATTGAAAGACTAAAGGTTCAATCCCACATATCATAGCACCACATGTATCCATATATGTGTCCTTGGGCAAGACGCTTGCCACAATTGTTTCTCTCCATTGTCAGGACTTAGGAGTGTGTTATAGCAATGGACTTTGTGTACAAGTACGCCCTCAATGGTGAAAGGTAAAGAGGCGTGAAGGACCATTTGGGCGTTATCTCTCCGATGAGGCTCAAGTGGGAAGGCAAAGTGCAATCACACCGACCAAAGAGACTGAGACGTGGTGGAGTGTGGCGTAGTGGTAAGGGTTCGTGACTCATGATCAGAGGGTCAGTGGTTCAAATCCAGCTGCTTGACCATATGTTGTGTCCTCGGGCAAGCCATGTCATCCCCACTTGCCTCTCTCCACCCAGGAGTATAAATGGGTACCGACATTAGCTGGGGAGTAACCTGCGATGGACTAGCATCCCATCCAGGGGGAATAGAAATACTCTCAGTCGTTTCGTGCTCCTGAAACTGGAGATACCGGTAAATGCTGGCCTAATGGGCCACATTGGTTCGGAACATTGGTACGGTACAGTAGGCATCACGCAATGAGGTGCATCAAACTGACCATAGGAAGAAATGATACAAAGGGGCTCTGGGAAGAAGCATGGTGGTTGCGCCCTTGGGCAAGTTACTTTACCACAATGACTTCCTTTAATTTGAAAAGCAAAAGTCACCTCAGTTTTTAGTTATAAGGAGAATTATGGCGAATCGAGTTGTAGAATTTAATACAAGCATACATAGTACATGTACATGGACGAGTACCAAATGGATGCACTAGAAGCCACATGGAGCAGAGAGTTCGCGCAACTACATTGTACCCCAGTAATTTTTAAGTGTGAAGAAACCTGCATGTAGCACATGGATGTAAAGTCTGTACATTTTGAGACGGACACACCTGAGCAAACTGGATATGACGTTTAAAAGCATCCTTTGAAACCTTGGGAATTTACATATGTACATCCTTTTTTTTTTTTTCCAAAATACACGTTGATTGCAACATACATGTAATGGAGTAGTTTGTTCACTCATGTTATTTCTAAAAATAGCCTGACCTCCAGCAGTCAACTAGGGCAGCACTTGCCATGTATGCATTCAAGACTGACCAACATACTAACATACATACATGTACAGGTATACATACATGTACCTGTACACTTGTCAGGCATCTTAAATAACATTCTGCATGTTCTTCCCCACGAAAACTAGATTTTATTTTTCAGTTGCTACTGTCCTAGCAATAAAAAAAATTTGCAATGAGACATCGAACAAAAAAAAAATCCCCCGACTGTAGCTACTGAATTATTTCTTCATAAAGTTTGAATTATTGGCTACCAGACAATAATTCAGCCCTAGCAGGGCGGTTCATTTGTGCACAAAATGAAAGCCATTTTCAGTGAGTTGCAAAATTGGAATTTAAAAGCTTTCTCATAATAGAACAAAACAAACAAATTGAAAATTCATCAGGAGAAAAAAAAATCCCATTTTTAGAAGAACAAGTTTAAAAGGCACAGAACAGGCAAGGCAGTATTTGAAAATGATGGGGGACATTTTTCAACTTGACTTCCAAAAGGGTACACAAAAGCTACAGTTTTACGAGATCCACAGTGACGTCAATACCCATCTTGTTTACATGTACGGTAGCTTGGCATTTGCACCAAAACTCCATGTGATATTGGCCGAGTGCGGTACATACACATAATTACAAAAACACGGAGTGGAAGATATGACAAAAGACACGCGTGGTTCAGTGAAAGGCACTTGGTAATTAAATCCTGCGGATAGCGTAACTGCCTAGATCCATGGAAATGGCCTAAATTAATGAGAAATGAACTGAGATTTCATTTCCCAATCACAAGATAGAGTGATTTGAGTCTGACTAAATTTGTGATACACTGCAGTAATTGATAATAATGCAGCAACCGGACCATGTGTACTTGACATTTGTAACTGTATTAATCAAATGACATCAAATGATAGGCAAAGACTGTTGATTTTTTTCATTTGACCAGGAATGTTTACTGTAAACAATGATACGTGCACTGTAATTTACAAGAAAGTAATTTGGTCAATAAAGTATCATTGTACAAAAATCCATGACAATCGGTTAAACAAAAAGTTACACTTTAAATCTACCTTTAAAGCCTATTCACATTTGTAACTGAATTTTGTTGAAATGCCCCAAAAAAATCCGGGAGCAGTTTTGGGATTTCACACGTGAATGTTTTCATGCCTCTGAATTTTAATAAAAAATTGACTCAATGAAAACTGCTTGCACATTATTAATTGGTATCTAGGTTGATATTAAGGTGGGTCATTCTATAATTAAGGGTCCAAAGTGTGACATTTTTTTCAGTCCCTGTTATATACAGGTACCGTTGAACTTTGCAATGTGCAATTCAACTTAAGTGTCATTAATTTAATAAAAAACGGACTTCGAACTAATTTGTAAAATTTGTTGGGTAGGTCGTTTACTTCACATTTATAATCACTCTTGGAGGAAGATTACATGCACATTAAGGATTGCATTCAGATTACATGTATGGTATGTCAGATGTAACAGGGACAGGAAAAAATGTGGACCCCAAATTTATAAAATGACCCATGTGCGCACTACAGGTATAGACATTAAAGGTGTGCACGCCCATTGTAACCAAGAAATTGAACAGATTGGAATGAAAATATTGAGCATATGAATGATAATCCGAACCATATGTCACGGTTCGTACGTAAAACCCCAACTCCACATCACGAGTCTGGACTGTTTTGGAATTCAACCCGCAGCTAGAACACAGCAGTGTGTGTGTGGATTTTTAATATTGTTGACCAGTTTTGCATAGCACATCCGCATTCTGTGCAGGTACACATATGTGCCTACATGAACCTGGAGTAAACACGCACTGCAGCGTGATGCTCTTGGTGATTTACACAGATGGGTGACGCGGATTGTGTGCGCATCACAGACAATGTAGGCCCTAAATTTCGGAGTTTGACCATATGGTTCACAAGGAAATTTCTATGTATAAAATGTTTTTAAATCTTTAGGCCTACTATAACTGTTGGTGAGGACAACAGGAAAATGTGCCCCATTGCAATTCAAACAATAAATTGATGAATAACAAGTACACATGCTTGAGGCATGTGATATTGACAGTAATTTATCCAGAAGTGGAAATTGTTTTAAATTAATAAATATTTGGTTTTAAAAGCACTTAATCATCTGACCGCATGAGATTTTATACTCAGAAATTGTAAATGTTCTTGATTCACTGCAAGAGTCAAGTCAATATTCTCAAAATTATTACATGGATACGTTACGGTCTGTAGGTCATTTGGAAAAATTTTCTTAAGCTGAAACATCAGCATTGATAAAAAGGAGCTTTAAATTATGCCAAATTATGACGAGCAATCAGAATGTGACAAATATTTTAACAGTTTTGAAATTCTTGAAAAAAAATGGAAAATGTAATTTTTCAGTTACAATCATTTCCCCACAACTTGGCAATTTAACCTGACGGCTAAGTACAAGTACAGAAACACAAAACAAATATATTGCATTTGCAAATTTGGTTTTCCGTACATGAACATGTGCAATCAATATTGAATTTCAATAATCTGCACCTGCGACTGTCAAAGGCAGTATCACAGTACAGTCCGCGGGAAATACTACACCTACACGTAAATGAAATCCAATTCTAGGAACAGAATCCAATAAAAGAAACACCACTGGGGAGATATCAGGAACCTGCTTAATAATCCATTCTGTACACATCAGGTATTGGTATCATGGGTATGGTAAAGGTATAGACCACACATACATAATGTATGTATGTGCATGTATGGACCAATATTGATCCAGCAGGTTAAGTGGACTAATGATAACAATCCTAATGGTGATTGTAAATGATAACCAGTTAAACTGGCTGGAGCTGTATATTTTGTAAGTGCTTTATTTTTTGCCTATATGGTACCAGGGCCATAACCAGCCTGGTGGATGGGGAGGGCTGTTTTTTCCATGAAGTGGACCTTACATGTATTTGCACATAATAAACAGATGATTATGCATGGAAATAGGGCCTATACATTTGAGTAAAAGTGGGCCTGCAGTCTGGGTACTCTGCCTACAGGCCTGGGTACTCTGCCTACAGGCCTGGGTACTCTGTCCAAAAGCCTGGGTACTCTAGATCTGCCTGTACAGGCCTGGGTACTCAGCCTACAGGCCTGAGTACTATGCCTACAGGCATGGGTACTCTGCCTACAGGCCTGAGTACTCTGCCTACAGGCCTGGGTACTCTGCCTACAGGCCTGGGTACTCTACGTACAGGCATGGGTACTCTGCCTACAGGCCTGGGTACTCTGTCCACAGGCCTGGGTACTCTAGATCTGCCTGTACAGGCCTAGGTACTCTGCCTACAGGCCTGGGTACTCTGCCTATACCATGTGTACAGGCCTGGGTACTCAGCCTACAGGCCTGGGTACTCTGCCTACAGGCCTGGGTACTCAGCCTACAGGTCTGGGTACTCAGCCTACAGGCCTGGGTACTCTGCCTACAGGCCTGGGTACTCTGCCTGGTCAGGCCTGAGTACTCTGCCTGGTCAGGCATGAAGTGGACCTTACATGTATTTGCACATAATAAACAGATGATTATGCATGGAAATAGGGCCTATACATTTGAGTAAAAGTGGGCCTGCAGTCTGGGTACTCTGCCTACAGGCCTGGGTACTCTGCCTACAGGCCTGGGTACTCTGTCCAAAAGCCTGGGTACTCTAGATCTGCCTGTACAGGCCTGGGTACTCAGCCTACAGGCCTGAGTACTATGCCTACAGGCATGGGTACTCTGCCTACAGGCCTGAGTACTCTGCCTACAGGCCTGGGTACTCTGCCTACAGGCCTGGGTACTCTACGTACAGGCATGGGTACTCTGCCTACAGGCCTGGGTACTCTGTCCACAGGCCTGGGTACTCTAGATCTGCCTGTACAGGCCTAGGTACTCTGCCTACAGGCCTGGGTACTCTGCCTATACCATGTGTACAGGCCTGGGTACTCAGCCTACAGGCCTGGGTACTCTGCCTACAGGCCTGGGTATTCAGCCTACAGGTCTGGGTACTCAGCCTACAGGCCTGGGTACTCTGCCTACAGGCCTGGGTACTCTGCCTGGTCAGGCCTGAGTACTCTGCCTGGTCAGGCCTGGGTACTCTGCCTACAGGCCTGGGTTGTATACGTGTGCTTCAATTTTTGCCTAAATGGTGCTAGGGCCATAGTAAACCTGGTGGATGGGGAGGGTTGTGTCCTAGCTCTATGTTTTTACCATGAAGTGAACCTTATTTTCAAGTAATAAACAGATGATTATGCATGGAAATATAGGCCTACATGTACATTTGAGTAAAAGTGGGCCTGCAGTCTGGGTACTCAGCCTACAGGCCTGGGTATTCTACCTGTACAGGCCTGGGTATTCTACCTGTACAGGCCTGGGTACTCTGCCTACAGGCCTGGGTACTATAGATCTGCCTGTACAGGCCTGGGTACTCTGCCTTTAAAGGGCCTGGGTTACCCTGCCTACAGGCCTGGGTACTGTGCCTACAGGCCTGAGTACTATAGATCTGCCTGTACAGGCCTGGGTACTCTGCCTTTAAAGGGCCTGGGTACTCTGCCTACAGGCCTGGGTAATATAGATCTGCCTGTACAGGCCTGGGTACTCTGCCTTTAAAGGGCCTGGGTTACTCTGCCTACAGGCCTGGGTACTGTGCCTACAGGCCTGGGTACTATAGATATGCCTGTACAGGCCTGGGTACTCTGCCTTTAAAGGGCCTGGGTACTCTGCCTACAGGCCTGGGTACTATAGATCTGCCTGTACAGGCCTGGGTACTCTGCCTTTAAAGGGCCTGGGTTACCCTGCCTACAGGCCTGGGTACTGTGCCTACAGGCCTGGGTAATATAGATCTGCCTGTACAGGCCTGGGTACTCTGCCTTTAAAGGGCCTGGGTTACCCTGCCGACAGGCCTGGGTACTCTGCCTGTACAGGCCTGGGTACTCTGTACAGTCGCACATACATTATGTACATCTCTGTACAATGTACTGGTATGTATGTACATAGGTTGCAGAGTTGCGTGTATGCGTGTAACACTATGACAATATCTTTTTCCATTTAGCATGTTTAGGATAATCCTAAATTCTGCTGAAACTACACAGCATTATTTAAGAAAATTAGTTACTGTTCTATGCTCTTATTACTGAACAATAGCTGGCACATTACTTTGGCCATTGCAGGAGGCTTCCAAGTGATAGCGAGCCGGGATTGGTCTACATGCACCGGTACATGTATTGAACAGGGTTGTCCGAAAGAACTTGGCTGATTGTACAGTCAGTGGTTATACATGTATACACTGTACAAGTTTTTTTTTACATATAGACAAGAAGTGGCTTTGACAAGGTTACATAGATCTTTTGAATCTGAGAAGTTTAGAGCAAAAATTTAATTGTAATTTTTGCTGGTCCGGGGGGGAGGGGGAGGGGGCACGCAGCTCCTCAATGAGTGACTGACTGACTGACTGACTGACTGTCGATTGTGGTGTGCGAAATAAAACATTGATTAGGACCGGAGTCTGGGCCAAGTCCAGGTCTACTTTTGATTTGAGTCCAGTGCAAGTCTGAGCCCCTCATTTGAGCCGAGCCCAAGTCCAATTATTTTCACCCTCACGAAAGTAGTGGACAATTGTCATCATTACAGTATGGATATTACGTACAAGTATGTAATAAAATAAGATTTCCAAGAAATAATAAAGCATCATAAAAAAACAACTAAGCACCACATACCAGTCCTCACAGTGCCCCTCTTTATCAATATAAGTTGTTAAAAGGTTTTGTAAATCAATATTTAGGTTAAAATTCTATGGATTTGCAAGTGCCAAAAAATGGCCCACAATATTGGCCTACCGGTACGCATTTATAGGTTTTTAGGATGCAAAACCGTGCATTTTTAGCATGAAGTGGCAGAAAACTAGTAAATTGCTTAACTAGATAAAGTTACCAATTTCATGCAAATTTCCAAATGTTGAAACACTCAAGTAAAAAAAAATCTTAGAGGGGTCATAGTATACAAATATTGAATGCTTCGAGTGGTGTAGTAAAACTAGCCTCCCGAGGTGATCCATGGACCATTCTATTTTCCCGAGGCGAAGCTGAGGGAAAATAGAATGGTCCATGGATCACCGAGGGAGGCTAGTTTTACTTCACCACGAGATAAAGCATTCAATATTTGTTTTATAACACTTCACCCACAGATTCTGCTTGATTTTAATATTTTAAATTATTTAAATCTGAACACAGTTGAAATAAACTTCCATTTCAATACAAAATTGGTGGAAAATGTATTTCTGTCTTAAAAACTACTCCTTCACGAAATGTTTGAACCCAAGTCTGCGGCGCGCTCTCTTTGGAATAATACGCGCTACGCACAACGCGCAACGCGCACACCAGCATGCATTTGCACACAAATACCGCGCCGTGGAAAATAGTACTTTGGTTGCTAATGGTATAGTACTTTGGTTGCTATGCGCATAGTACTTTTGGCCGTGCACAGAAAGATAGCAAAATTAGAAAGTAACATGTGACTCGCTCTCGGCCAATCAAGACACAGAATCTGTGGGTGAGGTGTTATAACAAAAAATGACTCTCAATACAAAAACCCTAACCCTGCCGAATTCAACAGGATCCAACTAAATCATATAGGCTACCCGCTGGATCCTGTTGGATTGAGCAGTTAACCGCTGTATAGGCCTATATCATTCAGAGTCGGAAACTGATGGGAAGTGGTAAATAACGCCAACTTGGACTCTGTTGGATCCAGCAGACAACTGAAAAATAAGGCACAGTTGGACTGTGTTGCATTTAAAGCTATAGGCCCCTAGTCCATCATTTGCAGCCATCCGAAAAAGTAACTGGCGTATTATTGTTGAAAAAGATAGTAAGTGGACTAAACTCCCTGTGAAATTAATCTTTCTGGCAAGCTATCATGTTGAAGTAATCAACGAAAGAAGGCCTTTCCAACGGTGCGTCTTAAGACGCACCGTAGGAAATCTTAAATTAGTAGTTCATTTTGTTATTCGGCGCACCGCGCGTAAGCATTGGCACGACGCACATGCACACGCGGTCGCTATAATTCGTCGGATCAGTGCGCGACATCGCGTATAACTGCAATTCAAAACAATTCAAAACATGATTCAAGCAACTTTTGATTTGAAATTGAGATCCTAGAATGCTGTTTTTCTCAGAATATACAGCTGAAGCTGAGCTGAAGCTTCATCAGGTTAGTTGATCAGTATCCTTCATTAGATTTTGAACACTTCTGTTGCTTCAAATGAAAAAAATTCACAAATTACAAATGATGGACTATATCTTTAAACTGACGTCTTGCTTTTATGATTAGGTGTACATGTATTTAACTGCAGGAAATCCTAATACTAGCTTCAATTTTCATGTTTATGTTTAGTTAGCTAACGTTAGTGGTTCCAATTTTTTGTACGGGAGGGGCAGTGGTACAGCAAGAGCCTGCTAACTTTGGAATAATGTTTGTTTTTCACACCTAATCATTTGAAATAAAACATATAGTTGGTTTTTAGGGATTGGAACCAAAGACTGATTGCTAATAGGCCAACTGAAAAACCTCTTTAGTCATGAATATGGTGCACTGAAAAAGAAAATAAAAACCAAATGTATTTACAACAAAATTTAAGTTTCAGACAAAGTTAACAATTATTGGTTGCAAGCATACAATATACATGTATGTAATTGTTTTCTTGTTACAATGTTTGCCACATTTTCTTTTTATAATTAATTAATTAACCCACAATTATGCTCAAATTTCAGCAGTCGTGTACACGTAGTTCAGGACACCTCCCTTTATTACTTGTTCTGCTCAAAAAAGACTTTTGCAAATGACTAAGTTTCCAAAATGACTTTTGCAGTCCAAAGCAGTGTTTTTTATTTAGATTAACTCTAGCTTTTTGTATTTTTCTAAAATGCGACTTTCTTACCTGCTTTTAGCACTGCAATTCTAGTCACAGCAGGTCACTGTTCAGGCGCTGTCATTATTCTACCCCATAATTTTCCTCATATTAAAACCCTGCCCTCTTCCTAATTTTATAGTACCGGTATGTAATTGTAATTTTATAGTATTTTTTTAATGTAGGGCTTAAATCATGTTCAATTCGCCTATATTGGCTGCGACTCCTGATGTTTTTATAATAAACCAATTGAAATGTAATACATGTAGCCTATTTTAGCAAACTAGTAAAAAAAAGTAAAAACAATAAACTTACTTTCCCTGTTGAGTGTTGTGCTGGTAACTATTTCGGTAAGTCCCAAAACGTTTAAGTTTCTTTTCGTTCTCTTATGGAAAGGGGTCCTAAACTACACGATTGCCAACATTTCATTACACAATTTACCTGATGGCAAGTGACAAGAATTGCTGCCCAGGCGAACGCGCCAGCAATCCCCTGAGCCGCCGCCGTCTGCAGGAAAATCTTCGTGTACACCGGGGCGGCAGTCGTGGTGTCATTTCCCAGCTCCTCAGTGGCATTTACGCTGGCTGCGGTGTGTAACAGTGTTGTCAAAAGTGAGCCCGAGGACTCCAAGGTCGCGAGCGCTGGGACGGATCCGCTCGCGGACGTGCCCGGTACGACAGGCGGTCCCGTCGGCCGGACGGCGGTCGGCAGTCCCGCAACTGCCGTGGTACCTAACGTAGCCAACACAGCTGCCGCTGTCGACAAAATACTCGGCGATTCCGCCATAATGACTTTCTAAAAATCGCGTGGATAGGATTAGTAAGGATTGCCTGTACTTAGAAGATGCATATCGAAATGTGACTATGATTAAATAAGGCCAAAATAGAAGGTTAATTTGTCACATATGTACACAGCGGCGGATAAAAATATTTCGATAAATATTTTATCAGCCGATAGGTCTTAACCCCGGACCTGTATGGTTTCATTATCGCATACCATATAGAGGGTACCCGACTAAATTCACACGCGGCGTGATTACGCATGCGCAGTGCATTATGCACGCAGCAGGTGCACGTCATCTTGACAGACGTGGTTGTGGAATGTAACTGTCACACTATGAAAATAACTGTCACTGATCAACTTCAAAGGCTTCACACAATGACCGCATTACTAACAAAGTGACTGGGGCCGTTGGGGCCTACACAGACTTGAGACTGTGATTGACATCAATTATGCTGACTTTTTATGCGTATGATCATGGAGGTAGGATAGCCTCCGTGGTATGATGATCTGTGCTGGGATGATTATTAGTCATCTTCTTTGAACAGTTTAATTATTTACCGATGCCTGATAATAACTTTACAAATGAGGGAAGAACATCTAAATAAATCTATATCGCTCTATATAAATAAAAAATTCGTTTGTTTGGAGTATGGAAGCAGTTTAAATTAAATGGAAATTAATTTAAAAACTTTACCTCTCGAAACAATTTGAATCGCGATCTGTAGGGGCATAATGCAAAGCCAATACTCAATAGCGTGATGGAAATCGGTAAGTGAACTAAATATTCAGCGGTCCCGAAGCGTTTCTGAAAGACAGGAAAAGGGGTTGGGGCTGGACACGGACATATTTCGAATTCAAAACTTCAGTTGAATTCAATCAAAGGTCCAGTTTTTGACCAGGCCTCCGTCATGTGGACCAGGCTATCGACTTTGCTCAGTTGACCGAGCTGCAAGTCTTTATAGCACGGGTAGAGCACCCCCCCCCCCCCCCCGAGTCGTTCATTGTGTTCCAGCAATCTCAGGTAACTGGTAACAATAGTCTCGAGTGTGCATATGCATCATCATAGAGCAAGTGGCCAGGGTGGGAAGGGGATTCACCCTCTGTCTCAACAAATGATCGTGCACGGTACTACATGGGCGTCAATCGGTGGGGGGTGGAAGGGGAGACAAGCCCATATCGTTTGCCCCCCCCCCCCCCCCCCCCCCCACTTTTTTGTCCCCGAATAAATAGCCTACATGATTCTATAGCTCAGAATAGCTGATTCAATTACTCCGAACTCGGAAATAATGTTTTTTTTTTAGATCTTTTGCTCAAAAAAGTGGTTTAAGTGGTCAGAAATTGCCTCAGATCGCACCACAGAGCGTCTACAATCAAAATTATCCGGGGCGCTCGCATTACTGCTGATCAAAGCATGTCGCCCGGTCGCCCCACTTTTGAGAATTTGAAGCGCATTTGAACAAAATCATATTGGAATTTGCGCTTTATAAATGAATGAATTATTATTATTATTATTATTTGAGAAGCGATTGACGCCCTTGACGATATAAAGTTGCGAGTCAAATGAGCGGAGTAGTTCGCCTCGCAGCCTCATGTGCCGACGCGACTTCCTTGTTCAGCAGCAATGGCGACTCGTATAAAAGCCTAATGCGAATTCACATCAAATCATGGCATTTCAGATACACTCGACCAAAAAAGCAAGTCCCCTCCTAATACTTTTTTTTGTAGAACTCAAAAACTCCAGGGCACATCTTGCTCAAATTACGACTGATCAGTTGTCGGTATCATTTGTCCTCAATTGCATAATTTTGTACAAATTGTCACTGTTTTGGGCCAAATAAAGAGTATGGCTGGATTGCTGAAGAATTTCTGTACAGATTAGTCCTTAATGAGTAAGAGGTACTCAGTAGTTTTTGACTTAGACAAAAAACATTCGAAGGTGGGGGGGGGGGGCTTTCTTTTTTGGTCGAGTGTAGTTCTCAGTGAAAAAATCCCCACAATATTATGCATGTTTGATGGTTTTGAAATTTATGGTGGGGGGGGGAGGTTGATGAGAAAGAGATCTTGAAAAGGCTCATGCCTTTCCGATTTTTTTTTTATTTGGAGCCATAAAACAAAAAAAATGACACCTTAAAGTAATCTTTCAATGTCTCACATTTACAAGGTGATTTTTTATTACAATTAAACAAACAAAAAATTGAAATCATTTTCTAATCCCAAATATCGGTCTATACCATTTTGGTTTACCACTTTTGTTTTTTAATCCCACTGTTCTCAGCGTCTATTACATCATAATTAATTAATAACCTCACTTTATTTACAATTACAATACAAATATATTAATGAACTGAGCCAAAAATAAGCCAGCCAAAACAAAAACGGTCTACATGTGCACCGAACATCTGCCGTTTGAACTCAGTCTAACGAACTGTCTCATCAGGTCATTAAATAATTAACCAAATGTGCAATATAAAAAAGCTAACATAATGATCTAAATCAAACCGTATTAAGAATGAAATTATAATATATACATATACATACACGGACATGTACATGTATAATACTTTGCGTGTGTGAGTGCTGCTTACGTTAAATACTCGCACCATATTTCAAAGATTTTTTTTTGGGGGGGGAGGGGGGGGGGATTCGCTGTGTCTACTTGTGTGCAGTTGAAATGAAAACGGAGGAACTGTAGTCATTCCGAAAATGTGCATTTTTGTGAAGGGCACTTGTGGGAAGTGAGGGCAGAGGTAATATAAGTGTGTTGCACGGTGTCATAATGCTGTGAAAATCCAGAATTTTGGGTCATATTGCACACCTACAGAAGCATTAGAAAATTTTGTACTCTCCTTTTGAAGGGAAAACAAACTTTAAGTCAAGAACTGTGACAGGTCGAAAGGTTCCACCATTCAAGAGTCAAAAACTGAACCAGCATCATTTCAAAGAGTTCCTCATCGTGAAAGTTGAATGAAAAGCAGCGTCTACATATCTGATCTTGAAAACTTCAAATTTAGTTGACATAACTAATATATTAAAGGGAAAAACAACATTTGCAAACATCAAAAAACGAAATGATCAAATTATCACGAAATATCTCACTATATTGTTAGGGAATGACAGTCCAAAGCATCCATTAAAATCGTGGCTCCTGGTGAGCTGACATTTTCAAGAAAACTTGTATTTTTCCAACGCTGGTCAGCCGACCAGCGTTGGAGAAAACTGGCTTTTTTCAAAAACTGCTCCTAATTTTTTCATATTTAGTTATTCCGCATTTACTTTGCAATTGTTTACACACCTGCGAAATGGTACAAGCCTACTAGACTGATTCTCTGACCTTACAATTCCACCAGTCTATAAATTGCTCCGTTTAATCTTAAGTGGAGTCAGGGAACCAGACTACAAGAACATGATTGGTTTTCTTGGTTTTTCCATCATCTACTAGTCCAAAACGTGAAACAAGTCAGTTTAACAATTTTTGCTATAACATGCTAATCCTCCAAATCCATTTATTTCTGAAAATTGCAGCAAAAGCAAATGTTGTACATTCTCTTTAACACCAACAAGTTCTGGTTTGCAAGGAAAATAAATACCACAATTTGACATAAGGCCATTGTTTCTGCTTCAATAATAATTTTGACATGACTTTTAGTAAGCCAAAATCTAGTTGGCCAATGATTTTCATCCCGATTTCAACATTTTTTTTCTTTCTTTTTTTGGCAATGTATTAGAAGAAACAGGCTTACCACGTGGTACTAAATTGAACTGGGATAAAAACAAAAACTTCATATTTCTGATGAAAGCATAACAAAAAAGGTTAATATGCATAGAAAAACTCTGGAAGGAATACAATCAAATCCAAGAAACTCCGACAATCAAATACAAACACTTAACAGGACAAGGAAAACAGACCCAAAAAAATGCTTCAGTCACAATGTTGTCTCTGAAACTGGCAACGACAATGAAGTTTTACGACACAAAAGCAAAGATGGTAAAACTTGTTTTTCTGCCAGTTTCACAGAAAAAATCTGGAGATTATTGGACTAGAAAAACAAAGGGAGAAAAGATGTCTCATTAGAATTTGTATCCAGGTTCCACTTGTTCACAATTCAACGCAACTTAATCACATGCATATCTTACGACGCAAGACCACTGAAGCCGTTCACAAACTTGTTCAGGTGTCATACAAATAACGAACAGTGGGAAAGAGACCAATTTTTCAAAGAGATTTGTGGCAAATACATTTTTTTTTTAAATGGAAAAAATCATAAAGTACATTTGTGTAATGCCAATGAGTTTGAAATTACAGTGAAATCTTGATAAGTCAAACCTCAAGGGAACAGGTTCAGTATCTGACTTGAGCAGACTTTTAGTTAAGCAGGGTTGTATATCATTGTTATACTACTGAAGAGAATGGATTCTTTGTTTGACTAAACAGTTGTTTTGAGTTATCAGAGTTTGACGTATCGAGATTTCACTGAGTGAAGAAAAAAAATGACAATATTTTCCTTTTCTTGCATACTTCAAGTTTAGATCGACAAAAGGCGGTGGTTTGTGCTAACGGTGCAAAACGCTTAACTAAGGTGTTGGTTTTCTTCGTGAAACCAACTGTTAAGTTTTTGAAGCCATTTCCAGTTGACATCAACTACACGGACATGACATACTTCTTAAAGTGAAAGTGATTTAATTTCTCTGCTCTAAGGAGATTACCGTGACTAGAAATTGCGGAAAATGGAAAGTAATTGGCATAATTTCTGCTACTGGAAATTTGTGGCTACTGATAGGGGTTAGCAGTTGCGTTTTTTTGGTGGATCATCAAAAATTTAAAAAAAATGATCAAAACCGTGCACAGCTACAAAATTATCAGACAAATGACGTGTACTGTGCTGCAAATGACCTACAAGACGAGTTGGCTGCTTTTAATATGCCTCGTTTTTTTCACTGTTTAAATACAATAACAAGGGAATACCGACCCACACCAAGAAAAAAAATGTATATTAAAAAAAAAAATCTACACTTTATATACAGACTATTTTCGTTGGTTAGATTTGCGAGAACGTTCACGTCTCTCTGTTTTCTTCTTTTTTTTTTTTTTTGGCAATTCAATAATAGTATAGTGTATTTTTTCTAAAGCACTTTAATCCCCGCAATTATAAATTAATTTCTTTGAAAACTGAAATGGCGTCGACCATGTGGACATATCTTTATGTACAGAGTATAAAACAAGTGGGATCTTTTTTTTTTTTTGCTCATTGCTAATTAAAGTTATGTTATATGCTTCAAAAGGACTTACCCTCTTTACTTAGTTAACACAAAGTAAACAAAACGGACAATGGGGGAGTCAGGTTGGTGTAGCAGTTCTTTTCTCGCCTTGCACCGCTGTGTCCCGGGTTCGAACCCCGCCTGGGCCAACATGTGGATTGGTTTTTCAGTCCCTGCCTGATTCTGTGAGTTTTCCCCAGAATATCATTCTGGGGTTTTCCTCCCAACCACTAAAACTGTAATTGCCTTCCACATCTTCTACCAAGGGACCCCACTGAAAATAAGTCGAAAGACTTTTGTGGGCTATCCCGGCAAATTGCCGAATATTAACAGTGGAGTTTTCTTAAAGCTGACGGCTTACTGTCAAATTTAAGATAAAATTATCAATTGTTGGTGCAAGTTTAACCTCCATATTTAAATCTGACCACCCAATTTATTTTGTGGTCTGTTAAACTTGTTTTAGAGCCATTCGCCCCCAACAAGAAAAGTGTCACGTGTCAATTATTTTTGGGAAAATGAATAAAAAAAAGCATTAAACAAACAACATTCAGTTCACAGAATCAGGTTTCATATGATTGGAAAATAGTGGTATGTAGATTAAATATTGTGACAGCGACGTCTAAAATGTTTCACCCAAATTGTCTCGATTCCAGACTTTTGCTTGGATTCCGTGCCTCTTTATCCAACGATACATTTTAATATGAGAATAAATTAGTGTCTTGAAAAATGAGACCAGCAGCATCAACATTTTCAATGGCTCTTTCAAAGGTTCGTTCAGAGATTCACACTAACCGGGCAGAGACTTGTACTCACAGTCATTACTGTAAAAATTATCCGTTTCTTTGCATGGCCAAATCGTAGGCTGTTCATTCACTTTCTGTTTTGGACGTTGTGTGATGTAAACTTGCCTGAAATAACTGCAAAGCAACTTGCAGATGAAATTCATTTGAAAGGTTGTAGATTAATGTTAAGAATGTATTGGTGAGAGAAATTGTGGGGGGAAAAAAGAGTATACACTCCCACAAAAAGGTAATAATTTCCCCCATTTTCTTAGTCGGAATTGAGTAAATACACAGAAGCAGACAAAAGTGGACAGAGAGAAAAGACAGATGTGAAACAAGAATGACAAAATTTGTGATAAAGGACTTGAGCTATTAATACAGCCATCTTGGTCTGGCAACCAATGGACACAATAGTGATCAGTTTGGCATGGGCCACCACATCACTACCACCAGTCTATTTGGGTACATGCCCTGTTCAATGCTCTCACTGTATACACACTGTTTGTTGCTGCGATAAAAGGTGCGAGATATTTGTTTGAGTAACCGAGAAATGGAGAAAAAAAAAATCCCCAAAAGAATGCAGAGATTCCCATCCCAAATAAACAGCTTCCACGCCATGTTACAAAATCTTGCGTTTCATTTTTAGAATCATAACCTATAACCTGAAAACTGAAACTGTGCATGTACACGTTTATATTACAGCGCTTAACCTCTTATAAAATGAATACACGACTCATCTGTATTTGTCTTGTATCAGATCAAAACCCCATTGCACATAGACTGTACATGTATAGCGGCTGAGATTTTCCATTCCTTCGACAGGACAACGATAGGCCTAATTAGTTTAGTTCTACTGATCAGGATTTGAACGCAAAGCAAAAGATATCGAGAATGTACAATGACCGATTGCTCAGGATTCTCTCTGAACCTGAAATCTAAGATATGTCCAGACTATGCACAGATCATACTAACCTGCGTGACATATCAGATAATTTTACGGTGCTTGTAGCACTTCCACCGATTGGTGACAAATACGTAGGAGTTCATCTTTTTGAGAATATAAATGCAAGAATTTTCCACATCTTCGGAAAAAAGTTCAGGCAAATGGGTTGGTAAAATATCTGAGTCTGACTACTATTTTTTTGTTTGATCAAAACTACGTGAATGTTATAAATTCATGTATTTCGAGTGTTGAGACAATTTTCTAGAAGGTTATACCTTGAAACTGGCGGGGAGGGGTTGGTAAGCTACGGGAGGAATCGGAGGCTACAGGGACTAGTTCAGGATCTTGATGGCTTTCTCAAAGTAGTTGAACCTAGGCTTCTTGTTCTTGTTCATGTGGTCTAGGCCTAGCCACGGCCTGGGCTGTGCTGTACCACCTGTAGGGACAGAAACGGACACGTCAATATAGACTTGATCAAGGACAACCTTGGTGCTTTGATGGACAATTGCCATTACTGCTGATCAGACTTTGGTCAATTTCTCGCACAACAGGGCGAGTAAAAAAAAAAGGAAACCCAAATGGCAGGCCAATTTTTTAATGAAGTTCTGCCTGTAGCACTTTTCAAAATTTACGGAAAGCCCTGGGTAGAGAGAAGCCAACTTGCCCCCGGCATTATTGTTCTTGCCCCGGTGTTATTGTTCATCCACTTTACCAGCAAGCGGACTCGTGAATTGACTCGTGATTAATTTGCAACCACACTCGTAAAAGACGGGACTACAACACTGGATCCTCAAAACAAAACAATTTCTGGAAAGTTCAGACTTATCAGTTTAGAGTTTTAAAATGCAAAAGGTATTGACTTACTGCTGTGTATTTGCGGCTGGAAATCCTTAATATTCACTTTGACGTCACTCTCTAGAAGAACAAAAAGAAACACAGAAGACACTTTGTGAACATCTCTGTAGCTTTAACAGATACAAGTTTATGAGGTTAATAATGATAATAATAACAGAGTCTTATATAGCGCACGTATCTACCAACAATTAGGTACTCAAGGCGCTGGTTATTATGTCTATTATTAAAGAAAGGTAAATAAAGTATATGAGAAATATGAGACCCATTATGTAGCACCTTATAAGGGTTGACAAGGTGCTGTGGCACATATTGCAGCCACTGCAATAGGTTACTAGCTTATGAAGCAGCATTTCTTTTTAATACATATAAATCCAGTCCTTCTGATATGAAAATCACAGGCGTGTGGAAAAAGGCACACCTGGATTTTTCCAGGCGTGTTGTTTTTCTAGGTGTGTGATTTTCTAGGTGTGTGATTCTGAGGTCCAGGGAAATTCAGGCGTGCAATTATTCACACTTCTCAGGAAGCTTTTAGGCATGCTATGGTGTGGGGGTGTAAATCTATTAATATTTTCATAGATTCAGTTAATAAAAAATAAAGTTTATTGAATGAAATCACAACAGATTGAACATCCACAATATCTTAAAAATTATAATGACGGTGTTAATTTTTCCCTTACCTTCCGAGATGTACGTTGGCCTGCCCATGACTACTATTGCAAACTTGATCTGAAATTGTACCAAAGAAATGTTTTAATACAAAAAACAAAAAAAACGCACACAGTTTTATTTAAAATTTTTCAAAAAAAGGCAAAGGTAGAAGTTTCTATGTTTATTACTGCAAATATCAAGGCCCAGAAACAAACAATTTTGACGTTTTTAAGGGTTTTTTAAAATTTACTTATTTAATTTTGAAGGAAAAGAAAAGAAATTGCGAGACTTACTTTTTCCAGTTCCTTCTCGGAAATATCCAGAATTTCCCTTATTCTCTCTTTGACGTCTGAGAACAATTCACCCTAGAAGAAGTGAGAAGTATAACGGTTTACATTTCTGCATTTACGCAGAATTTTCAAGAGCATTCGGATGACCCCAAATGTTCCAACTCTGAGCAAGTGCGAGCTAGATTTATGGGTATGAACCAAAGCTCAACAACAGTCCTTCTGATTTTACAATCACATTCGCGTGGAAAAAGGCACACCTGGATTTTTCTAGGCGTGTGATTTTTCTAGACGTGTGATTTTTCTAGACGTGTGATTTTTCTAGACGTGTGATATTTCTAGGCGTGTGATTTTTCTAGACGTGTGATATTTCTAGACGTGTGATTCTTCTAGGCGTGTGATTCCGTGGTTGAAACTGGGACTGAACAATCTGATATTTTTTTTTATAATATCCATCTTGGATTACAGTAAAGCCATTTCAAGAGCTCACAGAAGTATAATTATGCTGTAAATGTATGCCCAGGTGTGCGGTACAGAGGGATTCAGGCGTGCGATTATTTGCACTTCTCGGTAAGCTTTTAGGCGTGCAATGGCGTGGGGGGGCGATGGCATGCCCCAAATCAGAAGGACTGCAACTATCTTTGCCAGAACCTAACACTTGGCTCTGTGCACAGGTACCCTCTCAATGGTTACAAAGAAATAGTTGGTTGAGACCACTGAGAGGAACTTTCCAATGCATTGCTGATGACGAAGATGCTACCGGTTTGTGCACATTCAGAATATAATAAGTCGCCCATAGTTGGACTAGTTTAGTTGACCACTCAGGACCAACTTATCAAGGTCTTTTGGCATCACTGTTGGGAGCCAAGACCACGAAGTTTCATGATGATGTTTCGACCAGCATTTACTTTTTATAGTTGGGCTTAACTTAGGTCACAAATCAACCACTAGTTGACCGATGGTCCTCGATAGAACTTGCTCCTTTTCTCTAGCTCTGACTGCTTGGAACACAGTGTGATCTATCGACTACTCACACAGTGGATAATGATTGCCTCATTGGTTTATGATGAAAGGGCGAACAATCCAAAACAAAAAGTTGTTGACAATTCATTCACTTCGCTGTTGATCCTTCAAATATATGGAACGATTTCTTGATTTTCGTGAGAATTTTTCTTTTAAACTTCATCACTCTACATTTCCAGTTGTAATAGTTTGTTGTTGTCTTGCACTGTTTGGACCCACCTCTTTAATTCTCAGCAGGAACGGCATGCCAAAGGTACTGAAGAGATCCTTGTGGTAATGGGCTGCACAGACCAGCATCTCACCGTCCTCTAGGTTGACTTGGTCGAGGGGAAGCTCCTGGGGGTAGAAAACGGCATAAGGAAACTTTATATGGTGGCAGAACTCAGGATCACTGTAAAACTCTGTCAATGTGTCACTGTCAGAGTTAAGGCCAAGTCAAATCACAAGTCAGATCACAAGTCAGATCACAAGTCAGATCCCAAGTCAAATCACAAGTCAAATCACAAGTCAAATCACAGGTCAGATCACAAGTCAGATCACAGGTCAGATCACAAGTCAAATCACAAGTCAAATCACAGGTCAGATCACAAGTCAGATCACAAGTCAGATCCCAAGTCAAATCACAAGTCAAATCACAAGTCAAATCACAGGTCAGATCACAAGTCAGATCACAGGTCAGATCACAAGTCAAATTACAAGTCAGGTCACAGGTCAGATCACAAGTCGAATCACAAGTCAGATCACAAGTCATATCACAAGTCAGGTCACAAGTCTGATCATGAGTCAAATCACAAGTCAAATCACAAGTCAAATCACAAGTCAGATCACAAGTCAGATCACAAGTCAGATCACAAGTCAGATCACAAGTCAGATCACAAGTCAGATCACAAGTCAGATCACAAGTCAGATCACAAGTCAGATCACAAGTCAGATCACAAGTCAAATCACAAGTCAGGTCAGAAGTCAGATCACATGTCAAATCAAGAATCAAAGTCAGGTAAAAAAGAACAGGGAACAAGTACAAAGGAATACATTTTGCTGCAATTCATTTGAGTAGCTTGTGCATTGACTTGAGACTTGTGAGGGGACTTTACTGAATCTTTGGCGCGCACTTGCTAGAATTCCAATGGTTAACTCAAGAAGATTGGGAAACCATTTCTATCTTCTGTGCGACGTAATTCACAGAATCACCACTGAATTAATAGGCCAAGTAGAACTTCTTCAAACCCATGGCAAATTGTGAGCGGTGAAGCGAGAACCGCTTGGCACACCATTCTGAAGTGGTTGGTGAGGCTATCGTTTTGTAACCATTCTACGGTTAATGAACCATTTGTATTTTGACGTGGGTCTAAAGTGAAGATAGGAGTCTCACCTCTATCCTGTATGTCTTGCTACCAGCTGGGTTGAGATGGTCCAGGAGTGTATCCTCCTTGTGTTCTTGGTAGATCTTGTTGCTGATTACGTCCAGTAACCTGAAAGAAAGAAAAGCATTTTTTTTAAAACATTTTAAAAATATGCATCATTGTGCGTAGTAACATGCAAAAGATGCTTCACATTCGAGCGGTGGGTTGACATTGGTCGTACCTGTCACAGTAACTCTGCAATAATATTGCACTGCGTGAATTTGTGAACCGTTTTGCTTTTTTCCGGTTTTTTTTCTCGGTTTATTCAGGTTTTCACAAGATGGCTTAACCGACCCCGACTCAACCCGAAAATCACAAACGCAAAACCAAAACCGACCCGACTAAAATGATGGAAACACTGACCCGACCCGACCCGACCCTAAGTCGGTTTTGGGTCGGGTCAGTTTCAGTTTTGGGTCATGTTTGCACAACATTAACGCTAATTACTGCTTTCATAAGGCCATACATATGAAGCTTGGGGAAAACCTAAAAAAGATACACGTATGTACGTTCACCTAAGTTTGCCGGTGCCATTCTCAGTTAGCGTGAGGTACTTCTTGGCTTCTGTTAGAAGATCCCTCACAGTGTCTGTTTTGTTAGGGTACAAGACTAACTCCTAAATAAAGAGGGGAGAAATTGAAGGAAAATACAGGCATGAGAATGAATTTCAAGGAAAAACAACAGGAAACTTGTGAAAAAAAAAACAGAAAAAAATGTGAAATCAGGCAAAAAAGCCCCCAAACAGGCTCAAAACAAATAAAAACGCGGAAATGTGGGTAACAAAGAAACCCGGGAATTCCTGTTTAAACAGGAAGATTCTCATGCCTAAAAAATGTAACCATCCAGCAATGCATTTTTTGTTTTAAGACGTCCTCTCATACACTGACCCAATGGCTGCTTGCTTATCAATCTTTAAGCAAGTCATTAGTCACCATAAAAATTTGTATCCGGGAATTTTGTAAAAAAATCAAACTTCTTCAAGACAATTTCATTTTCAGAAATGCGAAAATTTTGCCAACAGTGTACAGTACACTTTTAAATGTGCATCTATCCCAAAAGTAACCTAGTGAATTATAATCAAAAAGCTTATTTGGATTAAAGATCCCACTGGTGCTAAACACCCCATGAATAATTATTCCGTCTAACTTGCTGTCATTTAGAAGAAATCAAGAAATGAAGGTGATTTCAATGATCAGTCAGTTGACTGACTGCTGGAAATAAAGAGTTCTATTGACGATATTTTGTGATAAAACGTTGTGTATGGTTTTCAATATCCACTGAATTTTCAACAGGTTGGGTTTTGAATATGCTTCTTTGGATTATGAGTGGTGTTATTATTGGAGACGCACAAAATGCACTCAAGCAAATGATCCTGTATGCCTTTAAAGATCCGGGCCACAGTGCACAACATCCACATGTCCCATATTCAACATGCTGTATTTTCAGACCCCAATCCTTGTTTTGTTTTTCTACCAAGACCCTTCCCATGGTATCTCACCTCTTCTTTGAGCTTGGAATTCACAAAGTAGCACTTGAATTGCCTCTTGTTTTCCAGCTCGTTTATCTTGATGCTCAGCTGGGCAAGAAAAGATGCAACAAAAGATGAGGATCAGTTTCAACTTTTAAATTAAACAAAAAATACTTGGAAGAAAATATTACTGAATCTTAGGGGGGGGGGGACTAAAGTGTGTATACTTGTAGAAAAAAAGAGTTTCCAAAATGGCACAACCACATCTTGGCCAGCTCTGCAACATGTGTCTGCTGTCACAAATTTTAATTTCAAGCTTTTTTTGGCCAAAAAATAAAAAGGACTTAAATGAAGATGTGCAAACTGTTACATTTCCTGCTTGTCAGCCCGTGGTTTTGGCTGTTCTTCCTAGTAACCCTACTCCTCTATCATTCTCAACCAATCAGAGATCAAGTTACAAAAACACCATCCAATCAGAGAAGTGCTTTTGAAGTTTTCAAGTCTTGTGTTTTGTTGTTGTGTTTTCCCCCGTTATTTCCCTCATAAATCAAAACCCTGCCCTCTTTCCACAAAATTAATCCTGACGAGATTCAACATGGTTTAACTGCCAGCTGTCTAGATGAAATGGAAAACATAAGAGTGGTATTTCGCCAGCTTTTTAGGTGAGTTTGAAGCATAAAAATGGGTTTTCATTGTCTTATATACATGTAGGAATAGGGTCCTAAAAGCAACTTTTACCAAATTCGGCTGGTAACTGTGTTTGCTCAGTAAATAATGTTTGGGCTAAGCACAGATAAAAAGCAAAGTGACATACCTTCTGGTAGTAGAGCTTCTTGGGTTGTCTGGGTTTGAGTGTTGACAGTAAATCCCTCAGAGTCCCGTCGTATGTACAGCGTAGTGGGTGGCCGGGACCATCTCTGTGACTGGAGATTTATTAAAAACATAACAAAATGACAGCTAAAGGTAAGACTGCTTTGTTCATGGATATTAACTGCAGAAGAACCATGGCGCATCCGATGGTGAGACCACACTGAAGTCCTGAACAAGTTCCTGGTCACAGATCCCACCATCCAGGTGCAGGGAATAATGGTGTCTCCTGAACCGGTTTCGAACTTACGCGGGGCCATGCCGCAGCAGCCTATATAAGTGGGGCTACATCTCATCTCCGCTTTGTGACTGTGGCGAACCCCAGACGATGCGCCGTATGATCAATGACTGCCCACTCTCTGGCCTTACTGGTGGCATCGCAGCCCTTCACTTGACCGAGGACCCAGCGAGACATTGGCTTATGGACAATACAACGAGATCGCCATAGCATACGACATCATCATCACCATGGATATTAAGAACTGATAATCTTTAGCACTGCTGATAATTTAAAGAGGGCAGATAAAGAGAAATCCCTTACAAGAGAACTTGAGTTGGTTTTGTTTCTACTAACAACGATTTCAGAATGCACATTATTTTTTGGATCAAACTCTTGTGGTTGCAGTCACAACGTTTAGTCCAAACTTAAAATGTGGCGAAAAAAAAATGAAAAACTGGTTCTGAAATTGCAAACCCCCAAAATATGTATGAGTAGCAAATATTAAATTAATACATATTATGTATATTAATAAAAAAAAAAACCCTGAGATTTTCGTCGATAAAAACATCAGTATTTTAGACTCACCCTTGGCTCTTGAAGAACTGCAGCAACATGGGATCTGTGTCCAACTGAGCTGCTACCGCCTTGGCAATCTGGTGAAATATGGAAAACACCGAAACTTGAAATCTGTCTGGACTCCGACACAATGCTATATGGTGTGGTGTGGTGGGATGGGGAGGGGTGGGTTATGAGGGGTTGGGCCAAGAGTGTAAGGGGGGGGGGGGGGCTACGGGACATAATACTTCAGAATCATACCTCCATAAGGTGCCTTCACCGAATTCTTCATTATTAACCCTAACCATCCCAAATCCTCCAAAATGCTTTTTGCAAACTGGAGGAATTAGCAGGATTGAGGTTACATGGCCAAAGTGCGTTGCTGATTTCGGAGGACGCACTATATCAAGGTCTTGGGCCGGACCTTGTGTTGTTTATGCTCAGCCATGCATAAATTTAGTCCTTGATTATGCTTGAAATCCTCAGTACTGCTCCAGGATGTCACTGGCTCTGCCTCAACATATTGACATTCATAGCCGGAGGATTTTGCAGGATTGAAGCAGTGGTCATTCCTCCAAGAACCACATTCAAGAAATAATGGATGATTTTGCAGGATTGAGGCTATCTGCTATTTTTCCATGGGGCCAATTGGAGGATTTTGCAGGATTAAGGTTACATCCTAGCAAAAATGCCTAGGGAGTTAGGGTTAAAGACGCATTCCCCGTGCTCTTTTCGAGTTTTATCCTAAAAAAAACGGATTCCTTTTCTATTAAATACGCAGACTTTTCGCGTAAGAACACTTAGGACCAAACGGTAAGCCACCTAAATTGCTAATTTCGAGCAATACAAAAGTTATCCACTTTGAGACATTGACCAAAAATAAATCAGGCCATGTTTATTACTAGTTTGCGCCCAAAACAACAAGCCTTTTTTTTCAGAGGGTTGCAGACATCCAAAAAACAGAACAATACCTCAGCAGGTCAAAATTAAGAAGTCAATTAAAAAATCGACCTGGAATTAAAAATCATGTTTGGGATGTTATGACTGACCTGGAAGTAATTCATCTTCTGTGACAGGACCAACATGAAGCCAGGATCCGTGGGATTATTCTTGTCGTAGAAGTATACGTCAACTCGCCAAAACAGATCTCGGAAATAATCCCTCGCCGTCGGCAGCTCATACTGGGAGTTCTCAGGGTCGTCCCTGGAGAAAATTACAAAAGATGCAGTCGTTATAAGCCGCGTTCAGTTCGACTTGTGATTTGCTTGCGCCATGACCAACCCGGCAGCATCAAGCAAGATGCTCAACCATGCTCATGTCACCCACAATAATTATTCACAATAAAATAGATGATCCAAATGCACACACAATGTCATCTCTTCCCACAGGTCCACCCCGATTGATTGCAGAAGTTGAAATTGTTCAACTCTTGGGACAGTCAATTTTGTTTAAAGCCGACAGTGTGTGAAAGTTTACAAAACTAAACGTATCCCAAACGAATTGTGCATTTCCGTACGTAGTAGTTTTGAACAAGTTCTCTCGAAAAATGTTATGGTGTTTTGAGGGGGGAAAAAAGCATAACCCTAACAATGCCTAGAATAAATTAATTCTTCTGAAACAACCCGCTCTGTTTACCATGATGAAATATTGTTATGTGAAAATCTACCAAATATAATAATTCCTTCATACAACGCTGAATATTTGAAGCTAATAATAACAAACATGATCGGAATCTTACCTCTGGAAGACGATAATATCACCGTCCATTAACTCATCCAGGGCCTTGTCAAGTTGTAATGACAGGTCTGGTATCTTCTCCGTCAGGTTGGGTTTCACCTCCTAAAATGAAATTTAAAAAAATCACCAATTGAGTGTTTGTGTAAAGTAAGTAAAAGTACAGTCTGTCACGAGCCAATGTGGCCCGTCAGGCCAGCGTTTATCTCCGGTTTCAGTAGCATGAAACGACTGAGAATATTTCTACTCCCCCTGGATGGGATGCTAGTCCATCGCAGGTTACTCCCCAGCTAATGCTGGTACCCATTGATACTCCTGGGTGGAGAGAGGTAAGTAGGAGAGAAGTGGCTTGCCCAAGGACACAACACATGGCCAGCAGCTGGATTCGAACCCCTGACCCTCTGCTTATGAGTCACGAATCCTAACCACTAGGCCACACTCCCGAGTGTTTGAGTGAAATAATCCAATGTTCTGGTTTTATGTGTTGTCACTAAACGGTATTATTGAAATACGCAAACTGCCCCATACAGTTCACACACATAGTTTATTGATACGTCCATCCAACTCACCTCATACAGTACAAGAGAAGTCCCTTGTGGCAAGCCTGCCCTTTCACACATGACTGGTAGTAGTTGACCTGAAACGAAAATGAGACAAGATGACATCAACAAACCATTCTTGATTCCCCAGTAGGGCTCATTCAGTATAAAAGCTAGTAACCCGGCCTACATCCGCACTGCTAAAAATGGTTTTCTTGAATACCTTTCTTATTTTAAGAAATTAATTCTTGTTTGAAGAACCATTTTCTCGTCTCACTCCCAAGAAAAACTTTCTGGGGAGTGAGACAAGAATGTTTTCTTGAAATAAGTATTTTTCTAAGTTCAAGAATACCAGTGTCGCCATTGTATTAGGCAAAGATTGCATAGCACCGCGCGCAGTAGGTAGTAGGCAAGCTTCCAAATCTGTGATGGACGGTAAAATCTGTGAGGAAAAATGCGGAGCCAACGCCCAGTGCTGGGTCAACATGATAATGACAACCATACATGGCACAGGTAGTAAGGGACAAGACCAAAGACATTTTTTTTCGTTCTGACGTGTCCGAACGGGAAGGTATGCCATTATTGTTCATAATCTTCCCATTCCCCCGCGTGCCCCATTCTGCGCGTGTTCCTGTTTTGCATCAATACAGTAGCGCGCGCAGTCACGGTGCGTGAGCACGTTTTGTGATGTACACTGGAACTCTGGTGAACGATGGGGCATATCACTTAAAGCCAGAGTCCATCATTTGCAGCTATCCAAAAAGTAACTGGCGTAATTATTGTTGAAAAACATACTTGGTTGAAAGATAGTAAGGGGACTAAACTCCCAGTGAAATTATTCTTTCTGGCAAGCTGTCATTTTGAAGAAATCAACAAAAGAAGGCCTTTCCAACAGTGCTTCTTAAGAAGCACCGTAGGAAATTCAAATTAGTAGTTCGTTTTGTTATTCGGCGAAGCGCGTGCAAGCATTGGCACCAGCTGATTGGCACGACGCACGCGCGCGGTTGCTATAATTCGTTGGATCAGTGCGCGATCGGCTCAGTGAGAACGTGTCTCTGATGCTGAATTCACGCCCAATTCAAAACATGATTCAGCAACTTTTGATTTGAATCGAGATCTTAGAATGTTGTTTTTCTCGAAATATACATCTAAAGCTGAGCTGAAACTTCATCAGGTTAGTTGTTCAGCACCCTTCTGTAGATCCTGAGCACTTTTGTCACTTCAAACGAACAAAATGCACAAATTACAAATGATGGACTGTACCTTTAACATAACAAAAGCACAGTACAATGGAGCATTCCTGCCTGGCCGGTTGGCCAATTTTGTTGCCCCGTTCTACCACGTGTGAACGGTCCTATTGTTAGTTTTATTGCCTCCCATGCCAAATGAGAAAGAACATGTTTCCACGTGTGGGAATGGGAAAAAATGTGTTTTGATGCCAAAAATGCCATTTGATAAAGAATTCATGTATGTTTGGTTTTTTTTAGTGAAAAGTTGCAACATACACGCATGAACCAGTAAATGCAGTGTGTGTCTCCCATTGCAGCTCTCAAAAATGGACATAAAGTGGAAATATAAAAAAATAATCAGCATGCGAAGGCTTTTTACTTTAAAATGATGGCTTGGGAAAGCTACTTACTGACTTTGGTGCTGATGGGTGGATAGATGTGACCACAGAAAGATACTCTCTTGAGTTTGGGGTCGTACATTTTGAGAAACAATAAGACATCACCTGTAAAAAAAAAAAAGCGTGGACAAAAGGCCGTTAAGGTTGACAATCCGGAGGAAAAATGAAAAAAAAAACACGAAAAAAAAACCATGATTTGTGGATATGGTAAGGTTAACTTCAAAATTATAGTCAATAGAAGAATTTCGAAGATTTCCTTGCGGAAAAAAATCATGCACAATAATAATGTGAAATTGACTTAGCTCTAACTCATAATAAACAATTATAGCATTCCAAGGTCGTAAGTTTATATTCTAATCCGGTCAACCTGTTGCTCAATGTTACAGTTTGGTTTTTAGGAACTCAATAAAACTATCAATTCAAAGACCTAGCCCATATTTAAATCACTCTGTATGGCCCTCCACATTCAACATGTATCTAAGATTCACTGATGATAAGCACCTATCTTAAGGGTTAAATTTGGTCAGAAATGTTTGTAGGGAAATGTTTTTTTTTTTTTTTTTACTGCAACTCACTTTCTTTGTCAAAACTAGGCAGACTGGCGCTGGGAAACTCAGCAAGTTGCGTCTCTAGGAAGATTGTCCAGACTATCTCGCCATCCGCAATGTCGTGTATCTGAGCGTCACAAAGAAAAAAAAACAAAGTTGCAATCAAGTTAACACTCCTTCCTCTCTGGCTGGCAAATTTCAACAAAGCACATCCAATCAGTCAATGTCAATCAAGTGACTGTTCAAAGTTAAGAGCTCCCTGCCTACATAAAGCAGGATTGACTGGCTGGGACTGTTTATGTCACTTGATACAGCTTTGCTCTGACTGTAGCAGAGTTGATCATGAAAAACATCCAAAGTGTTGTTCCAATTGTATAAGTTGCCACACATTTGTTGAATGCCACTTTCGAGCATGATTTGAGAGCTTCCACAAGGAAAAGTAGCTCAAATTTCTTCTTTAAATTTGGTCAAATATCAGCCATTCTGCTACATCTACCTGTTCTTTATAATATTATATATAAAAGCTCCTTGTCAATTTTTGACATGCGCAGGCGAATGCAAATCCTAGCTCTCAGCTAGTATTGGCTGGCGCATGTTTAACCTGATCAATGCATTTCGTAAAACGAATAGTTGAGTCATTTTGGTTAGAACGTACCGTTTTGTTAGGATTATCCAGATCCAGCACCGTCGGCCTGTAGGTCTGGTTGGTGCGACTGATGAATGGCCATATCCTCATCTGATCCTCAGGGTATCCCATGGCTTGTGACAGCATGGACATGATGTCGCTGTACGTCGACATCTTCAGAATACGGAACTCTCTATTGGTTAAAGAAAATAAAGAATGAACACAACTAACATCTGATCTTCGGGGTATCCCACATGATGTGGCTGTAATGTCGACATCTTCAGAATTTGGAGCCTAGTCACTGTTGTGCCCGATCACACGACAAGCACTCTTCAATTTACCTGAATTTCATTTTGTCGAAGTCACAGAGGTCGTTGCCTTGGTGACCGTACAGCTGATCTTCCATGGCAACCTGGAGGGTCATGTACAGGTGGGCCTCTGTCCGCTCTTTGCGTTTCTGGGCTTCTAATCTCCTATAAAAATTAAACAAAATAGAAAACAAAACCAGAATTACATATTTCATCACTACTTTGTCAAGGTAAGGCCTTGTCCGGCTTGAAATTTTGCACGAGTCTATGGTAGCCGCTGCAGCCACTTCACATAGACTCGTGTGTAACTTCCAGCCGTAGCCACGTAATTCGCACACGGCCTTACTCACTTCTACACTCTTTGGTTCCACCACAGCTGCAACAAGTACGAACAATGCCCAATTCAACTCCCTGCCCAGTGTTTCCTCAGAGAGGCCACTTTTAAACATTTGTGGGATTGTGGGTTCGAGCCCCGCCATGGCCATGCATGTTGTGCCGTTGAGTAAGGCTCAATTACTCCTCTCAACCCAGGTGTTAAATGGGTACCGGCATTATTCAATGCTGGGAAGGTAACAGACTCGCTGTGGAGGAGGTGTGGCGATCCCCCCACAGCAGCATTTCATGGACTAAAGTCTGGCCCAATCGCTTTGAAAGAGAGATGGGCACTGTGTTCCTGTTAACACAGGTTCGTCCCCCTTTAAAAAATGTACGGTCGCCATCCTTCAAATGCTATCCTGGAAATAATAATTTATGGGGTTGTGTGGTATCCTGATGTTGACAGTGATAGTGTGAGTGGTACTTGCTAATTCAAAAAGTCACCTACTTTTCCTCTAGAAGTCTTCTCTTTAATGTTTCAGGGATATCTTCGTCTGTGACTTGCTGTAGGAGATCAGCTGGAAAGGAAAATTGCAAATACAGAGGATGAAATCGTCATGTCGGTGCATAAACATCGTTACAGCCAAATTTGTCAAAATTCAACCCTTCCTGCATTTATAATAAGATTTACCCATCCATTATTACAGGAGAGTTTCATAGAAAAAATGTGCGTCGTTATGACGTAATTGATTAAAGTCATAAGGTCGTGCCTTGACTATGAGCCAGAATGTGCTAGCAAAAACGTCCATCTCAAAAATACCATACGGTCGTGTTTGTGCAAAAACGTCGTATCTCAAAACTCATTCAAATTCATGTTCTTGTACCGATGTGACACCATTTAAGTTTGTTTTTTCATTTTCTTAAAAACCAAATTAACAGAATTAGAAAATAAGACAAAACAATATTTATTTTGTAATAAAAAATATAACTAAATGGAAAAAAGGAGAAACAAAAATGAAATAAATGGAAAATACGAGAAGTATGAAAGTAGAGACTATTTGTACACTGAATAAGATGCTACTGGGAATTATTACATTACCAACAACATTCTTGAGTTGGACAAGCTAAATACAAGCATGCTTATCAATAAGCGAGATCGGCATTCCAACTGTGCATGTGCGCATCAAGATTTGCCGATTTTTCTTTCGGGATGAAACTGTCATCGAATGCGTGCAAAAGTATAGCGGGATACCAGCATAATTGAAGAGATCATCGTGTTCTGAAGTATAACATTTTGCAAAAAGCCTTTGGACAGCGAAGTGTTCTTAGGTGTCTTGTGTGTCAAAAAATTGTGCGAACGAAAGTCCCATCTCTTTTTGATTGCACGAAAAATTGCACGGAATGCAGATTTGGTTACCACGTCCCCCATAGCCTTGTGTGCATTTATCTGTGGCGGTTTTCCTTTAAAAAAAAATTGTCGCATCTTGCTGTGCACCAGACTATTTTGGAATACTGAACGGGCTTATTCTGAGATGTTTTCAGGGATAGAGTGAAAATATTTTGTGACCCAATTTAAGCCCTGTGTGAGAGACAGTTACCCAACTCACGTTTACAGCTGTCCCTGATGTACACCAACATGTAAGCATTGGTGCAGTGTCTGACCGACAGGTCGTCCTCATGCCCACCGTAGTTGTTATCGATAGCTTCAGCCTTTGTACATCTCGAGACAACGTCATCGTCAAATTTACACCACTGTGGGAACGGGGGGAAAAAGGGGAAGTTATGGCCCCGTACGGATCACAAAATGAAAACAAATCACATAAGGATGTGTGTGAATTATTTTTGTTTTGCTGAAAGAGCGCACACCTTTTTTGTGATCCGTGGACAGAACTTTAAAACGGCGGTTGTGTTTAAACTTCCGTCACTTGAAAAGTACATGATTCTTGGACTAAATGAAAGCTTATGAATTGGTCTTTCATATCCTAGATATATTTTAGTGCATCAAGTTTGGCCAAGTGGTTTGTGGGACACAGACGCACAACATTTTCCGCGTTCCACGAATGCTCGCGAGATAACTAATAATGTAATGCATCTGTGTCCTATATGCGATGGGGCCAAAGGCTGAGTGGCACCTGGAACACAGACTCACTACATTGTCTGTGTTCCACAAATTAAATCTTCAAGCACAGTACAGACGGAGCGCGCTGGCTGTAGGAACTTTTCAGTGGCAATCCTATCACATGTACATGAAGCAGGAATAGCACGAATATCTTTGAAAGCGCAATAATGACAAGTGCAATATTCAATTCAATTCAATTCACTTTATTTTCCACATAAAAAAAAGACAATCAGAGTTAAATGTATACAAAATATGTGGATGGGGATCCCTAAAAAGCAATGCTTGTCGAGTAGTGATCCCCAGTTACAATCATACAAAAATATTACAAGTTACACACACAAACTAAACATAAGGACATAACACCAGACATGAATATTCGAATGACATGCAGCTGCAACCCCGTGAAAAAAACAAAACAACAACAACAACAACAACAACAAAACACTGTTGTTGCCATGGACAAAACAAACAGGACCGAGGATTCAAGTTTGCTTGAAGATTAAACCAACATTAAAGTTTACATCTCCATGTCTGTAAAATTCCATCCCCCGAGACGAAGAGGTTGATATCAACTGACCTTTCCGTCGCCGTTGGGGTTAGCCCACATAATGACCGCCATGGTTATCACCGCTATCATCAAGCACCGAGTGTAATGTGTAATGCCAAGAGTTTGGTATCAACTGACCTTTCCGTCGCCGTTGGGGTTGATGAAGCCCACATAATGACCGCCATGGTTATCCCCGCTACATGTATGTACAAGCACCGAGTGTAATGTGTAATGCCAAGAGTTTGATATCAACTGACCTTTCCGTCGCCGTTAGGGTTGATGAAGCCCACATAATGACCGCCGTGGTTATCACCGCTATGTACAAGCACCGAGTGTAATGTGTAGTCAGCCGGTGTAGTCTCTGGTTCCTTCAGGAATGGGTCCAGGTTCAGCTTGAAAGGAAACTCGTACCTGCAAACCAAATGCAAAGTCCAATTTTTAAATATAATGTGTGGAAATAGAATCTTTTAGACATTGTACCTGAATTGAGGAAGGTTAACAAGGCTAAATTAAATAAGCCATTTCTCAAAGTTGAACCCCAAGATACCCTGTAAAACCCAAAGCCTTGTAAAACTTCACAGTAAACACTGAATTACCGCATGATTAATCTCGTATCCTCCCCTAACGCATGTTGAATGTGCACAGACTTGTGCGTGCATTTGGCATAGAGTCAGCAGAATCCAATCTCAACTGGATAAACACAAATTCCACGAAGTTTTTGGCTGTAAAATGTGAAATCTGTAGCTCAACTGCGTGTGAAGTACATGGAATGGAAAATGGTGACCTGTTATTTAGTTAGAGCAGTGTTTTCATTTTCACATCTAACAGTACTTTTGGACAGAGTGAATAAAACAAAACCCGAAAAACTCACAGGAGGATAATAAAGATAAGGGTTTGGTAATTTACTACACAAGCTTTTTAGTGGTGATTTGTGGCATTTTTCTACGGACCTGTCATTGATTTTGACGTTGGAGTCAGTGACTGGATCGTACTGGAATCGCATCAGCTGCAGGTGGAGCACTGGAGGAAACTTGTGGAATATCACACCTTTCTCTGCTTCCTGGAGACATTAAAAACAGATTACAGATGATTTCACAGATAACAGATGAATTTTACAGGGTTTGTGAAAAAAAAATCTGCACCTTAGATTGCTGAGAAAACGGGTCGGGTGCATGGTTTTTATTTCATTCGCATTTTGCACATGAAATCTGTCATCTAATCTCCATCACCTGTCACGCAAGGATATTACGATAATTGATAAGTGGGTGTTGATTTCTTGACTACAGGTTTGATTTCTTTACTGAAACAGCATACCGGGGTTTTCGCCCCTCCCGTAATCAGCGAATATAATTACAGCAATATTTTCTTCTTGATGTTACAAGATACAAGATAGATCCAAATTTTTTTGTGTTCACTGAATCCACCTTATAGTAAAGCCTTCACACTGTACATGTAGTTATAACAGTTTCAAAATATATTGTATTTTACAATATTTGCTGAACAACTATGCATTAATCAAATCATGTTTTATCCCATTGTATTGAATTGCATTGTATTTGTAATGTATTGTATATACATGTTTGTAGTCATTATTTATTGGATGCAGGGCCCCAATGGAAACCAGTTTTATACTGTTTGGGCATAACCTGGGTAAATAAATGTAATGAATAAATACCGGAACAAAAGTGCAAAGGGGGTGAGCTCTCCATGTTTTTTTCCAACAGGCATCATTTGAAACATTTACTTCTGTAGCGGGGGTCCAACCAGCCGAGACTACAGCTTATGAGACTGCAGAGAAATACTGTGCTCTATTGGCAAGAAATGACCCAATACCAATTGTGCAGACTTCCCTTGTTACATATCTTGGGCAGGTACATCTGCCTGAAATAGAGCCAGCTGGATGAGCCAATATACCAGCTGGACATTCATCTGGCTTTGTTTTACTTCATCCAATTAAGACAATTAATTTGAAAGCCTACAGGTACATCTGCCTGAAATAGAGCCAGCTGGATGAGCCAATATAATGAATTCCACAGCGAAAGGTTAATACCTGTAACCCATGTTCGCCGGCATCATACTTGTTCTCGCCGTCCATCGTTTCCGTGGCAATGTAGTCTTTGAAAGATTCATAAACTGAAGAAATAGAAAACAAATAAATAATAATAATTATAATAATTTGGGAGGCTAATCATCCTTACTCGCAGCTGGTATGCTGAATTGCGAAGGACGCGGCTACAACGTGGTCGGGCCGCTGGCACGTAAAGGCGCCCATGGCTGCCGGCCACATCGACCCATATATGACCACAGAGCACAGCCTGAGATCGAAAGTGTTTGATTTTTCCGGAGGGAGGAAAACCGGAGGGCCCGGAGAAAAACCCTCGTGGCACAGGAGAGAACCAACGCACAACTCTACTCACATGCGATCCACGGCCAGGATTCGAACCGTGGTCACCTTGGTGAGAGGCGAGCGCTTTACGCACCAGCCACCCATAATATCATGCACTCTCTAATACAGGAAGCAGAACGCTAAAATAGACCAAAGTAGAAATTCTATATTGTAAACCCTTTCAAAAAGCTGCGTTGAGGGTCAGCAGTTGTCTGAATTTCTGTTGCAAAAAAAAAAAAACATTTGCTAAAAAATGTGTTAGGTGTTTTGTTCAGATGCCACACTTTTCTGAGGTAAAGCCACTCAGTGTAGGAATAAAATGTATAAATGATGATTTTGGTATGACTGTGCAATATAAAAAAAAAACTAGTATATACTCAAGAACTGGATGTGAATTGCTACATGAAATTGTAAGTGTCCTATATTTTATGAGTGGCTTATGAGTGAACGTGAATATCTCTCATGAGCCCAGAGTAGAATTGATCTTACCGTTTTTCTTGCCTTTGATGTTGAGCTGGATGTCATAGAAAGGCTCATTTCTGACCGACTCATAGTCAATGTGTTTACATTTTATATACGACTGCAAAAGACAAACATTACAAAAACTTTTTTAGTTCACCATAGAAATAAACACATTTTTCACCACCTTTTAATTTTTAAATACTTGATAAAAATGTTAATGCCAGGCCAAGGTGGCACCACACGATGGTAGATTTGATAATGTTGATTACCGCCTACTAATAATGTCTGTTCAATTTCAATAATACAATTTTCTTTTACTCGTTCACTGAGGAAAGACACACTTGTTGCTCACAAAATGTATGTACATGGTAACTTTAAAAATTACAAGGATTGAATATACTTTTGTATAGCCATGGCAAGAAGAAAACCAAGTTGTTTGAATGAAATGCAGCAATTTAGAGGATCGGTTAAAGGGAATGTACAACATTTGATTTTGCTGCAAGTTTCAGAAATAAATGGATTTGGAGGATTAGTATGTTATAGCAAATATTGTTAAACTGACTTGTTTGACGTTTTGGGTTTGTGGATGCTGGAAAAACCAAGAAAGCCAACCATGTTCTTGTAGTCTGGTTCCCTGACCCACTTAAGATGAAACGGAGCATTTAGTAGACTTTGGGAAATTGTAAGGTCAGAGAATCAGTCTGGCAGGCTTGTACCTCTTCACAGGTGTGTAATCAATTGCAAAGAAAATGCGGAATAACTAAATATGAAAAAATTAGGAGCATTTTTTGAAAATAAGCCAGTTTTCTCCAACGCTGGTCGGCCGACCAGCGTTGGAAAAATGCAAGTTCTCTTGACAATGTCAGCACACCAGGAGCCACGATTTTATAGGATACTTTAGATTGTCATTCCCTAACAATCTGGTAAGGTATTTCGTGATAATTTGATCTTTTTGTTTTTTGATGTTTTCAAATGTTGTATCTTCCCTTTAAATATAAGCAGGACCTTACTGTAAATAAACAAACGAAATGAAATCCAAACGAAAACGAAGGAACTTACATGCATCTTCCCTTCAAAGAGTTTGGGTATGGTGCCTTCCACGCATGTACCTTTCATCTTGATTTCTATATTGTCCAGTAGCTGTGGGATACATTTTGAGAAAAAAAGAAAGAAATAGGCACATTTTAGTAATACCCAAAAAATTGAATTTTACATTTTGTGAAGTAGCATACTGCGTGAGTTTTACTGTTCGAAACCGAAGACCTATTCAAGGCCAACTCGGCTATTTCCAATCTTGTCTTGACATCACTATTCTGCGTTGGGTTTTGCTGGACTGGCCGTTCAAACCTATAGACCAGTATCATGTTGCGACCATCTTGATTTTTTTCGCCATTCAAATCAACGTAACCAAAGCGAGGCTGGAAGGAAAAATAGTCTGGTTCCTTTTTGCACAAAAAATATTGTCATTCAGTACTGTTATTGGATACAGGAAACATGACTGAAATGGTGGCAGCATGACAAAGGTATTTTGTCCTCTGAGTGACTGAGTCTCACACTGACTGTTTACCTGTTAGATTGACTAGGACGTAGAGGCATAGACTTACCACTCTGCACAGCTCTTGGACGTCGTGTTGCATAAAAGAATCTAAGGTCTCCCAGCTAAAATGTAGAAAGACAGAGACAAAAACACACAAGTCAGTTACTTACACCCAGTGAGAAAACTGAATCAAAAATGAAATCCTGAACACACCCCGTATTTAACGATACTGTGCTATGTTCTTGAAAGCATTGTCATAGTCAAGTCCATCTCAAGTCCAGTCACAAGTGCCTTTGTCGCAGTTCAGTCGAATAGCTTCTGACTTGACTTGGGGCTGAATGACTTGTGATAGACTTTTGAGGTCTTGTGGTGGACTCAACTACAACATCCTGCATGAAAGTTACAATTCACATGAACTTATGGACTCTTGTGTCGGAACAAAAGATGGTACTATCTGGCAAGCTCAGGAGAACCACTGACGGGCAGACATATTGGTCATTCACCCAGACAAATTGCTAAATCCCATTCTTACCCAAATGACTTGGTGAGTTTCTTGGTGCCCACAGCTTTCTCGCTGTGCTGGAGTTCATAGAAGACCCTCTGCAGTGCCAGGGGTACGCTCTTGGCCGAGTCGTCACTCTCCGTAGGCATCAGATACACAGCCTGCACGACACAATATAGTCAATAATAATCAATCATCAATAAATATTCAAAAAGACAATCCTGCAACAACTCAAAAACAATGCCTTGTATTTTGTTTTATTTGGGGTGTAGATTGCCATCTTTGATGGCTTTGAAAAAAATATAAGTCACATGTTGTGATATTTTGAGTTTTATACATGGTCAAAAAAGTGAATTTACTGGCAGAGTTGCAATCAAGCCATTACAAGGGAATCACAAATCATTCAGCCTCAAGCCATCCAGCCAGAGGCATCTCTTTGTCAGTGTTCATCCCTTGTTACTTGTGACTGGACTTGTGACCTGTCTTGTGATTAGGCTTGTACTGGCTTGTGACTGGCTTATTATTGGGTTTGTGATAAGCTTGTGTTTGGCTTGTAACTGGCTTGTTATTGGTTTGTGATTGGCTTGTGATTGGCTTGTTATTGGTTTGTGATTGGTTTGTGATTGGCTTGTGATTGGCTTGTTATTGGTTTGTGATTGGCTTGTGATTGGCTTGTGACTTGCTTGTGATTGGCTTGTGACTGGCTTGTGACTGGCTTGTGATTGGCTTGTGACTGGCTTGTGATTGGCTTGTGACTGGCTTGTGATTGGCTTGTTACTGGCTTGTGATAGCTGGTGATTGGCTCGTGATTGGCTTGCGACCGGTTTTGACTGGCTTATGACTGGCTTATGATTGGCTTGTGACTGGCTTGTGATTAAATTAATAACAACTCTGGAATCCAGCATGTCCCTGTGACTTTCCAGCGAAGACAATTCACTGAGACTAGCAGGTTTTGCGACCAATGATGTCAGATTGACAAACAGCTATTAGACAATTAAAGACAAAGTAACAGGAACAAATTCTGACCTTCCTGAGTTGATTTGTGAAGAAGAGACACTGAAGGAGTGAGTTCATGTAGCACGTTGCGCCTTGGTTCTTCAGACCCACGTAACCGGTTAACTTCTTGGAGTCCCAACTGTGGTGTTAAAGAGAACATACTTTCATAATTCATTATTACGAAAATTATTAACTTATAAAATTCTAACTTATTTACTATCTCGGCAAGTCTTATTGTGATTTAAGGATTTGGAAGCAATTTTGTGCAATCTCAAACCTTCATAGCTAGACAGCAGGATTTTTCTTGAGAACAACACTTTTTAAACTCTAATTTGGAATACAGTCGACTTCAGAGTCAATACCAAACATGTGCACATCAAAGCTGTTTGATTTGTGTTTTTTAAATTGAGAGGTTTTATGTTTTATGGTTAACTCATGCTTTTTAGTTGGATTACTCCTGTAACTACAATGTACCAATAGTTTTTTGTACACAGCTGGTGTCTTCAAACAGGTGACTACAAACAAGAAAACCATTTCTACCACGCATCACAAACCTGACTCCATGCGGTGCATCAGCCAAGACTTGAACCTCCAGTACAATGCTGTCATCTTTGATGTACCCCTTCTCTGGGTCCAGTAAATCCTGTTGGAACAAAGGACAAATTAGAGATAATGTTATTGAAAGGGGTCAAAATATACAACAGTGTAAAAGTTTTTGATAACTTATACGTTTTCCAAAGAAAAGAAAGAATTGTGTCACCCATTTCATAAATACTGACTTGGGTTCACTTTGCTCAACTCTTGTTAATAATTCAGTTTTCCTGCACACAGTCATTCTGCATCTGTCAAAATATTTTACCGTTCAGTCTGTTTTTAGTTATTAAAAACAGACATGTTCTGGTCCTAAAAATCCCCAAATGCACAACACTGGTTTAAGTTCTAACGATCGCCTGATAAAACTCAAGGTAAAAAGAAAATGGATTTTGAATCCTAAAAGTCTTCAAAAACATGATGAAATAAGGTAGTTTTGGGATGATACAGGATAGAGTGGTATTTCTGAAGCATTACATTGAACACCCTTGGTCGAAGACGCTAGTGATCGATGGTTAGATCGTGCATATTTAACAGCATGATTGGACCAGCGTGCCTGCACGCACTAACGTCTTGGGAATTCTGTAGTAGCCGTTGAAATTTTTCTTTATCTTCTCCCTAGGCTTTCCAGGGGAACCAATCAGCTATCGCAAAATGGTTTATAATCAGTCACCCGTGCTGAAGGCTAAGCCTTTTTTGGGGGACAGTTTATAGCGTTCGTACATACGCGCTACATGCGGTGAGCAAGCTTCACTGAGTAGATATGCAACGCAGTGATAACCCCACATGCGCGACTAACGGTATCAAATAGAAAGCCGCCGTTTTGATCAAAGATATTAATATTTACACCAACGGTCTAATTTACATGAAACGGCCACACCTCCTTTGCTGCAAGATTCCCAATAGGAAAGTAAAAAAACAAACAATTGTGCAAGGACGCTCGACAACAATATAACCATCGCTATCGATCACTGACATCCTGGGCCAAGACTATTCATTGAGCGACATTGCAAAAAAAATTTAAAATTTAAAAAACCACATATTCAAAACTTTCAAAATTACTACACCTCTTCCTTATTGTTATTTGTATCTATTATGTAATTTGATAATTTATTTTTCAGGTTGCCATGTGCACGAAGCATGGACATATGAACTATATTATTGTTAAACGATTAATATAAACTCACCGGCAATGCTATAAAATTACTGAATCCCCAGTCGTTTTCTTTACTGTAGAATAAGTGTGAAATTCCTGCAAAGGAAATAAGAATACATGGTTTTACCATACAGCATCAATCACAGGCTTCAGTTCATAGAATTCTATCTCTTCTGGCCTAAGAATATTATTACTAATGACTGTGTCAACATTTGAAACCAAAAAACACCAAGGCTTCTACATGTGCTTCACTAGCCTGTGCAACAACAAAACGAAAGTTATGAGGCCCTGAAACTGAAACCCCTCCTTAAGCAACTAAAGTGACTCAGTGCAGGATTACTTTTAATAGGAAGTACAATGTGCTTGAAGTATCCTACATCAACTGCATGCAAGTTGCGGTATTCAGTCCTTCATTTAAAGAAAATCCAGGACAGCAACAAATCGCACTCCTCAAATCTCCGAGGAGAGCAAATCGCTCTCCTTAAAATCCACGGATAAACAGCATTGAAATGATGGCTTAACATTGTTTTTTTGGTGTTTTTTTTTAATATCAGGATTTATTCAAGGGGCTGCATTATTTTTAGTTTTTGCATAATAACATGTTCAAGTGGCGTTACTTTTTTCGTTTTGTGTAAGACAAGGTAAAATTTATTTCACTAAATGCAATAATGAAAGGTTTGACTACTGCTTACGCTTTAAGCTTTTTAATACAGTTGTCAGTAGGTTCATTACTTAATTAGTACTTAGAAAATGGAGCTAATAAACGGCACATAATGCAACTGAATATTTGTTTTCAGATTCATTAAATTATGTGAAAATTGTCTAGCCTGAAGTATGTTTATATACTATTAAGTTACATATGTAGTTTATTTGTGTTCTAATAACGGAAGTTATGAAATAAAATTGAATTGAATTGATACAGAAAAAAAAATTTGGTTAAGCGGAAATGCAAGCTTACGTTTTGTGTAGTCGGACCCATCCCTCTGGTTCAACAGCCGGAGTTCAGCTGAAGCCTGGCAAGACCATGTCCTAGAAGGATAGAAACAGAAAGTGAAAATGCCAGTTGAGTACCACTTGTAGTTTCCTTCCTTTTTTCTTTGTTGTAAAAAGTATAAGTTCATTCATTGCCTATTCCTCGGCCACATTTGTTCGTCACAAGGTCGTGCGACAAAACGTCTTTACAGCAATGCCACCGTGTGGTTTTTAAATCCCCTGCTGCTGTCACTGAAACCTGACACTATTGTTACAGTGAAGCCATCATTTTATACTCATGAGCTGCAACAACTGGTTGTACAGTGATGTGCCAAGGTCCTTGCCAACCTCCTACTGTTTGATCAGTCACAGACGGTCAGAAATTCAATCCACTTCCCCTCCCTTAACTTGTACACAGGCTAGTCGCAGGCATAGTAAAGTAAAAAAAAAAGTAAAGTCTGTCCCGAGCCAATGTGGCTCATCAGGCCGGCGTTTATCTCCGGTTTCAGTAGCATGAAACGACTGAGAATATTACTACTCCCCCTGGATGGGATGCTAGTCCATCGCAGGTTACTCCCCAGCTAATGCCGGTACCCATTTATACTCCTGGGTGGAGAGGGGCAAGTGGGGGTGAAGTGCCTTGCCCAAGGACACAATATATGATCAGCGGCTGGATTCGAACCCCGGACCCTCTGATCATTAGTCACGAACCCTAACCACTAGGCCACACACTCCCCTACAGTCAGAAATTCAATCCACTTCCCCTCCCTTAACTTGTACACAGGCTAGTCGCAGGCATGCAACTGGGAATTTAGACCAAACTCCAAACTACAACAGACTTTGTACAATATTTTTCATTTTGTAATGGCACTCATGAGAAGTAAAAAATGAGGAAATCAGCGGATCCGAGGAGAAGTTGCATGCCTGTACAGCGTGTGTAAAAAAAAACGCAGGATTCAAAGCGATTTTTTTTTCTGAGAAAATTATGCTACTGGTGTGCCTAATTTGATAAGGATTTGATTGTCCATAATTTCATCTTTGACAAGATTTTTGTTTGGTGGAATTTGGACTTTTGGTTCAAAAGTTATGACAAGTTTTGTGAAGCCCTTCTGAAGCGGGTTGGTCTGATTCAATGACCTTAACACAACGACCAGTTATGTACAATGCAGGTATGCATTGAAGACAATTAAACCAGAACAAAACTTTCTTTGAAACAACTGATGATAAGTATCACTTAAATTTAATAACTGGACTATCATTGTTTCAAAGCATCATGAATGTCGTCTCTGACATGTCAAATAACATTGATTGTGGACTAAAGGATTATGTAAGCCTAATCCTGCCACACATGTCCTTCTTTGTGATCCACAAATACTTTCACCTGTACTGAATTCAAACCTTTCATTAGGTATGTGTGATTTCACAAATCAGACCAGCTTGGAATTTATAACCCTTCTTCAATGTACTCTATCTCTGGACAGGATTGTCCAAATGAGATGGGATAAAGAGCATAGTGAAGAGAAGGAAAGGTACTTTGAAAAGAGGGTTAACATTATGATGAATAGGGGGTGGTTTATATTCTTAATATTTTTGTTTCTAATCCTGCGTTTTTATTGACACACGCTGTAGTCACCAACAGTCAGATCATATTGATGTCACATTGAATCAATAGACAAAAAAATTACTGGTAGGCACAGCTGGCTTATCAGTCTCCTACCATCATAACCTAGCTGTATCAAGTTACAGAAACAGTCACAGCAAGAGTCTGTGCAGCAATTTTAACGATAAAACAAAAAGGGGAAATTAAAACAATGGTTTTATTACTGGACATAAACATAAACAACCAGTACGCTGCATATTATATTTATTGAGAATATTTGTACGTTTAGGCCACTGTCATCCTGCTGGTGGTACATGTATAAATGGTGGGATAAAAATTGGAGAATTGGTGGGATGGGGCAAATGTGTCATCTGCGAGTTCTCTTACTGTGATTCAGACTCGGCATTGCACTGCAGAAAAAAGCCCAGGGTCTTCATGGTGCGTTCCCCGCTATTGGACGTCCTCGGCATGGCCATGATTTTCCTGTGTGGAAATTGACAAAGGACCACTGCATTATATGTATACCAACATTTACAACACTCTCTTACACTTGTGTGATTTGAGGAACTAAGACTGAGAGCACAGACAGTTAATTAGAGGGAAAACAGTTACGTAGCTGATATAAAGTACTGTCGTTTTCCTAGTTCCAGATTTTTCTCCTAGTTTCGGATTTTTCCTAGTTCCGGATTTTTCTTAGATCGGGGTTTTCCCTAGTTCTGGATCGCTTTAAGTAAAAACCTACATCTTTTGGATTGGGCTGTAATACTATTTTTTCCGACCAAGTTCGTGTTGAAGAGGAAAATAAATGCTTCTTGATACACAAAGATCTTTTCGATAAAATCTCTAGAAAAAAATTGCCGACTCGCACTTTGACATGTTCGGACAGTTTGTAGAAAATCACGGGAGCCGCGAATCGACAATAAATTTTCTCCTCAGTACGTCACTCGGAACATGTGATTTTGAGTATTTTTTGTTCATACTCTACAGTCGTATAAACTCTTGCATCGAATATTTGTTGAATCAATATAGGTTGTAGTCTCAAATATTTGAAAAATTGCCAACGAACGAACGTATGTTTTGGCCCAGTTCTGGATGTGCGCGTACATAGGACCTTTGTAATTAAACTTGCGATGTTCAGGGGGCATCAAGGGCTTCATTAGCCTTTCGCCAAGGCCACCGTGGCTTAGAGTGGCGAAGCTGCGAAATCACGAAGCGACTGAAGCAAAGACCAAGCCAGCGTGTGCGAGTGGTAAAGCCACGAGGCCTTTTCTAACTTGATTTAGGCACGTGTGCGTGCGTCACGCGTCTGGGTAGTAGCCACGCACGTTTTAGTCAGGCTAATGATTGGTTGGATTTTTGCTACCCTTTCAGGGTGGCAAAAATCGAGAAATAAAGAAACACATGAGAAATTCCTGACAAGTTGGAAAAGCCTAGTGGCTTCGCCACTCATGCGTGTGGTCTCCGCTCCAGTCATTTTGCAGCTTCGCCGCTCTGTCTAATAATGCTGGTTAAAGCCACGACGGCCTTGGCGAAAGGCTAGGGCTTTATGCACAAGTATGCCTTCAACGGCCAGAAAAGAAGAGTTGGGGGAGATCTAGACTGGTTCTCGGTCCATCCACTGCATATTTCGAATGATCCAAAGTTATTTGGGGCGGGGATTCATCTGGGAAACCATCGCAAGATAAATTTGGATGCATTTGCGCACCGACGACGCCTGACGCTCACGCAAACACGCTGTGGCTTATAGCTTTGGCACATTCAGAAAGTCGTGCCTACTTCGCGCGCGAACCAGCACAGTACGCACACGCTGTGTGTCCTGTCCAAGGGCCTCTCAAAAGTGGTAAAAAATCGCCCTCATTTGTTAGCACACGGAGCCCATACCGGTGTTGAGGTTGAGTCCATTACAAGTCCAGTCACAAGTAACAGGGGATGAACAAGAACAAAAGACTTGGGACTTGATGACTTGTCATGGACTTGATGAGGTCTGGTGATGGACTCGACCACAACACTGCAATTAAAGTAGGCTATAATCCTCCAAGAGAATGCTGACTTCTTCTGAGAGTACAGAGAAGATTTGTTTTCCTTACCATGGCAGGTTCCGCACTGTCACCGACGGGCTGAGCGATGTCTCCTTTATCTTGCTGACGCCTTGCACCGTGTACTTGAAAGTAGCCTCCGAACGACTGCCGTCTGCTGAGTAATAAACACAACAAATTAAGGGATGGGCAATTGTCAGTTGATTCTGATTTATACAAGGAATCCAATTTTGGAAAAGGTGCACTTGTGATCAACAAGCTCGATCGTGAAATATCTCAGAAGCTGCGGGCCAACAAATTCGTGTTCATGCATGAGTCACGTGATTGTGCCATGTAATTTCTGGAAGGAGTACACCGTAGTGTTTCTAGTAAAATTAAAAAAACAACAATAAAATATCAGATTTTTGACCCCAGTGACCCCATGATGACCTTTGACCTCAGTTTGGTCATATGACATGTTGGGGCTGGGCTACTGATACTTTTGACAAAGGTTTGGTTGAAATCGGTCAAAATATGTAGGAGCAATAGACAATGTCAACGTTTGTTACTAACTAACGGACTAACGGAGAGACATGATGATTTGTTGAGCGAGCTGCTATCTCTTGGGGAAAATGTTTGTCTACATATGGAGACACATTCATCACAAATCAGTCACAAGCCATCCAGTCTGAAGTCAAGTGACAACCCATCAAAATGAAGTGTGGCTACAGCATTCCTCTGTCAATACTTCGCCCCAGTCACTTGTGGTATGACTTATGATTCAACTGTTGACCGACTTGACAACTTTGCAGGTAAACGTACACTATCACTGCATTTCAGTGTTACATGCGTGCTTCAAGTTTTGAATCACCGAGTTCGTTTCTGCATTCAATAGGGGACGTTGAACACTGGAGAACAATGGAAGACAATAGGGTCCCCAATTCCCGAGAGGTCCCCAATTTGGATTCGTGTACAAAACATATGGGAGGTCTTCCTAAAAAGTTTAAGTACAAACAAAAGAAAGACATTATGGGGTCCCGGATTGCAGGCAACGTGTTTTGGTGTGTGTTGGATGGTACAAAATATTATCTTGAGCTTTAAAGCAATGTGTCTTACGCACCTTCTTCTGCGTTCTCCTCCGGTAAGGTCTGGTCCCCTTCTCCTTCCATTGCGATATCGCCGTTGATGGTGACGTGGTCCTCCGACTCCTTTTTGCCCTCATCCTTTTTGGCACCCTCCGTCTTGCTGTCGTCGGTGGCTTGAACTTCTGGGACCAAAGAGTCGTCTGGTGCTGAAACGAGGAAAAGGTACAGGGAAGCGGTCAGTTGAGAATGATGGGGGAGCTGGTGGAAAAGGATGATTCTTTCAAGGCCAGATGCTTGTAGGCAGAGCTTGAAGTGAAGATATGACCCAAGAAATGATTTTGGGTGTTGTTGTCATTGTTTTTTTCAAATGGCACATGGTCTATATTTTACCAATATTTATACAAACAAATTTTCAAGCAGCTGCCCTGAAGATCCTGACATTGGGTGTGACCTTGGGCACAACTCCAGTGTTGTCTAGCTTTTTTCAAGCATTATAGTTGGTACACGTAGTATTAGGTACCAATAAGAAATACAAAATGTGCATTAGGCATGATACATGTACATGTTTTTGATCCTCAGGAAAAAAATAGGCAAAATGTCCTGAGTAATGTCTGAAGTACAGAATGCTGAAAATGGAGGAAATTTTCTAGGAAAAAAAGAAGGAATTCGGAAATGGAAGAAGAAGAAAATAGGAAATCCTCTTAAAATAGTCCAACTATCATGCCTACGCCTGGTACATGTACATGTATATGTACATGTAGCCTACACAGAACTACATGTACATGTACAGTACATGTACATGTAACACCTCATCTTAGGGCGAGACAATTCCATACGTACAAGGAACAAACAGACATGAGTCAATCTACATCGTCATGTACATTGTATGATTGTTAATACTTTGAAAACCTTTGAGCACATTGGGAGAAAAGCGCACACATTTTTTTTTCTGTGTGGCCCAAGTCCCCATGAATGTCTAAATTAACTTTGCACTCCAGCCAGGAAGCCACACCTCACAAGTTTATTACAACATACATGTACTGACTGAACACCTTTCGTTTAATCTAAAGCGTGCACAATAGCGGAATTAATGCGTTGCGTGGGAGTTAATGACATTGTCATAATTTATGCAATTAAGGGGGCATTCAGAATAGTCAATGTTAAAAACATTCTACCTTTTTTTCGAAATTGTGGGCGGGTGGGTCAAAGGAAATAACTGAAAATCGAAATTCAGTTTTCAATTAAGGTAATAGAAAAATCGACCTCGTTCCAGCGGTAGATAAATGGGGAGATCGCATGAGTGACCCTTCAAGCATATGGGGACGAGGTTGGGTTTAGCGTAAACATTGAAGTAGACTTACTTTATTACAAGTCGGGAATGGTCAGGGTTTTTTTTTCCGGTACGACACGAGCAGGCCATTACGGCAGTACAACACGGTTCGGTACGTCAATGGCACTCACTCAGCAGTGAAACAAGGCTTGAATTGAAGACTAGTGCAGGGCTGACACATTTTTGCGATAAACATGGCCGCCATCACGCATGTATTTTTGTGCGAGATCCCGCGGATCTACAACACTTTTGGACACAGCAAAAGCTTATCATAACAAAGCCAAAATAACCTCTTTTGTTTCTTTTAAATATAGTGTCTTAGAAAACGGAAACATTGTACAAAGTTTTGTGTGCTTGTTAATTTCCATCTGTTTCAACTACAAAGTTGCACGCTGGAGGCGCAGGCCCGGAAAAGCCATTGAAAACTCCTGAGCTGGGAGAGCACTGACCTACATTGTAATATATCTGCTTCATTTGAAGCATTCCTTTGTTCTTCAGTGTATAGTCATTCAACATTTAAAAATCGGTGGTTGGGTCAAAACAATTTCGACTATTCTGAAGCGCCCCCAAGTTCATTTGTGAAATGCATTTGTTAGACTCACATAGTGTTAATGATACCACTTGCATACCATGACATGCACAGCTTACAAGATATTTCAAATTGGTGTTATAGCTGATCCAACAATACATACATGTGTGTTGTGTCCATGTACAAATGTATATTGTGTACTTCCCAATGGACCGATTCACTATTACGCAACACCCCATGGTGTTCTGACCAGTCACAGCCGTGTTTTATGTCCGACATGGGTGCAAAAGAGTCTGACATGCGTGCACGCGCGTATGACACGCACGGCTGGAACATGCAGCGTGTCATTAGAGAGGAGCATGTATTAATTGTGTGCATGTGCAGTGGGCGGGGCTTACTGGATCGGTCTGTTGAGCCACGCCATGGGGGGGGGGGGGGGGGGGAGAAAGCACATTTTCCCAAAAAAATCCTTGTACTTCCTCTAGCATATTCTCAATTTCTAATTTTTTCGAGGGTGGGCGGGGACATTTACCCACCCCTTCTCCATTGGCACCCCTACAGACGCCCATTTTATTAAATGTAAAATTAATAGCAAATGTGACTTCACACCCCCCCCCCTTTTATTTTTTTTAGGCTTTTCCGGGGGTGGGGGAGGGGGGAAGCCCCCTTGCCCCATCCTGGCAATGCCCATGAGCCACGCCCCTTAGGTATATTGCATTAATAACCTTTTACATGTACATTACCAAAAACCAATAGTGCACAAACTAAACTGGAAATGTTCCCACTGCTCAATTGCGCATGTACATATTTCAAATGAAGAGGCACTGCAGAGCATTTTCAAGAGTATTTGGCAACGTCTAGAATGAACTACAAACGAACATGTACATCTTACGCTTGTAATCAAGTGTCATTAGGGCAGTAAACCCATGATCCATGTGTGCGTTATAAACATGTGCACAGTAACATGGGTGGCTTTCCATTGTACTTGTAGTTGATCCAAACTTGCAAAATCATATGAAATAGAAATGTACCAAATTTCACAAACTTTATGAAATTTCTGGCATTACATTTCAGAGATCTGTAAGGGGAGGGGCAGACCACCCCCCCCCCCCCCCCAGTGTAAAAAAAAACCCATAAATTTGTCATTTTAGCTTAATATTTTTTAAGGGGAAAAGAAGGTAGAGTAGTCTAATTATTTGCATGCCAATAATGTGGTTTGCCGTTGGACCCTCACAGGCAATTGATCTATGGTTAGTCTCTTTGGGGTCCACTTTTTTTATTTGCATGCCAATAATGTGGTTTGCCGTTGGACCCTCACAGGCAATTGATCTATGGTTAGTCTCTTTGGGGTCCACTTTTTTTCCTGTCCACCCCAAATCCATCAAAATCCATCCCCCCATTTTGGTGGATTTTGGGGGACTTGGTCCATCCCATCATGACTGTGAAACATCCTCTGATTCCTCTCGCCAACATTTCAAATGGGAAATTGATTTCCAATGATCTGTCTTCCTCCAAATTGTTTTTGTGATCTAACACACCCGATATTTTTATCTTCATCAAAAGCATGGGCACTGTACGCATTTGATTAGTGCTACTGTACATGTACATGTTGTAATGTACATTGACAATGTGTGACCAACTAAACATGTTCACGTATGTAGCCTAAACCTTCATGACATTTAATGTGAGTTGATGCATGGGAAAACTCATCAACTGGCATGCTGCAATGAACACTATAATTTCAGGTTGCCCAGGCAACTAATAAATGCAAAGGTTTCATACATTTTATTTAGTCCACGTTGAGATTAGCTTTCGTAAACTGTGTGATAAATATCACGACATCATGATGCCAGGAATTATTAAGATAAAGAATAAGCCCGTCATCAAGTTTTTTAACGTTGAAAGGGAATTGTTCTCTTTTTCTTTTTGTTATACTGGGCCAATTTTGGCAACAATTCGCTCAGGACGTGGTCACTATGATGCCATTTTATTGTAAGAATTAATAGTGACAAGCCCCAAGACCAACTATGACAAAACACTACTTGTAATGCATGTATGATTAATTGCACCTCCTTTTGGTGACAGGGTAAAGTTGCGATCATTTTAAAGTGTTCACATCAACATTTTAATGTATCTCTCTGTTCTGTACTGGGTTTTTCTCAATGACATACATAAAAATGTAATTATTTAGCGCAATCGTTGTTCCTGAGCTATTGGTTGATAGCCCAGTGCAATTGGTCTGATCTTGCTGTGATACTGGTTGATCGTGCTGACATCGATCGATTGAGCTACTATCGGTCAATCACCTTTTTTTTCAAACTGACAGCTCTGGAAGTTTGATTTAGAAAAGGGAAGTAAAAGTCTAAGACTTCGAACTTCCTACGGGACTGATCGATCACTACAAGTTTGTGCTATCAACTGATAAAGCAAATTCACCAAAAGCACCCAACTATATGCCAGCATAATGCGTCTATCAATTGTTTCAACCCCCCCCCCCCCCGGGCTACCCCACCCAAGACGTGGGGATTGTCACTTTTGAAGTGACGGGAGGGGGGGGGGGACATTTGATAGGCGTTAATGTCTAACTATTCAGGCGACCCCCCCCCCCCAAAAAAAAAAATAGTCGGCCTCTTGTCGAGCAAAGTTCTGGAACTGATGCAGCGATGCATTTTTTAAAAACCTTTTTCAAGCTTGGATTGTACAGATAAGGTGGGTACTATTTTGCTTTTACATGTATGTGTCCTCATGTGGCTTGGTGTCCTCCATCATTTACCTTCGTGCCCTCCATCATTGTGACATTTGGAGTCGAGCTGCCCACAGAAACTATGAGGCGGTGCGGCAATAGAGGGCGCTGTTGTAGCTACCGCAGAAAATTTGAAAAAAAAATTGACGCACATGATCAAAATCGACGCGCGCGTTCACCAGAGACCTACAATTTTTTTTTTTTGGCATAAGGCCAGCTAAAATAATCTCTGAGGTTTTCATCACTCAGATTGAAAAAAAAATTGGTTGAGAGGGGAATTCATATTGATATATTTTATAAATTTCACTTCTTTTCATCCAAAGTGAATGGCCAATGTACTAAACCTAGAAGAGGACACAACAAACATGAAAACTATAAAATGTAAAACCCTAACTCCCTGGGCCTTTTTTCTAAGATGTACATGTAGCCTCAATCCTGCAAACTCCTCCAATTGGCCTCATGGAAAAATAGCATAGCCTCAATCCTGCAAATTCCTCCATACTTTTTTGAACATGATGGGTGGAGGATACTTCTGAAATCAGAAGGCTTCTCTCCGTCAGCCTTCTTTGAGCCTTCAAATTCGGGGGTCAGCACTCTATGGCTTTTGGAAATGCCCTTTGATAGACGAAATACCTTTGTCTGAAATTACACTTTTTGTAACACAAATCCACCCAAAAAGTTGAGCTTGTTGATCCATAACTCTGAAATATTTCGCGTCTCCGTCTCTCCGATCTGACGAATGCAGGGTTATGTTCATGTGTGTGTTTACGTCAGTTTTGGTGGACTGTTTACTGATGGATCTTTTCATCCCTTTTTGTCAAATTCAAAAACATAACGAAACAGTCTCAACTGAAAACAATTCATGATTAATATACTAATACAAAATTTAATTCAAGCAATGCACATCGGCTTTAAAAGGAATGAAATATATTTTGTTAACTTAATGATAATTATAGGTGAAAACAGTCTACCAAAAATGACAACTTGTAACCATACAGCGCAGCGTATTCATCGCGCCAAAATGACGTACATGTTATGTACTGTTGCGCGATGCAAAGCATACCCCCCCCCCTCCATCCCAAACGGTCGAGCCCAATGTACAGTTGACTTGCTGAGGTCACGCGAAGATCAGCGCACGCGCAACGGACGTAAACACACACATGAACATAACCTTGCATTTGTCAGATCGGAGACGCGAGGCTGGTGAGTAAAAACTCAGATTTTCCACCAAAAAAATTGTCACATGATCCAAATGTCAATTGCGTGAAAATATTTCAGAGTTATGGATCAACAAGCTCAAATTTTCGGGTGGATTTGTGTTTCAAAAAGTGTAATTTCAGACAAAGGTATTTCGTCTATCAAAAGGCATGTCCAAAAGCCATAGCGTGCTGACCCCCGAATTTGAAGGCTCAAAGAAGGCTGACGGAGAGAAGCCTTCTGATTTCAGAAGTACATGTAGGTGGAGGAGTGAGCACTGCCTGAATCCTGCAAAGTCCTACTGCAGTGACTGTCAATACATTGAGGCTTGGCCAGTGACATCCTGGAGCAGTACGAAGGATTTCAAGCATAATCCAAGCCTATATTAATGCATGGCTGAGCAAAAACAACACAAGGTCTGGCTCAAGACCTTGACAAAGTCCATCAGTAAATCAGCAACGCACGGTTGCCATGTTACCTCAATCCAAAAAATTCCTCCACTTTGGCAAAGAGGATTTTAAAGGATTCAGTGCAGTTAGGGTTAAAGACCAGTCAGCTGTTTTACATGTTTCATGACCTCAGGCCGACAAATTTTTTTTTAAATTAGTTTTATTTAACTGGCCAAAGTGTGGGCTAATGAAAATAGAATTTTATGCAAAAAGTGACAGTTTACTTTGTTTGGTTAGTTTACTCAACTTCAAGAAGCATTAGTCAGCAACAAAATTAATAATAAATTAAGCCTGAAAATTATATTACATTGTAAAAAAAAATGTACAACTATAGAATGCAGGGCCACTTCACTCTACATCCGCGCCTCCGTACGGCTGCGTGGAGGCCACCGGCGGCGGAACCGACAAAGGGGGCCATGCCCCCCCCCCCCCCCCCCTCCAAAAAAAACGAAACCATTTTTTTTTTTTATGTGACATTCCAATAAAGGCAGGCAATGAGTACATCACCATTTTTTTCTCAAAAAAACATTGGTTAAAGTGGTCAGAAATTGCCTCAGATCGCACCACAGAGCATCTAGAATCAAAAAAAGTTCGGGGCCCTTAAAGCGGGCCCCGAAACCCACACCGTAATTTTTTTCCCACTTTTTTGGGGGACTAAAAATTGTGTTCTGGATCCGCCCTTGGTTAGCAGACATTACGTAGGTCACACTTCGGACCAACTTCACACTTTTCCCATTTCCTTTGATTTTGCTGTAATCCTGCTCCGGGAACAGTAACTGGACCTTGCCCTCCCACTTTTAAAAGTGTTCCGCCGCCGATGGTGGAGGCGTTGAGCTGCAGTCGACCTACCTCCGAGAATTGCGCCCTCTATCGGCGGCGCGCGTCTCTGCGACTCCGCGTCTCCCTGACTCCGCGCCTCCCTGACTCAGCAACTCCGCGTCTCTGCGACTCCAGTGCCCCGTCACCCTCCTACCTTCCTTTGCGAGGAAATTAACAATGGATATGGATGCTTCGTTCTCTAAAAAATACCGCCGAGAATTGCGCCCTCTATCGGCGGCGCGCGTCTCTGCGACTCCGCGCCTCCGCGTCTCCCTGACTCCGCGACTCCCTGACTCCGCGACTCTGCGTCTTCCTGACTCTGCGACTCCCTGTCTCCGCTTCTCCAGTGCCCCGTCGCCCTCCTCCCTTAACCTTCCTTTGTAAAAAATACCGCCGAGAATTGCGCCCTCTATCGGCGGCGCGCATCTCTGCAACTCCGCGCCTAGCCTCCGCGTCTCCAGTGCCTTGCGACTAGTCTCTGCGACTCCGCGGCTCCGCGCCTTTGCGACTCCGTGCCCCGACGTACAAGCGCCCTCCCTTCCCATTCTGATCATTGATGAGAAGACAAGTGCATTCACTGTACTTAGGACTTTTTGCAGGGTTGCATATTCTTATATTGTAGCCTATTACTCCTATCCTCACATCGCCGGCCTCCATCCATGCCTCCAAGCAAAATAAAAAAACCTTGCTCCGGCGTGGCCCTGCATTCTATAGTTGCTCCAAAAAAATATATAATCAAACACTTTTCTAAGTTTGTGTTATTGTCAATGGCAATCAAGGCAATATTGCATGGAGCATGTTATTTGTTAGCAATAGTTAGCAGCAGGTTAGGAAGGGCGAAGCCAAAGTCATTAAATTTTGACCTGATGACCCACAATTCAAATGAAACTGAAATGACCCGAGTTCTCACCCTCCTGCGTTTCCATCTCCTCTGGCTCACTCTGCGGTCGTTCTTGTTCGTCACAGTGATTCATGCTGTTGATCGGACTCTTGTTGTTCGACCTCCTTAAAAATTTACGCTCAGACTTGTCCGCGACCGACCCCCGTTCACTGCCGGGCGATGAGGGAGTTTTCCGGGACGCTGTCGGCACCTTGACGTGCTTGCTCGCGATGCGCCCAATCTCGGCGGCCTTAACCCCTCCGTAAAGGGGTGCTCATCAAGAAACCAAGTTCAGAATTTCTCTATGTGTGGAAAGAAATCGAATCTGTTTGGGAAACTGTGAAATACATGCAGAGTTTCATGCTTTTTCATTGCCGCTATCGAAAACCATTGCAAAAACAAGTAAAATGGCCACTAAAGGTTGCATTGTGGGTACTATCCTCTGCAAAGAACCAAAATGGCTTCAAATCTCTTTTCTGTTCTCCCACACTTCAGTGATTGATTCCCTATTTTAGTAAACAGACGTATCCTATCATATTATTTTTCACGAAAAATACGTGTTTATAATGGGTTTATATTGCATCTGTTTATAATTTTTGATTAATTAGTATGAAATTGATGAAAGTGACCTACTGCGCGTGCGCAAATAATTACGCCCACAATTCATTGCGTGACGACTGCGACATTCGACGACAATCGCAGGGCGTATTGACAAATTCTTCCCGAATTTTCGACATGTTTTAGGACCAAAAATCCCATCTTTATCGTAAATTTAGGGAAACTGCCTCTCAGGTTCCCATCATGAGTGAGCAGAAGGAGCGAGGAGACGACTCAGGCGGAGAACTGTGGACGTCAAGTTGGGAGCAACAATGTCTGGACGAGTTGGATAGCGAACCGAACTTGGACGAAAGGTTGCCGCAGGAACGGCAATTTGCGGCCGACCAGCTGTGGTACAGCTTCCAAGCCTGCGCAAGTGCCGTCACGCATCTTTACAAACTAGGTTAGAACACAAGGAAACACAAAGGAAATATCCTCATTGTGCTTCAGAACAAAACGGTTGTCAAATTATGTTATGGATAATCATAATAGCCTAAATATAGAACATTCATAAACGTATTTTATTTTAAATTAAAGTGAAAAAAATGTAAACAAACAAAAGAAAACCAAAAGGCCTACCCTAAGCTAGGCCTAATATTTTATGTAGACATTCAAAACAAAACTGACCATTGACACGTGGCTGTTAATTAAATATTGATTTTGTTCTTATACTTTTAATTTTATTGATTTTTCCATTTCCTTTTTTTTTTTTGTTCAGTTGAATCAATTGATACAGGTCTTATTAGATTTGAAAGACAGGAAGACAATCATGACAATGAAATTGGAAATTATACAAAACTGAAAAAAAAGGAAAAATGTGGGTTTTTTCCAATTATTACTATATTTTTTTTAACCCTAACCCGTAACTGCCCTGAATCCCTCAAAATTATCTTTGCCAAAGTGGAGGAATTTGGAGGATTGAGGTTACATGGCATAAATGCATTACTGATTTTGTAGGAAGGTCTTGAGCCGTACCTTGTGTTTTTTTTTGTTTTTTTTTTGCCCAGCCATGCATAAATATAGGCCTGGATTGTGCTTGAAATCCTCTGTATTAGTCCAGGATGTCATTGGCCAAGCCTAAACATATTGACTGTCACTGCCGCAGGATTTTGCAGGATTCAGGCAGTGGTCACCCTCCAAAGGACCATATTCAAGAAGTAATGGAGGAATTTGCAGGATTGAGGCTATATATGCTGTTTTTCAATGAGGCCAATTGGGGGATTTTGCAGGATTGAGGCTACATGTACATCCTAGCAAAAAGGCCTAGGGAGTTAGGGTTAAAATAAATTACATTTTAACTTACCTTTTATAAATATCATATGATTTGTTTTTTTCTCTTACAGAACGTCTGAGTAGTCCATCCAATGCCCTACCTCTTTGGCTGTCATTTCAGAATGCTGCCAGTTCAGTAACCAAAATGTATAAAGGTACATCATGTCTCCATTATCCACCATAATTCAGCTTGCGTTTTTTAACCCTAACGTACCTGAATCCATCAAAATCCACACCCCTGTTTCGGGGGATTTCGGCGGATTCAGGATACCTCCATATTAAAAAAGTTGGGGGATTTTTATGGATTCAGGACATGAAGCCTAGCGATACTGCAGAATTTTGATGGATTCAGGATACCTCCATATTGAGCAGTTGGGGGACTTTGATGGATTCAGGATCTCAACAGATATACTCCCACCTAACTGGTGGATTCTGATAGACTCACTGGCCACAAATTTATTTTGCATGGCAAGATTGATGGATTTTGGCAGATTCAGGATACTTTCTTGTAAATATACCCAAGGGGTTTGAGTTAAATGCTTTCATTATGATAAATTTTGTGTGAAATCTTTGCGGGTCTTAACAGTTTCTAAACATTATTGTATTTATGAACAATATTCACTGGCCTTTTGTAAAAGTAAACGAGTGACGTCTTGTGAGAAGTGTTTTTTTCCTGTATCCTTTCTACTTTGTTCTGTTACAGATAGCCTAGAAGCACACAGAAGAACCAGCGAGTTTGGCACCCAGATCGGGCACCAGCGCCGCACCCGGGACATCGTGGGCTGGGTCAAGAAGCGCAGACGCTACATCAAACGGGAGGACCTCCTTGCGTTTCTCTGCGGCAAAGTGCCCCCGCCCAGGATTCGGCCCAGTCCGATAGGCCGGGGCGGCATGGCTGACCGGGCCTCACCCAGGTCCCACACACAAGGGCACGATGTTGGACACTCGGTGGAAGCCATGGACGATCTGCAACCCTTCAGAGAAGCTTTAGCATTACAAGGTGAGAATAGATATTGGAGGACTATCAGACAGTTTGTTCTTCTGTAACTATCAATATTATACAGCAGTGGTGGCACAGTTGTTGCAACAAGTTTGCCAACATTACTTTCTGTAATTTTAAACAAAAGAAATTTTTTTAAAACTTGGTTGCAAAAAGTATTGCCATTAACAATGTGCTTCAACTCTTCAAATCGTTTGTGATAGAAACAAGTAAGAAAGTTAAAGAATCCGAACCCGGCTAAATGCAAAAAAGGTTAAAATGTATTGTTACATGCAGAAGTCAACACAAGTGGTACGATGTACCTTGTTAGCGAATAGTTCAAACATCCAAGGTTGATGTTTTTATAGTACATTTATTTTGGAAAGAATGTAGTATCCAGAGGCCACTTCTTTGGTTGTGTGCAAAGTCTATGGAGAGTCGAGTGCAGTTTCAAAGTATTTCCTGACAAAATTGGAAATGTTTCTCAGTCCCAGATTCATGTCTTTTCAACATTTTTGCAATGACTGACCTTTACTGAGATGATATAGGAAGAAAAAAGTGGCGTCAGGTTGCAACATTCTTTCCACTTTTTTTTGTTTACATTCAGCAGGCCTTTCATTTCATCTATGTTGGATTTTGTTTCATTAAGCAGGCTGCATAACGAAAAACCTGATTGGTGTTGGGATCAATAGTTGCTGTTTGTAACATACATTTTCCAGTTTTTCATTTGGCAAGCATACCAATACATTACATTGACGTGTATTTCCATTGAAAAAAAAAGTCTTCTGTGGTTCATTTCTACAGGTTTAAATGGAGCTATGGCCAACGTGGGTGTCTCCCAGTCGCCCCCGCATCACTCCCATTCACGCCGTCGCCATGGAAATGTACTAGATCTCTTCCCCGACGAACTCTTTGCCCATCCCGACTCTCGGAAGAGAAACCCCTCGCCGGGCGATGTTCACATGGACTCCCCTTCTCATAAACGCAACCGGCTACTATGAGGCCAAGCGGAGTCACGCTCTCAGTAGGTGTACAAACTAAGAAGAAAAAAAAAAGTTAAAAAAAATATAGAGAACAAATTAATGTATTATTAACAGGTTTTTGGGTGCCACTTTTGGAAAAGCATTGCATTGAACAGTGTTTGGAGCAAAACGTGTCTGTGAGTTGGCCAGGGAGCATCTTGTCTTTTTGTTTCACCGAACGGGGCAAACAGACCAGTGATGTGAACGTGGAGATCGTCATTTTATGAGTTCCTGCGAAGCTGTGCATTGAGTAGGTGTTGTGGTGCATCTGTTCTTCGTATATTGCGCCAAGTGTCTATCAAACTGGTTGGTGTATGCCACACACGCTGGCAGAGCAGACCGTGACTTGGACCGTGAACATCTGTCAGGATCTGGAATCCAGCTTGTTCAATTGAGACACGATTTAACAGCAAAACGAAACTCGGCAATGTGAAATCATTATTATTATTGAAAGTAACCATAATTTCACAATTCAAGGCATGTTTACCATAAACCAGTGTATAAATAATTTTTTTTCTCTGACCAAAAATGTTCCATTACAGGCTCAGCAAAGTTAAAAAAAAAAAAAAAAAAAACAGTTTGTGCGATTAAATAGATGTAGTAGGTACTGGGTAGGACATGTAGAAACTTCAACCCTGCAACCTTTCAGTATTTGTCCCCTTGAAACCTTCCTAAGTTATTCAAAATCCAGCTCTATGGGCTCCGTTTACAAGTACCCCCTCACCGGCAAGAAAGGGAGAGTTGGGGGGGAGACCATAGTCTGGTTCCCTGACCAAAAGATTCTGACCTTTATTTCTGATGAGTCTTAGATTAGTCAGAAATAGATCCTTTGGTCTGAGAACCAGACTAGGTAGCCCATCGGAAGAGACATTGGAACGCAGCACCGATGCCTAACGCTCACGCAAAGATGCTTTGGCTTTGTGCGCATTTAGAATAAAATTAGTAGTGGGAACTTCGCACTATACGAGTGCGAGCAAGTACGGTGTGTCCCGTCCATGGGGCTCTCAATAATGGTAACAAAGCGCCCTCTTTTGTTGGCGCACGGAGCCCATGCAGTAAACCCAATGGCACATTCATTATGCTGGAATTCCATGTTTAGGCCACAAAAAAAAAAAAATTCGGTCTCTGGTCAGACCAAAGTTCCGGAATTGACGCGGCCACACGACTTTTTTTTTTTTTTTTTGCTTTTTTTTTCTTTTCTTCAAGCTTGGATTGTACAGACAAGGTGGTACTATTTTGGTTTTTTTGGTGTCCTCATGTACATTGGTGTCCTCCATAATTTGCCTTGGTGCTTTCGATCATTTGCCTTGGTGCAATTTCCCATTCCTTGGTGCTCTTTGGTAAAAAAAATTGAGGAGGTGCGGAAATAGAGGGCGCTGATGGAGCTACCGCGGAACATTTTGGGGAAAAAAAAAGATCGACACGCATGATTAAAATCGAGGCGCGTGCTGACCAGAGACCGACGTATTTTTTTTGGGGGGGGGGCCTTAGCTGTCCTGAAGCCATCAGAAAGAGACAAAAGCAGTTGTTGAAATTGGACAGATATTGAAAGGTCGGGGATGAAGCAAAAAATAACTTGCAAAAACTTATAGTTTGGAGAATGAAAGTGGGTGCAAACTAAGGATGTGACTTTGCGTTTGTGTAAACGTTTAGCAAATATTTTGAGCACCGTTCAAACGTTCAAACATCTAGTCATTTCACAGAGGATGACGCCTGCCCATTATGTCTGCAGACCGGCGTGATTGACATGATAAAAATCAACAATGATTGACATAATAAATAGCGGGCAGTCATTGAAAAAGTAAAAACTTGTACCCCAAATGTAATCAAGTACTGCCCTGCTTCTAAGATTTTGTAAATGAAGTAGATTTGAAAACATTGCTAATTATTTGTGCTTAAAATGTTTTACTCAAGGAAGATTGCGTGAATGTAGGCTCCTGTTTTATAAATCGGGTATCGTTTAAACGTGTTGGAAAATTTGTAAATGGATTTATATGTTTTTTCATCTAAACGTTTAAACATGTAAACGTCACATCCTTCAGTTGATTTTAAATGATGTCAAGAAATAGTTGGGCAGCTACCTTTGTGCTTTTGGGTCAGGGATTAAGCTCAATATCTTGCAGAGTTATAGATTTTGAAGTAAAACGTAATAAGGTTAAAAACAGACTGGAGAATGTTTGTAAGGTACTGAATGACAAATTAAGTTGAATTGTACCAAACCTGTTTTTGAGTATTGAATCATTTTATTCAACTGAAGTGTTTTTTTTTTTTTTTGGCAACCCAAGAATGACGGTAGAGTATTTCTTCCCTAAATTATATAGAAAGAACAAATTTAGATTTATTTCCTTCTGTTTTGCCCTGAATTACCTTACAATTAATGATTAGTTTATATTTACCAACAGTAGAACATGCATAGTATTACGAAGAAACGCTAAACTGAGATTAATATTATTCAATTTGTATCATAAAACGGCTTAATAAATCCCCTTCATCTGATTGGTGGGTTGTTGATCACATGTCATTGAATTATTCGTCCCAATGCAAGGTGCGGCCACACTGCAAAAATAGAAGTTCTATTCTACGGTAAATAGAAGTTCCATTGCATGGTAATACAATTTGTGGCTCTGACCAATCAGACGATGAGGATTTAATCAGGTGGTGTGTAAAACAATAACGAATGTTTTACATTCGTGCAATGGAAGGGATATTTTCAATCAGTGACAGATGGAATGTTCCATTCCACTTGGCTTCGTCTTGTGGAATGGACCATTCCATCTGTCACCTCATGAAATTATTCTTACCATTGCACTCGTAAACATTCATTATTTGTATACCAAGGAATTCCCCTGAAACATTGTTGAATCCAGGTTCCTTATTCCATATTGTTCACAATGTGGCATCAGGAAAGAGGAAGTACATTGTAATCTTTTCTATTGTTAACACTGTATGTTTGCTACAAATAATGCAGTACATGTACGTAATTGTGCATAGTACTTGTACTGGAATGGATGCATGACAGCCTCTATCTCAGCCTGCTAACTGTACTCAGTCAATAAGAGAAAAATAGGCGATCAGCCTCGGTCCAAAATTTTGGCCACCGGTATCAAATGAGGGGAATAATCGTCATAGCGATTTTTGGCAAGATACAATGTATACACCTCCAGAGTTAGAAAATATGTGATAGCATTCCAGCGCTGGCAGCTTTTTTGTGTTTACCACTCTAGGGGCGGTACACCTTGCGCATGTGCACTATAATCATTTATGCCCTGATTTGATACTGACCAAATCAATTATACAACGCCTGAATATATCCCAGTCATCTGATTGGTGGGCCATTGATCACGTGTCATTGAATTTTTGGTCCCAACACAAGGCGCGGCCGCATGGCAAAAAATAGTAACTTCTATTCCACGGTAAATGGAAGTTCCATTGCATGGTCGCACTTTTGGCGGCTCTGTCCGATCAGATGACAAAGGATTTATTCAGGTGTTGTATAAAACAAATAATGAATGTTTCACATTCGTGCAATGGAAAGAATAATTTCATTCAGTGACGGATGGAATGTTCCATTCCACTGGGCTTCAGCTTCGTGGAATGGAACATTCCATCTGTCACCTCATGACATTATTCTTACCATTGCATTTTCAAACATTCATTATTTGTATACTACAGCATGTTTAAGTCTTCAAGTTCCCATATCTTCTGAATAGTAATAGTCTGATAGTGATATATAGTACATGTATAAGCATTTTTTTTAATGTACGGGCCAAGATACTAAAGGCCTAGACTAATTGACATGCCAGGAAACTTTGGCCTTGGTTACCCTGGAATTTTGGGCACTGTGCCTGTGCCATGTTGGGTTATTTCTAAAAGAAGGGCCATTTTTAAAAGTAGTGGCCATGCACCTGTAACAAAATCCAGTCCTGCAGCTCAGCACAGTTTACCAAATGTGAACAGGGGGTGTTTTGGTTGGGAGGGGGGCAGGTTAGGTGTGGAGGAGGGGGGGGGGGGGTAGCTATGGAGTGTTACATACATGTACATGTACAGTGTTCCAACATGCCTCATGTTGTTTACAGTGTGTGAGCCATCGTGTACAAACTTCATGTACATCCAATAATGCAGTTGTGTAGTTGCACATAATGTATTTGTAATAACTTATAAAGATTGATTGTATGCACATTGTAAATAACAACAACCGTGAACTCAATGCTAATGTCAATAGCTACAATTCACACCCGTGTAAATTGTTACATGTCCTTGTGAAAAGTAAGTTGTGTCCTCCCCCCAACTTGTAATATGGTGTGGTGGGTGGGGGAATATGTGTGTAACTTCTGCTTAAAGAGCATTGTCGGCAAAGAAAGCAAAAACAAGAATTAATCCTTCCCTTGTGTTACAAGCACAATATTGCCTCATTGTAGCAGTGTATGGTATCTTTATACACGCTCGGATAACTGCTTAAAAGTTCGTGTGCAGCGTGGTTGTTCCAACTTCACTGTGCGTCAAGTTTGCTTGAAGACCAATTCGTTATCCCACTCGCGCTTATGCAACACTGAAAATGATGTCCCACATGGGACGTAGACGCACTGCATTATTCCGTGTTCCACACACGCTCGCGTGATAACTAACATCACCAAAAGACTTACAATGGGTAATTGAATGGCCAAAAGTCACTTCAATTCAAAATCGCATGGCATTCTTCCATCGTCCTGTATAAAATGATCGCATGTGGACATATTCGTGTAAAGAATTGGCACATGAACAGATGTTAGTGACTAATACTGAAAGTGATACATGTATTGCTTTGATCTCTAAAAACTAGGTTTTTGGTTGTCTTTATTTCTAATAATAAAAACAGAAGATAGACAGATGCATATATAGTTTATGACAGTGTACTCCTAAGTCTGCTATAAAGATAAACACACAGATATTTTGTGTGTTTGCTAGTTGCACAGGGTTGATCGAATCCAACAAAAATAGAATCTGACAAGTTATGATGTCGCACCTCAAATGTCACCTTATAAACAATAAACGTTTTATATGAAAACTTGGAATGAAAGACAAAAATGTTGACATGTTCCTTCTTTCTCAAATGCATACACCGGTATTGAACTTCAATTTATTAATATAAATGGGCATTGTAAGTCTTTCTATTTTGATAAACACTGTGATGATCATACAGCCAGCCTTAACAATGTTTGCTCAATATCATTACCGCTCTTGTTAACCTTATATAACCTAACTTTTTTTTCTCAAATTGGAGTCGAGCATGTGTGTATGTAATATCGCCTCATCTGTGCCAGTGAATGCTGGAGTGAATTTTAATTTGCATATCTTTTCACATAATCCATGTTATCAGAGGTTTTATATTGCATCATATTTACTGACACCTTCAATTATTAACTTCTTTTCCATATGCTTCCTGTTGATTTGTACACGTTATCATTTTTCGGTAAACTATTGGTCAAGATAGTGTAGTTTTGAAGTGTACATCTAAAAACAAAAAAATAAAAAAATAAATAAATGAAAAACCCAAATCTCCAAAATTAAAGTGAACTCGCATTCATATTAGGATGAA